TATAGATTCATTGATGTTTTATCACGAGCACGTCTACATATCTGTAGGCGAAATGAAGTCATAGAATAAAAGGCTATGAGGCTGCTCTGATACAGAACTTTGATTGCTTATAAGAAGACAAATGGGAGTGTCTGTATAATATTATAAAAAATGAATTTCGGTCAAAAAGTCATCATCCCAGGAATCCTTCCGAAGACATGTGACTGATTTTATCCAATCAGAGATTTGGTAGTTGTGTTACATTTTGGGATTCCTCTAGTACTTTGCCTACTACTCAATACTACAAATTTTGTTTCCTAGATAACCTTATGTCTAGTCCATCAATCAGTTGGAATTCACTGCCCATGTTTAGAATCTAACAGTGTTCAGACTGAGTTATTTACAAATCATTTAGCCAGGACCTACCTTAGAAAATATTAATTTGGCATGTTTGCAAGATTGCATTCCTTCAAAATTGTTGAATTATTAAAGCAATGATATAATTGATCATTTTGTATGCAAAAAATTGAACTTGTTTAAAATAAGGTCAACAATTTCATGTTTCTAATTTTTATCAGGTAGTTACGTGATATTGTGCCGATAGCATAGGGTTATGTTTTCCCGTAGAGCACAATGTTTTTAGGTTTCTGGAATTTCTAGTAGCAGCTTAGATCTTCATGGGATTAGGAGAAATGTTTAAAAATAAAGCTGGAATCTGCACGGACCAAAACGTGTTGTGGCACTTAACATTGTAGAGCCAGCGAGTAAATAAATCATAGGAGGTATTAGAAAAGATAAAACACTGGACTAAAGTAAAACTTAACGCCCTAAATCTAACAGCAATAGATTTTTAGGGGTCATAAAAATGGGCTTTGGGAATATACTACTTGGGAATATACTGCTTTGGGAATATACTACTTGGAGCGTTGAGAGTTGTTCTTCACAAAAATTTATTTCATGGGTGGGATTTTGTCTTCAAGTTCTAGCTGCCCCATCATAGAAAGCCATGCCTTATCCATTTCTGTCCTTCTGGCAGATGCAGATCTGTGATGCACAGTGAGAGAGATGCTATGAACATCAGAATGTAGCTACCCTGTTTTTCTCATGTGTGGCTTTAATTACATGCTTTATTTTACACCTGGATTCATATGCTTATAATGGCACAGTTTGGGTCACTTGTCATGTCAAGTTATTTCCTGTCGAGCAACTATATAGCCTTAGCAATATGATGGGTGTGGGTAGGGGGTTAATGTTGTCCAAGTACTCTTCAAGAGCTAAAAGTATGATACATACAAGATGTCTTCCACTGTTGTTGATCATTATATTTGAAATCTGAATTATATAAACTCTTTGAATGAATATTTTGTATGGTGATGGATGCTGTGTCTCTGCTGTAGACCACTGTTCAACTAAGGGCAAATTATGGTCATCACCCGTATTATGGGTTCACACTGGTCATGAATATTTCTGTTACTTTCTCCGGAAAATGATTATTCTCTTGTTGATTTTTAATATTTCCATGTAATTTGGACCTAAATGCTCACATTCTTTGAGAAAGGATGAGTCTGGGAATGAGTCTGGGTATCGACTTAGAAAATATTGAAAATTGTAATGTCTGAAAAACCAACTCAATCACACATATTATTAAACTTCAATATCTTATCCTTCTTCTGAGATTACAAAAATATCAATTTGTATCACAATTGATGAAGAATATTGGCATCAAAGACAGTGCATATCACTTTGTCAGAATTGAAAAAAAATCAATGGCAAATATTAAATGAATTATTTATACAAAAAGTTTGAAACATATCCTCCAAAATGTTGCTTACTTTCTCTTTATAGACATTGAATGGTATTTCTGGATAAGTGAATTGGTGTTTATCTGGGTAATCAAGGGATTATAGTCACTCAAAGTTACTGAGCATCCAGTTTTGAGACTTCAATTGTGTTGGTAAAGTTACACGTATGTCAGTCAAATTCATGCTGAGCACAACATTTTGGTTTCAATTTTATAATCTCTATACATGACCCTGGTGATGAAGAGTCAGAATCAGTCAAAAAACCTAAACCGGAAAACTGTGCTCATTGTGAAAACTAAAAGTGAAGCGACTTTTTTTCTGATATTTCTTATATCAAATGGAAGCCATCTTGTTTTTCCCCCTTCAAATTAAACTGGCGGGAATTTCAAAAATTAAAAAAAAAATTTAATCCTTAAATATATTTCATAAATATGATTTTCTTTTAAATTCTTCATGGGTCTTAAGTTATATCTTCTTTGTATGTCATACATGTTACCATTGGTGTTTTTTTCAATGATAATGGCTATTTTTTGTTATTAAGATACTAATTCTGACTCTCAGCAGGGGGTTAATTATGCATCAAAACTCGTGAAAAAGTTAATATACTTATCAAATATAACTAGGACAGTAATAAAAACCATATTTCACGTACATTTGACTGAGGGACCAAAAGGGCATATATCCAGACACATCCTTTATTCTCCCATGTTTTGTTTGTAAATAGGTATAGGTAACAAGGTAACATGTCATTTTATTCATGGGATAAGAATACATGGGTCTTTCTAATTGATCAATTTCTCTACTTTTATTTTCATAATGACCTGGTAGTATTGTCAGAGTTCATGAAGCATATTTAAAATATTTGTATCCAGTGAGATTTCAATGAGACTTAAACTGAGCTACAGTAATGAGTTTTCATTTATCTCCCCTTAGATAGCAGACATCCCAGAATGGCTTAGTGATTGAAATTGATGAAATGAGAGTTGATCTAGTGAAATTATCTGAATGGATATAGGCGTATATAGTTAAATGTGTTCTTATCCTTAACAGCACTCGGAACGTATTTCGTATTTTTAAGTTTTGGAGAAAAATGCAGAGAATGAACTTGAGAACTTTGTCATTTTAAGCACAAGATATCTATTTTAAATCTGTGTCTGGTGAACCCTAAATAACATATTATTTGACATCTACATTTTCTCATTACTGTGGTGCAAATTCTATTTCATTTGTTCACTCATTCGATTTCACTTTCCTCTGTGGAGCAAAAATGAACATTGTTATTACCCTATTCCGCCTATATATTAATCTGATCAAAGTAGAATTTCATTCCCATGATTCTTTGTATATTTTAAGCAAATGCCATGTTTTCATTGGATAATTGGTTATGATTTATTATCTGATGTACAGGCAGTACATGTAAAAATATGTATGCTATTGATATGATATGAAATTGGCTGGGTTGTTGTGACTTTATATTAAACAGGGCGTAATATCATATCTAGACTACTATCTCGATGAATAAAAATGACTTTTTTGCTATGGATGAAGCTGAATATACGAATATTGAATGAGCGTGATTTTATCTTGTAAAGACTTTTTATGTCTACATTATTTTTAAAATTGAGAATATTTGCACTTTGTACCACCTGAATTAGCTGATTCGAAACGCTCCCTGAAATTACTGAAAAAAGAAGTTTTTTGTATGTTAACATGTCCAGTAAAGGTCGTAGTGCATCTTTGTCCAAAATTGTGTGAGGTCTTAACATGTTTGTATTGGAATAGATTTCACTTCAAGTGTAATATATGTTATGACCTGCAAGTGTCAAACAACAAACAGACAGTAGAAAGGCCATATTAAGTGACCCATGGTATGTCCAATATTCATCAAACTGTTTTTTATTTTCTATATCTCTTAGTCAGGATGCCAGCGAATATGGACAGAAATGTTCCAAATTATGCCAAAATGTTAAACCTGTCTCAGTGAACACCATTTCAAGAGACATGCTCTACTGACATCACTATTTACAGTGAACACTGGCTTCAATGGTGTTCAGCATAAACTAGGTTTCACTGTTAAACAGATACTTAGAAGGCAACCTCAGTTTGCATTAAAAGTTTCAAAAACTGCAATTTTTGGGTTATTCTCAAATCATCTCGTAATAGCCTGAGAATAAGAAGTTATTTTTAGGAAAAGGAGAAATAAATATGGGTGGTAAAACATTATTTGACTTAAGGAATAAATAATGATAGGCCATTCAATATGGTGAAATTCAGCACGAGTTGGACAGAATGTTGTACAAAGCACGAACCGGAGGTGAGTGCATTTGTACTAACATTCTGTCCAACGAGTGCTGAATTTCACCATATTGAATGGCCTATCATTATTTATTCCGATTCAAACATAAAAATTGGTAAAAGCCGTGTCTGTGGAACGGGCATGAAGGAAGAATACGCATGCTGTCAAGATTCTGAAGTCGGCCTGAAAAATTTTAGAATTTGTTTGGGCTGTTCTATTTTACTCCCCGTTTTAGATTTTATACGGTGTATGCAAACATGGGGTGTTGATAAAATAAAAATAAATAGGGAGTAAAAAAGAACAGCTATCCCCGGACAGAGCCCCAGATGTGCAGCTGAGATGTGACGTCACTCAAAACAATGCAAATTGCAGATTGAATAGAGCATGGTCGTGCATCTATGAAGAATTAGAGAACGTTCTATATTGGCTATGCTGCATTCTGATTGGTTGAGAAATTCGAATAGAGCACGGTCATGTTTGAATCCAGTATAAACAACATTGAACAACATATGTATTATAGAAAAAATGTTAATGAAATGGGTAATGCTCAATGATCAATCAATCAATCTTTAAAAAACAATATATTGCTGTGCTGAATAAGTGAGTAAAGTAATCATGGTCAAAAGCTTCAAGGGTATTTAAAGTGCCCTCAAAAAATAAATAAATCAACTGACAATTCATTAATCAATTTTTTGTGACATATTCACAACAACTCTTACAAAGTGACATATTTCATATATGAAGTAACTGCTCTGCATTGGGTCAAAATACCAGAAAATGTTGATTTGATTTTTATTTTATGAATCATTTGTATGAATAACGATTAATAAAAATAAAAAATAAAAACATTTTTTTTCAAAAATGAAGTAATAAGTAATATATTCAATAAGAATTTTTTTTTATTTATTTTTTGTGTGTTTCAGTGTCCCAGATGATTTCAAAGTGAACCCAGGTGCAGTAGAAGCTATTGCCGAACATCCAAATGATCCAAACCGCTACCTTATCGGCTACAATCGTGGCCTCGTTGTCATGTGGGACAATGAGAAAAGCCAAGCCGACCAAACTTACAATACAACACAGGTAGACTTGAACTTGAACATAGTCTATATATGATGAACATAGTCTATATATGAATTAATCATCAACTGAATGTTATGAATGTAAATTGTACATCATGAACTATACAATCATGAATCAGTCAGTTCATATATCAACTCTATGTCAATAATCAGTCAACTCTCTGTCAATGATCAGTCAACTCTATGTCAATTATCAGTCAAATATATGTCAATAATCAGTAAATTGACTGTATATCAATAATCAGTCAAGTGAAGAATCAGCCAGCAGTATATTAAGAATTCCCTGTATTTATTTAGTCAGGGCATTTCCAAATGGTCTCAAAATTGCTCAAAAAGTCAGTTGATTTTATGTTATTACATCTTTATTTTTCAGCAACTTGAATCTGTGACATGGCACAGAGATGGTACACAGTTCATGAGTGCCCATGCTGATGGTAGTTACATTATATGGTCCACAGAAGACTCTAATGAACCCAAGGAAAAGGCTACCACTCCATATGGTAAGTTTACCATTGCTAAAAACGAGACCCTCTCATTGCAAAGCCTTTCACTGTATGTGTATTGACAGGCCCGTGCCAGGGGAGGGAGAGGTCCCCCCAGCAGGAAATTCTTTCAAAATCATGCAGTTTTTCACCATTCTGAGCACTTTTTGCATGATCTTTTTGCCAAAAACTGTCAAAAAGCTCCCCCTTGGCAAAAGCTCTCCTTTGGTAAAACCACTCCCCCCAGGTAAATCCTGGCTACGGGCCTGATTGATACATGACCCTGCAACAACAAAGTATGTCAGTGTATACTGAATACACAACCCTTTATTAATAACAGAAAGTTGGCATAGCAAGAGAGATCTATCTGTAGGATAAGGGCTTGACTTTATTCATAGTGAAAACAACAATGTTATATATTTGATGACTGACTGCCCAAAGGATTGCCATATTCACATTTAGTATACATTACAAATACCACAGTGATGAGACATCAACCTTTCCTCTTTTATATTCAATTAAAAAAAAATAATTTCTGGGTTCCTTTGTTAGGCTAAATGAGCAGTGCTTTAGATAAAAATCATATTTATGATTCATAGTTCAAGGTTTGCCGTCCTTTATTATTCTCTTTCATTTTCATTTTGTTTCATGGGAAAAAGTTCAAAACTCATTTGAAAGGAAGAAGATATTTAAAAAATGAACTTTTAAATAGCCACAAAAATGCAGGCTTTATGAATGGTTTGGGAGAAGAAGGCATTGAAGTGAAGTAAACATACAACTGAAATTTCCATTCAGAATTTATTTTGTAAGCATTCAATGCAATTAATTTTGCATATGTATTTTGATGGTTTAATGAACCAGTTAATTTAGAAATGATATCTGATATTAAAATGATAGGTATGTGCTGTATAGTAATTTGTATGTTTACACTCGTGGATCAGTCTATATATTTTTCAGTTTTTATTAGGCCTTTTCAAAACAATATTATTTCCAAGATGCTGATCTTGATCTTGATGTTATGTTTATTTGATGCATATTTTGTGTATAATTAGCTGTGTTGATATATTTTCTGTTGCTTTATTTCTTTGCTAAATCCCTTTTTATGTAATCACAGTATCTTCCCTTGTTTTGGCATTGACCTGTAAAAACTATGTGAAGTACTTGTGGTATTCCTTAATGCCCTGGGTAGAAATGCTATATTTCAAATACTACGAGCCATAAAATCAAAACTCTATGTTGTCTGTCTAAAATCTTACAATAGTTTAGAATGCAGAAAGTACAGGAAATAAATGAAAATGTACGCTTGATGCGGAAACTCTGTATTATGTAAAAATGTCAGATAATCAGAAATCTTATTTTGTTTAAAGGCAAAAAAGAAGGAATTTGAATGATTAGATAGGTATTTTAAGATTAAGACATATTAGTAATGCTAATATCCTATACAACTGCACAAACCATAAAAGAAAGTAGTTCCGGCTAAATGCCACTATAAATCCGGAATTCAGTTTCATATACTTAACCAAGAATTAAGTTTGAATTGAACAATGTAACTAACAGTTAGTATCACTTATCATTGATTAAATCAATCTTTTCATAGAGTTTAATGAGGGATATTAAAAATCCAAATTGGCTTTTAGAATGCTGATTATATTTAATTGAAGGTTTAGCAAATTTAAGTCTCCGTAATCTCATTTCTTACCCGCCTTAATTTCTTTAAGTAAAATAAATCTGAGGCTATGTTTACCTTGGATTATACTTCAAAGTGTTTTCTAGATAAATATAAAATAGTGCCTTTGGTCATTTGTCCGACTTTCTGAGAGGTCTCTTTGTATGTCAGTGGCGGTCAACTTTTACAGCTTTTGTAGTCCCTTATAGGAAGATATTCAGAACTTTACAGTAAAGTAAAAAGTTCAACACAGATAATATAGATGAAATGATGTTGCTAATACATTTTATTCATTTTTAAACACTGGGGGTTTGGGGCAGTTATGTAAAATCAGAGAGGGGAGGGGTTGGTCATTGTCACAATTTCATCTTTACTTACTAAATGACCCTCAACCATTTTAGTTGAAAACATAATTTTCTGTTTTTTCTGAATATATTGTTTTTTTCTCATCTGTGTTCTAGACAAAAAGTATTTGTATTTAAGACAAATTATAAAGATGACAAACTGCTTATATGTTTGTTATTTGAGCTGTTCTATATTTACTATCTTGTTTATTATGTTTACATTTTTTCATATTCTCTTCCAATTTCAGGACCTTTCCCATGCAAATCTGTCAACAAGGTTCAATGGAAGACTGCCAAAGCGTAAGTTGAATTTTTGTTACAACCAAACATGTTCTATATTGAATTGTTTTTGTTAAGAGATGTGTTTTCATCCATTGTCATATATTTATTATAGAGTGTGTCTTATGTTAAGACCATATTGTGTGCATTAGAATATTCACTGAGTAAAATTCAGCTTTTCAAGCATTACAGTGTAAATAAATAAACGATTATTTAAACTATATACACTTACATTTATATTCCTTTCTGTTCATTTTAGTGGAAACTTCATTATTTTCTCTGGAGGCATGCCCCGTGCCAGTTATGGCGATCGTCACACTGTCAGCGTAATGCAGGGCGGTACACACACAGCTTTCGATTTCACATCACGCGTCATAGATTTCCTTGCACTGACAACTCTTGATGAAATGGATGCCGAAACTATCGGAGATGACACAATCGCAAGTAAGTACAAAACGGAGCATGTTCAACCATATTTCATACTTAGTAAAATTGTAGGATGAGTTAGTGTGATAATTACTGATCGGAAAACAAGTATAGATGTTAATATAAATTATGTGAATTGATGACAGGTTTAAAAACAGACAGCTTAGCTTAACGCAAGAGTAAAGGTTATCAAAATGGCGAAAAATTGGACTTTTTCTTCTGGAAATTCATTTTATTTGATTCATCACATGTAGCAATATTATACAGGGTGTCCCCAGTGTCACTATTGGACACCCTGTATAAATTAGATGTCACTCAATGTCGTCAAGAGTGCATGCTTTTTCCTTACTTCCTTCATACATATACATACAGGGTGTTTCGTTAATAATGAAATTCTAAGATTTGTGCCAGTTATGAGGCACCCTGTATGAGTACAATTAGAGTATGGTTTATACACTCATGAGTAAATATGATGTGAAATAACTGAGCATAAGTGAACAACAAGGGAGAGCACTATGGACACAAGTTGTCAAAGGAGGTCTATTTGACCAACCATCCAATCATATTTGAGAGTTTTGATAGAATTGGGAAGATTGTACATCTTTTCTTAATGGAATGAAAGGCTTTACAATTGATCTATATATTTTAATGTGACTTCCCTGGACAATATCTAAACAATCTATTCACAAGTTGACTTTTGATTTCTAATGTTTTAATGATGCAGTTACTTATACAATTAAAAATATTAATGTTATTATTAACAAAACTCATGAAATGTTCTTATTGAATACAAAAATATACTAAAATATTCATATAACATAATATTTATTAACAACGTGTGGTGATTTTTCTCTTGGCAGATACACAAGGAGGTATGTATGTAGTACAAATCATACAAAATCTTCTTCTTTGACTGCTTCCAAACCTTATTTGTATATTTAAATCTGCAAAATTCACAACTGGTTATGTGCTTTATTAGGAGAAGTGCATTATACAGGAGGGCATTGTCCCAGAGGGCACTTTTGACCACGTGGATATATATGGATGTCCCATTATCTCTTCATTTTATGTCACCACCACAAGTGATGACACATTGTAATGGTCTTTTTTGTAATGGTGTCCGGTGGTTGGTGTGTGGCATTCAGCATATGTAACAAATGTAACAAATGGCAGGTAGTGACATTTTGCATGTTAGTTCCTTGTTAATAAATATGGTATAATGCCCTTTGGTTATAATGAGGTTGTCCTAATGGGGTTGAAAGCAAGTAGTGCCACCTATTTTCTCAAGAGCTCAATTTTATGCTTGAAATCTGTTAATCGACATTGACAAGTTCAGTTTTTTTTCAGTTAACCCTATTGTTAGTCCCCTCCCTTTGTTTAAAACTGTACCACTTTTCCATTGAATTTCATTGAACTGGCACTGTTTTGATGTTATCAGTTGGTACTGTTTGATATCTCATACAAAAGTTTTGATCGTTTCAATTGAAATTATTTTTCAAATGTTGTCCTTGGCATCTTATGTTAATAATAGAATATAGTCCCACCCCACCAGGGTGCAATTTGGTACTAAATAAGTATTATCAAAACAGTGCCAATTAATCGTACAATGACAGTTTTGCTTTGCGCTTTGCCATAAGGGGGTTGGGAAAGTTGCTTTGATCATAGGCAATCCGCATTGTTGTATCATACCTTAACAACATTGTGATGTCATAAAAGTACATCCATTCTATGTTTAGTTGTCATATGATCCAGGAAAACCATAGAGGCTTAGCCGACAATTGTGAGAATTTGTCTCAAAACTGCATGCACATTTTGCTTAGCTTTTAGAGTTAGAATTCGGGCAAAAGTAGTAAATTATCCTTTAATGCAGTTTGTTGAAATAAGTGGATTGAGCCTTTAAGCTAAGCTGTCTGTCTGTTCTTGAAGCTTTCTCGGAGACCGAGTTATAGAAATGATTGCAGATATGCACACGAGCCATGTAGATAATGTATATACATATGCAAGTTCATGTTTATACCCAGATTTATGTAGGCATAATGTAATAAATCACTGTTAACATCCATTTACTACCAGAAAAACAATTCTTCAAGCTTCAAGGATAAATGCAGGACAGGAGTAATCAAGATATTGCTCTTACAATATTCATGACTTTTGGGGAATTCGATGAAGTACTCGATCCTGATTGCTTGACATATTTGCACTGGTTAACCTTATGATGCATCTATTTCGATATTAAATCCTTGTACATTGTCATAAATATGACGAAAATAGAGATTACAATGATTTGCACTTGTGGATAGCTCCCTTGAGAAATAAAGAATGTTATTGTTGAAAATAGGTTAATTGGTGAAAGAGAATATGTCATGCTTATCATGTATTATGTTATTTTAAGAGAAATTAAAGTGCAGTCCCTGAAAATAATTTCATAAAGCCCCAAGGCACATTTACAATAATATAGTTATTTCAATATACATATATGACAATGATGTGTACTATAAAAAGATATCAGAATCCTTGAATTTGAGCATAGACTAGGAAACCACCGTCTACCTTTTGCATAGATCTTTGAATTATATGGAAATTAGACTGGAGTAAATCTAATTGCTCAAATAGGTTACCAGCCACAGTACAAGAAAATTCCATACCAACTATCCTCTATTTGCAGAGTATGATGAGCCCCATACACTGTTGGTTCTCTGTGAAGAGGAACTTGTGGCCATTGATCTGTTGTCTGATGGCTGGCCCAGCTTCCAACTCCCATATTGCAGCAGTCTCCATTCTAGCGCTATCACAACATCTGCACATGCTGCCAATGTACCAGATGCATTTTGGGAAAAGGTTGAACAGGCCGGCAAAGCACAATTTGAAGGATTCTCAGTTCGGGTGAGTTGATGTTGTGTTGATTATATCGCATTTAGACTTCCTTATACTACACTTGATTAAAAGTTCTATATTAAAGATAGAACATCAATCTTCAGGCCATGTTCAGCTATAGCTCAATTTCCAGTGCTCGATGATAGCTCAAATTAAAAACCACAATAGGTTAAAACATGGGCTTTCAATTAGAATTTCAACTAGAATTCTAGTTGAAAGCCCATGGTTAAAAGTACTGTAAAGCCTGACTAGGTAGAACACCTTTACTACCTCTAAAAGTGTTTCACTTGGGATGTATTCATTTACATTAAGTCAGTTTGTCTTGGGACTGTGAAAAGTTCCACCAACAAAAGTGTTCCACTTCTAGAGGTGTTCCTCTTTACAAGTTTCACTGTACCTCTACAGTAATGAAAATAAATAAAATTATTATCCTTACATATTCAGGAATGGCCCATCACAGGTGGAACCAACCTTTCAGGGCCTGCCACATCAAGAGATATGCTCCTAACTGGACATGAAGATGGCTCCGTTAGATTCTGGGATGCCTCCACTACAGATCTGAAGCTTCTATACAAACTCACCACCACTGAGGTGTTCGGTGATGGCCCACTTGACCAGAGCAATGCAGAGGGAGATGAGGAATGGCCACCATTCAGGAAGGTACTGTTGCATAAAATTTGTATTCATTGTGACTGACATTTAGGAAGCTAGTCAGTATTTTTTTATGTCACCACCAAAAGTGGTGACATATTGTTATGGTCTCCGTTTTTTTGCGACGGCGTCCGGCGGTTGGAGGTTGGCGTCTGGCGTCCGGCGGTTGGCGTCTGTAACAATTTCTTACAACTTCCTATAGCTTAACAAATACTGTTTAGACTGACTTCAATTTTTTTCTAAATCATCTACATGTTCTCAGAAGTTCAAATCTGACTTTAGATTTGACATTTGACCTTCAATGACCTTCTCAAGGTCAAAAAGGTCTTTTTTCAACTTGCTTCACATTGACTCAATTTTTTTTTCAAAATCATCTACATGTTCTCAGAAATTCAAATCTGACTTTAGATTTGACATTTGACCTTCAAATCTGACTTTAGATTTGACATTTGACCTTCAATGACCTTCTCAAGGTCAAAAAAGGTCAAAAAGGTCTGTTTTCAACTTGCTTCAAATTGACTAAATTTTTTTTTCAAAATCATCTACGTGTTCTCAGAAATTCAAATCTGACTTAAGATTTGACATTTGACCTTCAATGACCTCCTCAAGGTCAAAAAAGGTCAAAAAGGTCTGTTTTCAACTTGCTTCAAATTGACTAAAAAATTTTTTCAAAATCATCTACGTGTTCTCAGAAATTCAAATCTGACTTTAGATTTGACTTAAGATTTGACATTTGACCTTCAATGACCTTCTCAAAGTCAAAAAAGGTCAAAAAGGTCAAAAAGGTCTTTTTTCAACTTGCTTCAAATTGACTAAATTTTTTTTTGAAATCATCTACATGTTCTCAGAAATTCAAATCTGACTTTAGATTTGACATTTGACCTTCAATGACCTTCTCAATGTCAAAAAAGGTCAAAAAGGTATTTTTTCATCTTGCTTCAAATTGACTAATTTTTTTTTTCAAAATCATCTACATGTTCTCAGAAATTCAAATATGAGTTTAGATTTGACTTTGGATTTGACATTTGACCTTCAATGACCTTCTCAAGGTCAAAAAAGGTCAAAAAGGTCTTTTTTCAACTTGCTTCAAATTGACTAATTTTTTTTCAAAATCATCTACATGTTCTCAGAAATTCAAATCTGCCTTTTCGATTTGACATTTGACCTTTAATGACCTTCTCAAGGTCAAAAAAGGTCAAAAAGGTCTGTTTTCAACTTGCTTCAAATTGACTAAATTTTTTTTTCAAAATCATCTACATGTTCTCAGAAATTCAAATATGACTTTAGATTTGACTTTAGATTTGACATTTGACCTTCAATGACGTTCTGAAGGTCAAAAAAGGTCAAAAAGGTCTTTTTTCAACTTGCTTCAAATTGACTAATTTTTTTTTTCAAAATCATCTACATTTTCTCAGAAATTCAAATCTGACTTTAGATTTGACCTTTGACCTTCAATGACCTTCTCAAGGTCAAAAAGGTCTTTTTTCAACTTGCTTCAAATTGACTAATTTTTTTTCAAAATCATCTACATGTTCTCAGAAGTTCAAATCTGACTTTAGATTTGACATTTGACCTTCAATGACCTTTTCAAGGTCAAAAAGGTCTTTTTTCAACTTGCTTCAAATTTACTTAATTTTTTTCAAAATCATCTACATGTTCTCAGAAGTTCAAATCTGACTTTACATTTGACCTTCAATGACCTTCTCAATGTCAAAAAAAGTCAAAGAGGTATTTTTTCAACTTGCTTCAAATTGACGAATTTTTTTTTCAAAATCATCTACATGTTCTAAGAAGTTCAAATCTGACTTAAGATTTGTGTGCAACTAGTTTTAACTTGCTTCAGATTGAACAATTTCTTTTTTCAAAATCATCTACAAGATCCCAGAAGCTCAAATCTTCAAAAACATTCTTAAGGTCAAAAGGTATTTTCCAACTTGCTTTAAATTGACCAAATTGTTTTAGGTGGTGACATTTTGTCATGTTAATGCCTTGTTTATATTTATTCCAATCAGGAAAATGCTGTTGTTTATATTTTAGGTCTTCTAACAGGGAAGAACTTTTACCTGAATATTCAACAAAATTAAACAGATTTTTTAAGAAAGAAAGTGTATAAGCTCCATTTTTTGAAATGCAACATACCGAATGTTTAAGTGGAATAAAAATGTTAATTAGGAAATGTCTATCCTAGGTTGGAACTTTCGACCCATACAGTGATGACCCTCGTCTCGGCATCCAGAAGATCACATTGTGCCCCCTTAGTGAGACACTAGTGATTGCTGGTACAGCAGGTCAGGTGGTCCTTCTTGGACTAGAACGTGAGCAACGCACGACAGAGGTCAGTTCTGTCACTGTAAACATTGTCAGTGATAGGGACAACTTTGTCTGGAAGGGACATGAAGCTCTGAAAGTGCGAGCCGGAGATGTGAAATTTGAGGCAGGTTTCCAGCCATCTGTTGTGATGCAGCTACACCCCCCTGCGGCTTGTACCGCTCTGGCAGTGCAAACTGAGTGGCAATTGTAAGTAACAATTTTTGATTGAATTTCAATTTGATTTGATCTCGAGCAATATTTATTGTTCTGTTTCTATAGCCATTATAGAGTCTCCTCAAGGGGATTACATTTTCTATATATTAACACAGATTTATATACTTCATATTATTACATCATCAAGAAAATTATGATTGCTTTAAGTGCTAATTCACTGTTGTAGGATTGCCGCTGGAACTGCCCATGGATACGGTCTCTTTGACTATGCCCAAAAGAAGGAAGTAGCCACAAAGTGCACACTTAACCCACAGGGTAAGTAAAGCTATTGTCACCATCAGTCGCATAACACCTTAAGCCATTAACCATGGATGAAACTTGCTGTATTTAATTGAGAATATGATCAAAACTGTTGAGTCTGGTTCAACATTGAATTGGAAATGATGAATATTTAAAATCTGGCGAGAAATGAGTCTTTTAATTGCAAGTTTCATCACATAAAAATGAAAGTGACAGTTCAACTCACAAGAACCAAGAATTATCTCAGTTAGAACCTCTGTGTTTCTATGGAACTCTATCTTATTTTATTCTCTATGTTGTGGGTTGAACGGGGGTATAGGAGTGAGGGGGTCAAAGCTTTGTGCTGAATATATATTATTTGGTACTATATTTCTTGTATGGCATTATGTGTATGTTATATAATATAACAATAACAGAGTGATCATCCTGCATACAGTTATATACCGTTTTAAAGCATTTAAATATCCTGTTTACACCTTTAGACAGTAACCAACCATCAGTATTATTATCATACAAGTACAATGGTATTGTGTGACAAGTACTAGTGTAAAACAGCCATTCAATAAAATTAAAACTGATTATCTTAATACAGTTAACTTTGATTGTCCCCATATTTATTACTAAAATTGTTCATACCTACCTAACATTATAGGCGACCCTGAAGGTATATCTCGCATCACATTTTTGATTTTACCAACTGATATCTAGTTGTACCATATATGTTATTTTTTGCATGTATGTTGGATTGGATGTTTCAATATTATACTAATATACAAAATATTCTTGTCTAAAAGCTTGATGCATTTTATAATGTCTCATTTTGCCATTTGATGAATAGTTGCATGTATTATAAATCAGGTCTTTTAAGTTTAAGCTTAGATATGTAACCATATTTTAGAGATCAAAACTTTGTTTATCTTTCTAGTCAATGTTTTTTGTTAGCTTTACGGCACACTTTGGTCATTTTGTGGCGTTGAAAATCCAAGTTCATAATTGCATCCTTTCTAATTGGAATGTTAAATTCATTGTATTTATTGGTCATGTTATGTGTTTATTTATGCTATAATAGATAATCTGCATATCCTTTACTGTGCATGATTATATCATCCAGTATTTATCCAAATTTTGCTTTCCCAGTTGATTTATTTGGTATGTTTTATGAATGTGGAATGAGTATTGTCGATGGTCATTGTAATAATTAGTGGGTCCTTTTTCCATTTAATTCATCAAAATTGTGAGGAAATTCCAAAGAATACAATCAATTAGCATGAATTTCAATTTCAAAGTTGTATAGAAATGTATTAAAATTAGTAGCTGTATTTTCAATTTTGCAGCTTAGAAATCTGTATGCATGACAAATCATTGTAAGATCATAAAAAATTATAGTCCATTGTGCATGTTAAGATGGAAAAATTGACCATGATTGAGTGCTTAACTTTTTAATGAATATGCTCGGACATAATTTTTGTTATAGATGAAGCTTAAAGCCTTGAAATATTTGTTTCACACATGTATTGGTGTCTCACACTCCAACAATTGATACATTCCTTTCTAAATGTTGTTATCTAAGAATAGCACAAGTCTTGTTACTAGAATATTGATTCTATTTCATTCATACACTAGTCATTTATCTTATCACATTTCTTGTTATCTTTATCCTGGATGCACACTGATTAAAGGATAAAATATGGTCACAGGATGTACAAAGGATCATGGGAGATGTATGATATTCACATAAGTTACTTGACATTGTAGTATCTAAGCTAACCTTTTCAATTTTTCTTTGAAGATTTAACTGGGACTGGGGAGAGTGCCATGTCTCGCCGTAAGTCATTCAAGAAATCACTTAGAGAATCATTCCGCCGCCTCCGTAGAAAAAAAGAAAGCTATGAAGTTAATGCCAAGAAGAAGGAAGAACCAAAACCTAAAGAAGAGGAACCAGCAAAGGAAGCAGAAAAGACTGAGGAGAAGAAGGAAGAAGAGGGGGCTGAAGCTCCAGCAGTTGAGGGAGCCGAGGCAGCAGCTCCTGCCCCAGCTGAGCCAGAACCCGCACCTGCAGCTACCCCACCACCCAAGGAGGAACCTGCAGCCCCTGCCCAATCCGAAGGACGACGAACCATTGAGAGACAAGTTGAAGCTAGACCAGTTGATGACTCCATGGGATCTATGGTCCGATCTCTCTATTTCTGTGACACTTTCATACTTCACGGTATGTACGAGGCAATGTTTACAGGAACATGTCCAATGTTAACACTGACGTGATTGGGTAAAAACATTCACATTTTGATGTATCAACAGCTTGGTATTTCCAGAAAAAGTGTTCACTGACAAACCTTCACTGTAGTTAGAGAGTTCCATTTGTAGGTTGAATTGTACTGTATAAGGTCTGTATAAAGGTTTACAACTTTGAACTGTAAATTTTATATCTTACATTTGTATTACAGATAAAGCCACACATAACACCTTATGGGCTGGCACCAACAATGGAAACATATTTGTCCACACACTCACAGTTCCAGCAGCTGACAAACGAGGAGAAGACTCTGTTGTCTGCCAACTAGGTGAGTTATACATAGCTTTCTTTGTAGTATTTCCCCTAGGTGGCCCTGATTGAGTATATGTGATAAATGGGGAGAAGATCAGGAATACAATTTTGACCCAATTTTATACTTTCAAAATGAATAATATCTTGATAACAAAAATTATGATTCCTAGCTATTTCTTATTCATGTATAATAAGGAAGTAGTGCTCTTTTATAACTTTTTTTTAAGTTTTGTGTATCGAAAAACATAAAAACCCAAACTGACTAATTTTTTAGCACGTGAAATTAGACTGAAGCACCACGCTCCTGTGATATCTATTGCTGTGATTGATGGCCGCGCTGCACCCTTGCCTGATGCCCTTGAAGTTGCCAATGAGAGAGCAAAGGTACCAGAAAACCACGACCACAAAGTTGTCATAGTTTCCGAGGAGCAAGTGAAGGTATGCATATCTGTACAATTAAAAAAAATTTCAAGTTGAACTTAAAAGGTCATTCTTGCACAAACTCAGAAGCATCAATATTTAAATGAAAGAAATGGACTGAACCATACAGTTATTTTATCATTGATTTGGCCATTTTAGATTTTCACCCTACCCAACTTGAAGCCGTACGGCAAATTCAAGCTGACAGCACATGAAGGCAGCAGAATTCGCAAAGTTGGTTTCACATCATACAGAAGTAGAAGTGGTGAGTATTACAATATTTCTCTTTGGCTCATGGGTAACATACTTGTATCATTTTGTACATATTTACTTAAGAAATTCTCATTCTCTGTTAATACAGGGTGTTTCAAAAGTAGGACTGGTGCTGGCATTTTGTTAAATAACCATAACTCTAAACGCATTTCATCATTTTTTCTGAAACTTTATAATTTAAGTTGAAATACTTCAAAGTACAATTTGTGAAAATTTGAAGATACTCAGTGCAAAATTGACAAAATGCCAGCACCAGTCCTGTTACTTTTGGAACACCCTGTAGTGCTCAAAATTGTGGTTTCACAAACTATAGATGAAACACATATTTGCATATTACAAAATGATGTGATTTATGTTACAGTGCATAATTCTTAATCATGTTTCAGATGAAAACTACGCAGAAACTGACATTAGTGTTTTGACCAATCAGGGAGACCTGAATATTTACACCTTGCCTGGACTGCGTCGCCAGTTGAACCAAAATGCCATTAGGAAGGAAGATGTTGTGTACGTATTAATATATAAATCATACTACTCTTGTACATGAAATATATTCTCTGATCAATACTATTTTAAATCATTCAAATTCACCACTATTGTTTGATTACACTAACCTCTTGCAGAATTTTTTTTTTGATTTATATCTTTACATCATTTATATTTATTTTATCACCATTGGTGTAACCACCATTTTTGGATTTTTGTGATCCTTGTTCAGCATCCACGCCAGTGTCTAACAAATTGTTAATTTTTCGTAGTTGCAACTACGTGGTGATATTTTTTTTTCATGTTAGCATCTTAACTGGAAATTGTCGTTCTGTCAATTCACAGATGTGTCTGATGAATCTGTTTCTTTGTAGAATGTTATTGAATACTCCCCGGTATGTATGGAAAAATTGATTTGTTGATTGTTGATGATTGTTCATAAATTCATTAGTTAGTTGTACAGGGTGTTCCTAAAATTGGAACAATTCACTTTTTGGACCACCCTGTAATATATATGCCAGTTTGCAGATCTGTTGATCAGCTTTGAATCCTCTTTTTTTACTAGGGCTGTCATTAAGACTGTATAGAACAACCCTCGGCTGTTTTTGCTTGTTTGTGACATTCATATTCTGAAAATGCCTGAATTGGTGCATCTTCCATCGTCTCAATCCATGTATAACAGACCAATATTGAAAAATTATTTTTTTGACAAATCTATCGTTAGTACAATACAAAGGATCCAAAATAACCAAGTTTGGTTAATTATAACATCATAACTTCATAAAAATATGGATGTAACATTTGAATACAATAATCAAATTGTTGTAATTGTAAATTTTTAATCATTTTTCTTTATTTTTGTAACAGAGGTATATCATCAGCTGTATTCACAAAGAATGGCCAAGGTTTCTACCTTGGGTCACCCTCGGAATATGTGCGATTCTCCCTTTCTGCACGCTACACTAGTACACCCCTGTGTATGGTTGAACTGAAGGAGGGCATGAGGCCACCACCCCCAGAACCAGAACCTGAAGCAGAACCTGAGGTGGAAGCAGCCGCAGCTGAAGAGACACCCGCAGCTGAAGGAGATGCTGAGGCCAAACCAGCGTAAGTTGCTTTATATTTCTGAAAAGGGCACTATGTGTGAGCTAAGCTCCTACCCAAACCAGAGCTATTTAGTTTTGATCCGATCTAGTTGTGTATTATGGAATACAGGTAATGTTAAGAAAATGACAACTTAACTGGAATGTTAGATGTTCTTATATGACACTTTCTGAGAAGACATTTTCTTTTGTGCCTCATTCTTGATACCTTCACAGGTTGGAAATGGAGTTAATTGTTTTCTATCTATGATGCCATGATTTCCACTGACTTAAAAGCTACAAAATTACCAAATTACCACAAATTACCATGTGCATCCTGCATGTAAAATATAATATTTGTAGAGTAAGATTTATTTATTTATGTACAAATACATATATAGTTAAAATAAGGAATCACATATCATTGGTTATGGTATTTAATCGGACAGTTTTGATTAAAATTAAGTACTGCACATAATCTCCAAACCACATCACAGTGAAGGTTTCACAGTCATTACTGCCTTCGATTTTCTATTTCCTTGACCTTTTCATCGCTTGCCCTTTACACTCGTGGCTGCATCTATTGTAGAGAGGAGAGCAAAGAGGGTGATGAAGCTGTTGCCGTAGTAACCGAAGCTGTTGCTGCAACAGCACTCGATGATAGCCGCGTTGAGGAAAACGCTGGAGATATAACACAAGATAGTGTTCAAGAACATCTTATGTAAGTTGTAGAAAGGGACCCTTGATCATCATATATTTGTAAAATAAATCTATTGCACCTACTGATTATTTTGCGAATTGAAACCCCATGTCCAACCTCCATATAATTAAAAGTATTGCTAAGTGGAGCTATTATTGTTAAGCCTTGGCACAATAGTCTATATATATCTTTTTCAGAACCTAAGTGATAGAAATTATGGTCCTTTGGTGAATATGGTCCCCTTTCTTTATGACACCAACTGGCCCTTATTGATTGTGAACCATAAGAAAAATATTTGTAATTACGCCACATTATAAATCAATTGAGAGTGAACCATAATTTAAAAGGACCAGATAATTATCCACACTCCATAGAGTATATACTCTTTGTTTCATTAAATAAGAATTCTAGATTTTTTTTTCATGATTTCTGATTTCCCTTCCAGTACTGAGGCTACTACCACGACCACTGAGTTAGTAGAGGGAGGCACTTCATCAGAGGTTATAACATCATCAACTGTTACCACAACAACCATCATCACTGAACAACGTGTTGAGGGTGCAGTCGTCACAACAACAGAAGAACAAGGTACAATTGGTCTTTCTTCATAAATCTCATTGGTTCAAATAGATACCCTTTGATATGGGCAATCGCCATTGCAGGTTACTGGTATGATGGGTTGTCAGTGGTTTCTCCAGTTATTCTTTTAGGGTAGCTAGCTCTAGTGGCAAAACTTCTCTTTTAATAAAGTAAACCCACAGGGACATTTCTGTGGGATTTTGCTCAGCTTTTTTGGAGGGTAAGCTTAGCTTGATTTAAAGGATCTCTATGCATCAAATTGCTTTTATAGATATGAATAATACTTTTATACTAAGTACACAAAGTCCAGTTTATTATCACCTTTTCCAACTAGCTTTCCATGTTATTAAATGGAGCTTTCTTTTATATTATGTAAAAGTGGTAATGTGTAATTTCCAGTTGGGTGATTCTGAATCAAACTGCTCTGGTTTTTAACAACTATGTTTTTATTAAGAGGAACTTTTTGTCAGGAGCTGTTTCTCAAACATATAGAAAAAAGTTTAAGCAAATATTTTTGAGAAGCTGTGTCCATATTTTCCCTATTTTCTTAAGGTCCCGAAAGATGTGTATCTAAATGTTGTATTTTTCTGTACATGCACAGTTTCTGTTTCTTGCTATGCTGTGTATCTATTTTTGTGGCTTACCTGAACTCTTATTTAGTCTCCTCAGAAAACACTAGCACAGACCCCCAACCCATCGTAGAAGAACCAGATGATCAACTAGATGCAGGAAAAATAATCGAAAATGTGACAAAAACAACTACTACTGTTGTCAAGGAAACCAGTGATGTAGTAAAGGTGGGGTAACCCTGGCACCCAACTTTCTCACCCGCTACTAACTTCTTAACTTCTTGCTTCTTGGGCATTATCTGATATCTCCAAGTGCATTATGGGACTGAATAAAATCCTGTTGCATTCTGGGATGTCTGCTATAGTGCATTCTGGGACTGGCTGGTTCATAGCATTGTTCACGCTTTTTAGTATTATATAAGATGAAAAATAATTGAAGCAGTTGATGCATGCTCATGTTGATTGATTTGAAAATTGTTAAAAATATTTTTTTAATGATTTTATTGTTTTTGATGTTCAGTTTGAATTTTACAATTAGATGCATGTTTTTCTTGAAGAAAAATTCTTGTGTAATATGGTAAATGTCAACTTCATGCAAAATTTCAAGTTAAATTTGAAAACTGGAGAACATTTGAAAAAGCTACATAAAATTCTTTCTGGTACATATAAAATGTCTCATAAGTCAGCAACGGATGTATTGTACTTATGCAAGACAGAAATAAATAAATATACATACATATGTACATGTTTATATAAATTGCATATCCTTGAGCATATTGGTATATTGCGTATCGTGTCAAATGGCTTGTGACAAAGCAGTCATCTCGATGACATTTGCACCTGTTCTCTGCATATTGACATATTGGCTGAGAAAGTGGGTGTTGGGTTATATCACCATCTTTGACACTTGCTATAAAGGTGCAGACCAACTCGATTAGAATTTATTAAAATAAGAAATATACCTGTCTGCATCTTTATTATCATTGAAATTTAAAAGCCATGAAAAACAATCAATTTTATATTGAATAACAAAATAACCAGATTGGTTTGGGTGAAAACTTGACTTTTATTTGTTACTGAATCATCAAATCGACCATTTTTGGTAGAAACAATTATGTTCGATCACAGTTTGGCTGTAGATAAATGATAAATGAAATAATGACATGGTATACCCTTCGTATCATGACCAGGCAAATTTATTTATTCTGTAAAGTTTACCAAGATAAGTGCAATGTCACTATGGAAATCTATCTGTCCATTTTTTATTACATGTTATTTTCTGGTGGAACATTTTGCCTCAGTTTTTCATATTTTTTATTTTTATTTTTTATTTAGTTTTCATTAGTAGTTGGGATAGACTTACACATGTGTAACAGTATACATTTAGAAACCGGGGTGTAATACACGTGACTATATGTTATTGATAATCTATCAATACCACAAAAACTACTAAAAAATGTACACCATATTTATTTTTATTTACACCTGGGTCCTTGGCTGGTTGCAAATCACATTGAGAATCATTATAACAATATTAGAGTTCAGTTTATAGCATGAATATACAGTAGTAGAGTGTAGTTGAATCTCAGCATGGGTGTTATGGGTATTGGATGGTGCATGGAAGATGGGTTTTCGATTGTACACCATTACACCGTAGTTCCAGTAAAAGGTGTAGTTCCCTCAATATAACCTGTGTAGTATTATGTAGTTGTAGTGTGTAGTATTTTACTTTATGTTGTAATTAATCTACATTTACCATACATGTATTAGTGATTTATTGTTGTATTTTATTATATATTGTTGTAATTTATACAATATAGAGCCTATTTTTTATTAGATTTTATTTCTTCACTCAAATATATTTTTTCACTGATACACTTCTGTTTTGATTACTGAAGTTGTCTGAAACTGTCCATCCTGGTGTTAATAATGTTATCATGAAGAAACTATTGTTTAATATTTTCTGTTTCAGGTTAATGATGAGACTGTTGCTGAAAATGAAGAGACAGTGAGTGAACAATTAGAGGAGTTAAGAATCACAGAAGAAGGAGATGATAATGTAGAAACTTCTAGTAAACCAGATGGGGATTCAGAAACTTCTAGTAAACCAGATGGGGATTCAGAAACTTCTAATAAACCAGATGGGGATTCAGAAACTTCTAATAAACCAGATGGGGATTCAGAAACTCTAATAACTACTACTACTACAACTACGACCGTAGAACCACAAGAAAATGGTGTAGTTGAAACAGAAAGTAGCGTCGAAACCACAACTATTTCATCCACGACTGTTGTCACAACAGAAACTGTTAAATCAGAAACTCGTTCTGAGGACTCTGAGGCTGTAGTCAGCCAATAAGCTATGTCGATTTGTAGAAAGATTTCGACTCTAAAGCCATTTCTCCATGCTTCAGTGTTCAAACAATTGTACCTTAAACAAGAACATTAGTTTTATTCAATTTATAATTTGATGAGAAAAGCTAGGGCATATCCAATGTAGAATCCGAGTCTGGCATGTAGATGTACTAGGTTTATTGAATCTGTTGCGCCAGTGAAGCTCTGTTTTTACGCTACAAACACTGCCATGTAATATTATAGTCAGGTATAAATACTTGATGTGTTTCAAAGTGACTATTAACACACTATGAAACATTTGCAAGATTACTGATCTAGGAAAATATTCCTGTGACTTGTAAGGATTTGTTTTTGGTTGCATACTAATTATGCTATTAAAAAGCAATTACCCCTGAATGAAATGTCCAACTCTCATGCTTATTTCATAAAAGGTAAAAATGATGTATCAAATAGACTACTGCATATTCAGTATTTCTGAACAATGGGGAGGGATTGAAATATCATGTTTGCAACTTGCCTGTCTCTTTCCTCTTTAAATGACATGAAAAAGCATGATAGACCTGATATTTCATTCACAGGTATTTAGGTTTGTGTTGGAACATTGAAAGCATTCAGAAAAAAGCTCCACTGTAAATAGAGATAATGGACTGTCCTTGTTGGGTGTGAAGTATTGTGTGTATAAACAGCTGTAGTAATGTATCTTTTCTATATCAGTTATGCTATGAATTTGAGGACCTACCTATTTGTTAGAGGCCATATCCATGTGTTAAAGAGAATCTGTATGTGGTTATATCCATGTGTTATAGCCGTGTCCATATATTCTGGCTATATCCCTATCCATGTGTTGTGACCCTATCCATGTGTTATGGCCATATTCATATGTTTTGACCATATAAATGTGTTATGGCCCTTTACATATGTTCTGACCATAAACATTTGTTATGGCCCTATCCATATGTTATGACCCTATCCATGTGTTATGGTCATATCCATATGCTCTGACAAATATAAACGTGTTATGGCCCTATCTATGTGTTATTGCTATATCCATTTGTTATGACCCTATCCATATATAGAGGCCCAATCCATGTGTTGTGTTTTATGAGATCTGTAATCTGGCTTTGGAGATAAGGGAACAATCATGCTATGCTTTGTTGTGAAACTATGTTTTCAAGCATAAATAGAGATTATCCTATATGAGGTTCAGGATATTGGGATTATCCCGAGGCCAATATAATATATTTGCCCGAGGGCCGCAGGTCCCGAGGGAAAATATATTATATTGGCAAAGGGATAATCCCAATATCCTGAACCGACTATAGGATAATATGTTTATCACATACCAATCTTGGTCATCTGGTTCACATTGTTCAATCGTGGAAATATTTTAGAATATTCATGTCCAGTTTTGTTTTCTTGGCCGTGGACGGGTTTTCCTGTTCCCTCAAATATTCCCACATTTATTTTCTCGAATTTTTGATTGATTAAGTGGATGCTCATTCCCTTTTTTAAACCATCAAACAGATCCCGATTGTCTGTGTTTTCACCATACAGTCATTACGCGAACGTTACAAATTATGAACAAATATGCGAGCGGCGATTATGACGTAGCGGGCAGATATACTATATCTGCCCGCTCGGAGCGGGACGTATAGCTATATCTGCCCGCTGATGAAAATATAAGTTTTTACAAACCGGCTTTATGTACCTGTAACACGTCCAAGTATGGGATAAAAAGCATATATCCTACTTCACGCATATGCACTTTCGAGGGCTGATAAAACATTATTTTGTACGAAGAATCAAGTTTGTTTTCTACCACATTATTTTTTGTTAAACCATTATGTAATTAATATATTGATTATTGTATTATACTGGAATTGTAACATACTTTTTATTTTTACTTACTCATTATAAGTATATTTTTTCATTGGAGGCTAGAATTACATGGAGGTGTTTCATTTGATATTTTATCTCATACTTAGGCTATCAAAACGGTGATTTTTCTGAACATATTTGTTGATTTGCATTAACAATTGCGAATTGTACATGTTATTTTGTATGTGCATGCCATAAAGTAAAAATTGATATAAAATATTAAGATTATAAAATCATGTAACTATATAATAAGTGTATATGTAAAGCGAATATATATATAATATATAAATTATACTGACAAATCATAATTAGCTATAGTGGTGTAACAGATTTAATTGTTCAAGAGGAATAATTATCCCTCTTATTTTTGACCCAAACTGGCCCCTATTGAGCATAAAATAAAGAGGAATTGGATGTGATCAGATCATTGTACATGTATATACCAATGGAAAGGGGTCAGTTAGCACAAGGGACATTTATTCCTACCACAGTGCTATTATACAAATCATGGTATGAATTCAAGTTTGGACACTGTATCCTATATTTATGTTGTAAAAAAGTGCACACACTTTGTGTAGATTTCTTAAAACAGTATTTTGAAGTACTCGTCATTAAAAATTGTGTTAGTCTGCATCGTTGATCTGCGTCTTAGTACTTAGTAACGCCAGTGTAACACATAGAATTTGCGCTTTCTTAGCCACACTGATGTAGCATTTCTAAATGTTACCCATTTTGGGTATCCTACAAGCAAGTACTTTCATATTCATGGGAATAGGCGATTCATTAGTTTTAGTTGCCATGGTGATTAGAAACTAGTTGCTAAGCAATGAGCAGTTTCCATGGTAATAATTTGTACACAGTTTGAATGAAATATGAAATTGAATTGTGTCGTAATGCCATGTTCCGTCGCAATCCTTTAAATAACTGTGTAAATGACTTGGCTTTGTATAGATGTACAATTTTTTTCTGTATTATATAAAGCAATGTTGTTCATATCATCAAAAGTGTCCGAATTTTTACAACAAATAACAAGGTAGCATTAGAGCTCACCTAAGTATGGTTTTTATGATGTGGACAATAAATACATTTTGAATTAAAAAAGTATCTTCTTGTTTTGTTTGATCAAGCTTTGCATGTAGTAGTTGCACAGAAATAGAGTAACTTTTCTTGCATAGTTTTATGAAAATATGGTAGAAAACATCACAGCAGTTGGAGGGGTTTGAGGAAAAATAGTATGTAAAAGTACTAAAAGAAAAGGACCAAAAATTGTTACAGAACACTATAAGAACTATAGTATTATAGTATAGAGAATAGTGATCCTCAATTAGTATTGACTTTCAACTTTGGGCCCTCTACTACAGATACATTGCTACCCATTATTGCATGACTGGCAAGCTTTTTTCATTTTATTCTTTTAATGTTAAATGGCAAGGATATCATCAAAATCTGACAATAACAGAAGCCTTTTATCTCAGTCAAAATTAAAGAAAAAACGAAACTGGTAAGAAAAAGAATTTACCACATGCATAACAATTTTTAGATACATATGCCTGGCTGATTGAAGAACTTATTTCCTTTGTAAATAAATGTACTATTCTCATCCAATTTTCCTTAGTGACAAGGGCAACAAAAAGATGGCAGTAGTGACCTATCTTTATAACCAGGCTGTCGATGTTGATATTACTGCCATCTTTCTTTCAGTGATATTTATTATTGTACATGGACCATGGTATGATGATCGATATAGATCTACAAAGGATATACAAAGAACACTACACAATCACTCATACCATGTCCAATTATTAATGAATGGTAATACAAGCTATCGTGCATTGGTAGGAGGCAAAAATAGTGATGTTTTATTGGCGGGCTCTTGTCTGTCCAATTCTGAATGGTGCTCCTGTGATTCCAGAAATGTGACATCAGCATTACAATGATATTTGGTCACACAGGAGCCCGAAACAAGATTAAGTGTCTCATCTTGAGGAATATTGAGCTTCTCATCTGATCCCTACTCAAAAAGAATTTGCCAGCATCTGCTGGCTCTACTGTACATGTATGCATTCACTATCCCTTTGTCCAGGGTGTTTCAGTTCTTTCCATAATTGAATTGATGGATACATGAAGACATTTGAATGAAGGACGCTACAGATTTGTATAGTATAGATTTCCCAAAAGTCTGATGATGAGAATCAGGAATTTATATTCCTGTTAATCAACAAAACAAGGGCAACAAAACGAAAGTGAAAGTGAATGTGAATTCATTAGTGGCTTAGCTGCCATCTATAATTAATTTCAGAAAGAGGCTGACGCCATTTTGTTGTGCGAAGTTATCAATCTTGAGACATATTCTTGCTGAAAACGCCTTCAAAATGTCTGCTCACGAGCAGATGAAGGCGATGCTTGACCAGCTGATGGGTACAGGCAGAGATGGTGAGTATTTCAAGACTAATTTCGGAATAATTATCGCGTAAATGAGCTTAGAATCTGAAGTTCCACTTTTAAAAAAAATTATTTGATGAGAAAAACGAGGAATTTCTTTGTCAACGATTCGTTATATTGATTTCATTTTTCGAAATGTTATTTCAGTGTTTATCAATCAATTTATTTCATACATTTTTTCATAGATGTTGGCCAGATCGTTTTGTAGTAGGATCTCATAGGATCAAGAATATAAATTCAGAAGATGAAAATTAGATAATTTCCAAAAAGTGATCAGCTTTCAAAACGTTCCTTATACAAAATGGTACCAGCTTCACTGTGACAGATTTTGCACTTAATTCATAGCTGAGATCTTCATCTTTCTATTTCTACTTGTTTGGTTCGGGAAAATAACCTATGGACACAGTAATTTGACTAAACTGCAAATATTTTTCACATGATCCTGGCTCTTGTGTGTCCAAATATCATTGTAATTCTGACGTCACAATTCTGGAATCACAGGAGCACCATTCAGATTTGGACAAACAAGACCCCGCCGATAAAATATTACTCTTTTGGCTTCTTATCAACGCAGTGTTGATCAAATAAGAATAACAAAACGCTTATGATTTGTATCATATTTTTCAGAAATGGCTGCACAATCGTCATTTTATAATTTCGAATTTTTTTGGTGTCTCATCTTGAGGAATATTTATTGAGCTACTGATCCTACTACAAAAGAATCTTGCCGAGATCTATGCATTTTTTCAAAAGTCAATACTCGAGACCCATTTTCATGGTCATGTGGTGGGTGGGAAATAAATTCAAGATTGCCAGCTATTTCTATTAGTCTAGGCCTACAGTCCAGATAGCCTAGATCTACAAGCCTCTGTGAATCTTGTGTATACAAGTAGTCTTTGTGGATATACGGGATTACGGGTCATTTCAACAAAAGTAATGGGATAACAGCTGTACTTTGACTGACCAATATCCCAAAATGAAATGATACGAAATATGAATTTTTCTTACTTTTCTTGTCTTCTATTATTTTATGGAGAACTCCAATCTTAGAATTTGTTCCTAAACCATCTATTATTTTATTATGTTTTAATTTCAGGTTCTTAACATTTATTCTATGAATATTTGCATAATTTACAAATTATTTTTAGGATTTTGTTACAAAGAACCTGTGTTAAAATTGTTATCTCATTTTATTCAAGGTGCCTCTGATACAGCTTGGAAAATGCTCTACAGAAAGGGTTGCAGGTAGCATTTGCCGTGAGTTCATATAAACCTTATCAAGATCAAATGTATCTATTCTTATAAGATTTGCAGATACTGTGCTTGAATCAATCACTTCTAGTATAATATACTGGGCATTTTTTGTTCTTACTAAATAAGTGACATTTTAGAAGTTCATATAACCAAACTGAGAAGCATGAAATTCAAACACTTTTGATTTTTTAAAAAGTATGGGGTGAGGAATTATGTCATATGACTACAAGTTCAAATAGATTGTTAAGAATGTTATGATGTCATGTTTTGTTCAGCGTTACAACACATCTAATCCACTTTGGACATTCTTCAAAGTGTTGGGTCGTTCATTTGGGATATTTGGTACGTATAGCAAAATAAATCCTAATGAAATTCAGCTGGGTACGTATTGATTGACTTTTGACTGGTTTAATAACATACCATACCAAGCACTGGAGAAATTGTGAGTAATCTATAGTGCTTTAATGAATTAAACAAACCCCTGTCCCAATGATACACCAAGCAAGAGATGACAGCTGAGCTGGTACTTATGTGGAAATCTTGGCTGTTATGAAGTTGTGAGTTACAGCAATTTTAGCCATAATATATTGCATATTTTAGATCCAACATTGTGTTAATCCATTCCTTTGTAGGTTACCAAGGATTGGACTAGAATGAAGAAAACTGTGAGTTATTAAATTTTAGGAATATATTCTCATTTTGAATCACTTGTTTGAAATGTTCCTTCACCTTTAAAAGTCTGAACCCTGAACATTCCCTGGATGAAGAGGAGGCTATCGATGTGAATGCAGCGGGAGAATTTGTGAGTGTTGAAGTTGTCTACATATGTAGTGATTGAATAATTGTGACAATTTTGTCGTATATGTACTGTATATTATGCATTGTATCATATATGTTTCTTCACATGGATGATGATGTCACAGCTACAAGATTGTGAGTCGACTACTTTTTATGACTTGTCTATCCCATATATTTTTAATCCTAATGATAGATTATAAACAAGGGAACTAAGCTAGGTTAATGGGATAGGCTAGTCCCTTGTTTAAATTCATCAACCAATCATAAAATCATCAATCAACCATAAATCATCAATCAACCATAAATCATCAATCGGCCATCATAAACTATTTTCATCAACTGAAGTATTTTTAGCATGACTACTTGACATAGTTCATAATCACATCTATACAAACAACATTTTCCTTAATCTGTACATTTTTTTATTTTATCTTTTCACATCTCATTACAAGATCATCAAAACATCATTATTCTGATATTATACAATAATTCACTATCATATCATATCTGAAATATTAAAATCATTAAAACTACAGTATATGTCTTAATCATCTAATTACATATTTATCAAATTTGCAAACATCAATACTGCAACATAAAAAAATCATTCAAATGATCACACAAGTTTAACATTTATACTAATTTTAAATCTAGTCTTATATCAAAACGCAGGACTCCCATTATTCTTTACTTTTCTGAGCCTTATGTACTCTCGAGTTCATAAAATACAAAAATAAAACCATGAATTTTTATACAAGACTTTTGTTTCCCCTAACCCCACATTGATGTTCTGTTTTAGTCACTTAATATACCAGCCACCTGGCGTAATATAAGGTTTTGATTAAACTTTTTACAATATCCTATATAAGCACAAAACTTAAATGCGGAGAATGATCATATGATTATCTCTCGCTGGCTAGATTTATAGTCACATGTTCCAAATATCTGGGATAGTGTTTGAAAATAAACGTTTACATAATCCTTCATCCAATCATCATCATATTTTGTAACCCTAACACTTCACATTCATCCTTAGTTCTGTCATACTTACCTTTAAGATCACCCATATGTGTGTTGTAATATATTGTACTGGGTAATCATACTTTATCCAATGTTAAACTATTTTCCAGGAGAGAACAACAAGTACAAAGTGAGGTTTGATGATCCTAAAGTCTGCAAGAGTTTCCTTCTCAGTTGCTGCCCTCATGACATTCTAGCCAGTACAGTAAGTGCAAATGTACACATAGTCATACTGTTCCGGGTTGATTTTTGAAAAAATCGGGGTAATCCAGGTTGTATAAAAAGATTTTATCCAGGTGTGAATCTTTTAAAAATTTCCTTTTGGCGTTTTTATATCTCTCATATGATTAACTCAGATTCAGTCATTTAGCAATCTTTACTCCACAAAGATACAGCCATCTTTCCTCCTCAAAGTCACATATGTAAAATGAAATATACTTTTTTTGTTTTTGAACCACAATAACATGGTAACATAAACACTAGCTATTATTTATTTTTAGTTATTGTAAACAGATACATATAGCGAAGAACTTTTGAATCTACGTCTATGCACTTATTCAATTAATGGCCCAGTGTTAATGCAAAGTTATAATTGATATTTTCATATTCATTCTTATGATGTATATGTCATAATTTTTTTGCTTTCATACTGACTGACTATGTTTTTCAGCGTATGGATCTTGGAGAATGTTCCAGCATACATGACCTGGCTTTGAGAGCTGATTATGAGAAAGCGTCTAAGTCCCAGGATTACTACTTCGACATAGATGTAAGTCTGAAATATTCCAATCTTAATGGTAATTAGCTATCAGATGTATAATGGCTGTATTCTTGCTCAAAATATTGACAAGGGGATTCCAAACAAAAATAAATTACACATGATGATAATGTTCCTTTAATATGATTTGATGGGGCAGGGCCATTGTGAGATCCAGTTTGTTCTATCCCTTGGAATAGACTCACAAGTTTTAGATAAAGAGAGACTAATAATCAGAATGGGGCGAAGGGGTGGGATAAAGTTTTCCTTGTCGAGGTATTTGCAACAAAAAATAATTTTGGCAATTGGTTAAAGAGCTTAACTGAAGGATATGATTGTGAAACTGACTAAAATCCAGGATGTTTGAACATCTACAACGAAAGTTCCTCCCTAAATAAGCGATTGAATAAAATAGTACTATTACATCTGTATGTGATTTCAGGCTATGGAGCATCTATCTAATTTCATAGGAGAATGTGACAAGAGGACTGAACAAGCTAAGAGGCGACTCAAGGAAACACAAGAAGAACTCACTGATGAGGGATCACTGAAGGTAAGTGTCTTGAATGCAATTCAAGGTCAACGTCATTGCAAATTCATGTGTGTGATTGGCCAGTTTCAGTTTCCATCTAACCCATACTGACAATTTGGGATTAGACCCACCTTAAAATAAATCTGCACTACAGTTGTTATATTCTTTGTTGTAGGCTGACATCATTCATGCTCTTGGTGAACAAATTGGTACAAAGATGGCCAGAGCAGAGGAGTTGGGAGCCCAAGGTAATGTTGAAGAGTCTATGAAGATCATGGAAGAGATGGAGGAACTAAAGAAACAGAAAACACAGGCTGAGGTAACAATTTTAAAGTCTATAATAACTTAAGTTCATTTACTTCAGACTAAAATGTTTTATTTTCGAAGTTTCGCTAATCATCCAACTAGCTTTATCAAGATTCAAAATGGAAGAGATCAAAAATAAAACATTTTACTCTGAAGTAAATGAACTGAAGTTATTATTAATATATTACCAGAGTGATGAATTTACACAGAAATTTTAAAGTCTGTTTTATTTTATATTTCACTCGAATCTATGATCTCACTATTAGCTCAATGAATTATGACCGATTTGATTCACTTCCTTCTTGTTTGTTAGCCTTTGATCTTGGAATTTGTGCTTTATGACTAATGCAATGACCATTTTGACAGGAGCAATATCAAAATTCTCAAATATTTTTTCATGAACATCATACTGTTCTCCGGGTATTTTTCACATGCGATTTAATGTCACAAGTAAATTTTGTCAGTAAAATCGCAAAAAATAATTGTCGCAAAATTTGGCTATTGAATCCCTGGAATTTGTTAAATTTTTCATTATCTGGGACACCAATAAGGCTAAATGTGTTTTGTTTTGTATAAAACGTTTGTCCAGTGTTGTTAAGTGATAAATGGTATACTCATAACAGTGTCTCTTACAAGTGGCTTATTAGAATAAACCAAAAAATGACAATGCAATAATGGTTGAGGTGCAATGTGCCGCTGGCCAAGATCTAGTAATTGTAAATCTTAGTTAGAATTCTTAAATGTTGTGACAGTGAACGTCATATTTAATTTTCCCTTTTGTAGCAGGAGTACAGAAACTCTATGCCTGCCTCCACATATCAGCAGCAAAAACTGAGGGTGTGTGAGATATGCTCTGCCTATCTGGGTATCCACGACAATGATCGTCGATTGGCAGATCACTTTGGTGGAAAGCTCCATCTTGGATTTATTGAGATCAGAGAAAAACTGGCCAAGTTGAAGGTCAGTATTTTAATCTATCTATTCTCCCGGAATAACAATTAAAACTATCTTTGTTTCAATCTTTTAAGCCTTTGTTGTAAGTTATTTTGAATCAATAATGATGTATTGATAGCTGATTCCAACCCCTGTAGGTAGTCTAATAAATGCACAGTAAACCCAACTAACATAAAGATGTTCCTTTCTTTGTTATGTGAAATGATCAATAAACAAAGTCTCTATGATTTGTAGGAGAAAGTTGCAGATCGTCGTCTCCAACGTGAAATGGAACGTGAACAGCGAAAGCTTGAACGTGAAGCAGAGGATGAACGTAGAAAAGCTGAGCGGTCACGATCCAGAAGTCGCAGCAAAAGTAAGAGACGTCGCAGTCGGAGCCGAAGTAGATCTAGGAGTCGTAAGCATCGTAGCAGGAGTCGTAGTAAAGATCGACATCGTAGAAAGAGAAGTAGAAGTCGTAGTCGTGATAGACGGCGAAGAAGTCGCAGCAGAGACCGCAGAAGAAGGTCAGTTGATTATCCATGAATATTTCAGACTGAACATACAATGTGTATTTTTCTTGATTATTTCAACATGTTGAAACATGTTTTAGTTGCTCTTTGATATATTATCCATTGGTTTTGCTTTGCTTATAATTATTCTTCACTGCACATTATTCTCTAATGCAGGTCAAGGTCACGAGACAGACGTAGAAGGTCAAGGTCACGTTCAAGAAGCAGACGTCATCGTTCAAGATCAAGATCTAAACACTCCAGGTATGACATCAGCCTTCTTTCAGTTTTAATATTATTTCATAGATCATGCTAATGTCTATTATCTATTTTCTTGATATTTCTCATTCTTTGATTGGTTGAACATATGTCGCAGTTACCTCACACAAAAATCAAATGATATTTCCCTATGGTGCATACTAATAACAGATAGAATATATAATAGATCAGAATATTGAATTAGCCTCTTATATAATAACTTAAAAATGAACTTGTACGGTTTCATTTCCAGAAGGTCAAGGTCGAGGGATCGGAAAAGAGAAGCAACTCCTGATAAACCGGAACAAGACATTGAATCTGAGAACCAAGAAGCCCCATCCAGCTCTGATGTTGCCGAGTCTGGGTGGTCTGTAGTGGAGAATGGAAGCACTGCAGAGTAGACTTAATGTCAAAACTACAGAGACAAATCAAACCTCTTTAGTGGGGAATGTACAACTACATGAAATATGGAATATCAAACTGTCCTGAAAGCCCATTCATGTCAAGTCATCTGAGCGTTGTTCATAAAGGAGCTGGTGTAAAGTGTATTCCAGATTTATTTGTCTTCTATTTTTCTATGGATCGGATATAATTGAATTTCTTAAGTTAGAGCAGTGATGGCATATTAAGCTAGACATGTGTGTTGTGACTTTATTTTATAAACTGGAACGATGCAATGTGAATACTAAGGTACAACAGAACAAGGGAAGCATCTTAGTTCCTGGTCAGCACTTCTACACTTCAATATGCATTATTCCCATCAGCTCTTTCATTCAATTTATTAGAAGCTTCATAAAAAACATGCATTAATGATGAGATGAGTTTTTAAACCAATCAGTAGTTCATGGTGGCAGCGTACAAGCCTATGATTGTGTATACGATTGAAGTAGGCAAACTATTGATCCAATTATCTATCTCAAGGAGCATTACCTCACAAATCTTGACTACTAAGATGCCAAAGTTGTCATTAACTTGATTACAACATTTTTTTAGTTTACATTGTCAGTGCCAGACTGGATTGATAGGAAAAGTTGTCCCCGTGGTCAAAGGACCATTTTGCATGAGGACAGTGATCCATGGGGACCATTTTTTCTATTTCAATATGAGTGCATGTGGGGTAAATCTTACCTGTTTATCGTTTTAGAAACCTTCAACATAAGTTACTTTGAAATGATCTTGTCCGTGTATTCAAGGATATCTTGCAGTTAATGTAATTTAAAATGAATGAACTACAATTCTTGTAATGGTATTTACTGAAATTTTCTTTTAGAAATTATTTCACAATTTTTCATATAAATATGAATTTTATGAAAAATTTTGAGGAGAAATCGCAAGATTTCTATTAATTGAAGTCAGTATATTGACAGATTACATTGACTGTATGTATTAAACTTGTCTGCTATTAATAAATGAATATAGTGAGTTGAATTCGTGTAAAAAAATCCAAATTGTATATTATGTCATAAAGTACAAACTTAAATACCTTTACTATGAATAAAAATAATGTAGAATGAAAAAACTACAGTAATACTAGTTTTCTTATGTTTGTGGATGTCTATAATGACTTGTGTGTGAACTCCAGATAGTAGGAACTCATCCTTCAATAGGAAGTTCTGATAAATCCTGCCGCCTTTTAAAACTATGATATATTGGCTAAATTGATGATGTCATTGGTTGTAGGTAGAAATCTGACCATTCAAAATCATTGCCAATTCCAAAAATAAAAATAACAACCTATGACATCATCAATTTAGCCTTTGTATCAAAGTTTTTCTGATGTATCAAACGTTTGCAGGATTTACCGGAAAGATCTATTAATCTTACATTTAAAGGACAACTGAAATAGCTTTTCTCAACTTGCAGCTACAAAAATGCGGTTTTCTTCATTGTAAGCCCAACGTAGAGTTCTTGCGATAGCCATTATAAAATAAATGTTAGATAACTGCTAACGGTCATAAATAACGAAACAAAACTAACTGATCAATCAAATTGGCCCCCACGTGATAAGTAACGTCATATACAAAATATAGCTTTGGTTTGTTGGTTCCTTAGTAATCACAACGTCACGGCAACCATAGGATTGTAGTGTAAACCAAAACAAAACATTTAGGCATTATGACGTTATGGGCCACGTGGGGACCAGTGAGAGATCACGTGGGGGCCAATAACGTCACAACCAATTCAAATATTGCTTATTAAGCAGCTATAACGATCGTTAGAGTGAAATCGTTTTCGCACTACTGATGAGAAAACATGTCCAAATACATTTATCAAAAAATTATATTGATTCCTGTAGGTTAAAAATACCATTTCATATCTGCTTTAAGGATGACACTAAAACGACAACCCTCTATTATCATCATACCTAAAAAGGTTTGCATGATGAGAAGTTTGAGCCAATCATTTCTTCCACATTTTGTCTACTCACTATCTCTGAAATAATGGATGACTTGACAAAAACAACTTCTATCTTTCTAAATCTAGCAATTGATCAGCACATTGCTGTTTAAACACAAAATTTATTTGGTCACTGGGGTTTTGTTATGTCAACACCAAAAAGTATATTGTTATGGTCTGTTTTTTTTACGGCAATTGGGGATTGGTTGGCGGTTGGCGATCGGCGTCTGTAACAAATTCTTACAACTTCCAATAAATTAACAAATACTGTTTAGATTGACCACAATTTTTTCAGACTGACCTCAATTTTTCAAAATCATTTACAAGTTTTCAGAAGTTCAAATCTGATTATGTTTAAGATTTGACCTTCAATCACCTTTTCAAGGTCAAAAAGGTCTTTTCTCAACTTGCTTCAAATTGACCATTTTTGTTTTCAAAATCATCTACAAGTTATCAGACGTTAAAATCTAACTTTAGATTTGAGATTTTACCTTCAATTTTTTTTCACCTTCAAATTGACCGATTTATTTTTTCAAAATCATCTGCAAGTTCTCAGAAATTCAAATCCGACTTAAAATTCAACTCATAATAGCAACTAGGTGGTGACATCTTGTCATGTAAATGCCTTGTTGATTATTGGACAAAGCTGGATCTGCAGAGTTGTGGACACTCTTGAGTGATATTTTCAGGAACACATATTTTATCACTTGGCTTGGCTTGGTGGATAAGATCGATGGACATTTCAACAAACATTTGGCACCTCTGATTTGAAATGAGACTGTTGCAGGACTATTAAGCGAGTGTCTTGAGTGTCGCAGATCTGCGATTATAAACCATAATACACATTATTAAGTTTTCCTAAAAAATTGTTTTATTACATTCCTCAATTCCATGGGAAACAATATTACATGTCAAAGAAATACTTGAAATGAAATTTTCAAATCATCATCTAAGCATTATTTCAGTTTGATAAATAAATACTGTAAATTGGGTTAATTTGGCGCTACTTAATCTGGTGATTTTGCCATTTTTGGCATATCGGTGGCTCTGACGCCATAACCTCCATATACACTGGAACACAATACAAATTGTTACACCCATTCCTTCAATTCGACTACTATATCTAGTAATTTGTTATTCCAGTGATTCCCTTGAGCCAATTTAGAAGTGACCTGTTCTGATTATCACCCTTATCCTTTTCAGATTTGGTAAAAACTAAACCAGAAGTGACTTAAATACACCAGACGAAATTCCCGGGATCATCTCTTAATTTTGTTGAAGATTTAGATTGGTGTTTTATTTCTATTTCGCCAAATTAAAGCCGGCGCCATATTAACCCAATTTACAGTAATTGGCCAATGATTGAGTACAGTAAAACCTGAATATCTGAATGCCTCTCTAACTGAAAAACTCTCAATATGAACATTTTTTACAGTCCCATTTAGTTCAAATCTGCCATCAAATTCCATGTTTTTAAAGCACCTTGAAATGTGAGTACCTTCCATAATGAACCTAGTGGCATTACTGTAAAATTATGAACATGCATTACTTATATAAATAACTCAATTGTTAAATTCAATCCAATCCAGTCCTCTAGATAAACAAGTGAAAAAGCATTAAACTATGATCAAGCCACAACGAAATCCTTTTTTTGCCTGAATTTCCTGAGCAATTTACATGCAATAACTTAGACTATCTTAAATACAGAATTACAAATAGACAAAACAACTAAAATCAAATCAAGTCTTGGGGAGCCAAGATGTCCAAGATATATCGGTGTCCAAAAACCTAATCAATCTCATTTCACATTGACTTCTCCAACAGAGATTTAACTGAAATTTATTGACTTTGCCTTTAGAGATGCTTCCCTTTGGTATCAAATTACATGTATGTTCAATACCTAATGGACTTTTACCCCTCCCACCGATATGGTGGAACACTGATATGCTGACCTCGTCCTTATATGGGCTGAGAACTACTTTGCGACCAAAATATCTCAAACCTCAGTTTACCATACTACTACTGTAGTGTAGCATAATGTATAACTGCACCATTTCATTAATGAATTTCAGAGAAATCAAGAAGCATGCACAATTTCTATACATATTTGGTATCAAAATAAATACATTATTTATGTCAAAATAACGAATCTTTTCAATATATGAGGGTTGTCCCAGAAGTAATGCACTATATGCTCTAACTTTGTCAATAATTGGTATTTCTCCATGAAATTTTCAGGGAATATTCTTTAGAGATATTTTGGTTATTCTATAAATTTTCAATTTGATGTTATAACAAAATCAAGTTGGTGAGTTTGGGTAGGGTGGGGCAGGTTGTTGTCACGTCAAAATGAATAAAAATATGAAATAATTAATCAACAAATACCATTTTGTGTAGCTATAAGAGGTATGCTCAAAATACATTTTACGATACTATATTATTAGGAGCACATCCTAGACTTAATGGATGTATATTGCACAGTGTCCCATTTAACATCTTCTCAAAATATTGCCCTTTGCATGTTTTGTACTTTTAATGCATGTCAGATTGAACACTCTTAGCAATTTCTTCAACCCTGACTTTTGGAGTTTTTGCCTCCCATGTTTGGAGTTGTCATCCAGGGTCCAGTCATCACTTTTAAATCTCATCCGCCACCCAATAATTGTAGTTTTATCTGGTGTATACTCAATGAAGGGTTTCTTCATGGTAGCATAAGGTTGTGTGGCTGTGAGTCCAAGTAAAGTATGAAATTGGGCCATCAAACGCAAGCCCTTCTGTTATCAGGTGAGAATTGCAGCCATTTTTGCAATTTCTTGACTGTGACTGAATTTGAATTTGTGACTATTGAACTGTGGTATTATGACATCACAGTGCTAAATGTCATTATTTGTACTTGATGAACATCATGCTGAATAAATTTAATAATTTCCCAAACATTTTTATCATTTAAAAGAAAGAAATATTAATAAAATAACACTTTGGAGCTTTTCATAATTAGAAAAATTGGTACCTGCCCCGCCCACCCCTACCACCGTGTTGCTATTGCAACCATTTTAAGACTTAATGTTAATGTATGATGCTGAAACTTCGGGATATAACAGATAAAACTACAATAGACTAGATGCGAATAGAAATAATCTTGATTTACGTCATTAAATATTCAAAATTCAGTCAAAGTGATGTCATATTTGAAATCTACATGTAAAAGTACATCTAGAAAAATGGTTTCGAAAATTGTTTATCAACTTTTAAAACTTAATTTTTTGGGAAAATGTGACTTCTAGTTCGGGTTGATTCCTCATAGACCCCATGTTACAAAATCACAAAAAGTGAAATATCTTTTCTTGTATTGGACAGATAACATTTTCTTTTACTGGACATATTTTAATTTGCATAACTATTGGATACATAAGGGTTATATAAAAATTGAACCACTAAAACAGATGTAATTTAAGTTAAAGGGAACTTTCTACTATACCCGCCATGTTATCTGACCCGAACGAGCCACCTGGTGGCGAAAATGGTAACTACCTACTCGCATCTGCGTTATTGATATATACACCAAATTTCAGCTGAATTGAAGAATATTGAAGAATGTTAGCTCATATAGTGCATTACTTCTGGGACAACCCTCGTAATAATAAAAAACAATCAAAATACACATGATTTCATTTGTTGTCTCGAAACCTACATCATGTAATTCAAGATTTGTTTTACATCTAAATCGGGAGTGAAAAATATACTTTCTGTCTGACATTTAGCCCCAAGGCCTTCTATGAAGAGAATCTGGGAAATTCTCTGTTATTATAAAGGCTGAGACTGAGAAAACTGGCAAACTGTTCTGCTGTACATTGTAATCGGATGTCATTTCCGAAAGAGCTTCACATACCATATAAGGAACATACACTGGATGTTGTAAGAAGCGTTTGCTTTATCAGAGATTTTTGGTTCATTCAAAGGTGAAGGGCTAGGCCATAAAGTTTCTCCTTTAAGGAGACGTGATACACGCTAGATATAATATTAGCTGCCTTTTTGGGAATCACCAACAAGAAACACAAACAAGCATAGGCCTTATTTCTCTTTCAAGTCCACTTAATATCGTGGTCTCCACAATCTATTACTGCATCTTAAATAAAACAGCAGTGCCAATAAAAAATAGGAACAAATTCAGATGCAGTTAACTGCAGGGACCAGTTGAAAACTGAAATAATCACCAGAGGGCTATTAACAGAAACTTTGTAAAGTTAAGAATTCATTGTTCTCCAACTGTGATGTCATTATATCCATGGTTACAACAATTGATTTACGAATTCGTAACTTTACGAAGTTTCTGTTAATGACCCCCTGGTCCATTGTAAATTTACTTGACATTATCTCATTTCAAGGGTCATCTTGGCAAACTGGATTCACATAGAGAACATGGAAATCATAACTCCATATAAATATAAATTCCATTTTAAACAAAGTCTGTGAAATCATCCATGCCATGATGTGATTTGCTGGGACTTGACGTAGGCGATTTAGCACCATCTTGTAATAATTTACTGCGTAGATGTTTAATCTTTCGTAATCTTTCTAACCAATTGGAAGCATATGGATCCTTTGGCATCGACTTCTGGCGTTGTAAAATGACTGAAGCCAGCTAGAAAAATAAAAACGATACAATTTTTCATATCGTTATTTATCTTAAGTTTTCCACAGCTTCAATTCATGAAAGTTAAAAAAATGTTCAACCTTGAATTTGTGACATCAAATTTTGTACAGTACTATGATTGTTCAATGGATTTTCCAAATATTTTTTTTTCAATAGATGAAAAAAGCCATGAATTTTTCATTGGTTATTTTCAATTCCTTTAATTTTGAAAACAATTATAAAAGAAATAAAATCTCTCTGAAATTTTTGAAGTTTAATGTTAAAATGTTAAATCCAACCAATTCAACCCAGAGTGCTGTACCATATAAAACAGTCACTGAGACTATTACAAGTACTAAATTCAAAATGGCCCCCTGTCTACTTACATCAGCATGGATCGCCATCTGCCTCACAAGAACTGCTAAGTGTTGGTCAGATACAATTTTAGTATCTGTGTGACCAATAATACTGGTGATATCTGAAAGAATATATGCATTGGTCAATGTCAAATCAAAAGATTTGTCATTCTAATATTTATGACATTTTCTCACTGCATAGGCGTAGCCGAGGGGGGGGGGGGGTATAACTGTGAGATAGAAGAAAAGAGCTTTAAAATGCTTTTTATTTGAAGCTTCTAGCTCAATTTTGAAGGAAGTTGCATCAATTCTTGTAAAATTCAAGATAAATCTTAATGCCACAATCGCACCCCCCTGACTGAAAACCGAAAGTGAGTGTGGTGAGTGTGGTCTATGTCTAATTTGAAAACTCATGGCATTGCTTATATTAAAGTTCCATTGATTATGAAGTTCAAACACAGCCATGTGAAATGGAGCCTATCAACTCTATACAAACACAAGCCATTAGATCATTAAAACATAAGGTATAAGAAACTCAAAAACAAAGGTATAAGAAACTCAAAAACAAAGGTATAGGAGACTCAAAAACACAAGGTATAAGAGCCTTTAAAAGATAATGTAGAGTCTTAAAAATAAACCTAAAAGATAAACATTATTACTTAAGAAGGGTCCAAAATAAGGTAAGACTTCCACTCTCCTCCCCAAATAAATCACAATGGGCAACATTGTGGAAACACAAAGACAGCTAAGCCCTTAATAATTCTTCTAGATTTTCTTACAAAAAACATACCAATAACATTTTTTGGAAGGGGACTTGGTAGTTTTGAAGTCTACAGGCAATGTTACCATTTGGAAATGGTTGGTGTGGCGGTTAACTCAAAAATGGTTCAGAACTGAAGCCCCTTTACACAAATGAGCTTGTTATGAAAATTTCTAGAGTAGAGACAAATTGAAATACTTCTTTTGGGGAAGTTTTTATCATTGTCAAATGATCATTTGATTTTTGAAACCATGATCCTATAAATAAAGCCAATTATGAATGCTGCCCCTTTATCATAAAATACTGTGTTAGTACATTTTATATAAGGCCAGTGCACCTTTACAAAACAACTCTTACAATGTTCTTTTCTGAAAACATTTTCACAAGACAGTTAAAAAACAAACTGCCAACACAAACATCCTACATTTTATATGAGGTTATTTTCTGGGTACTGTAGCTTTTCTCAATAAACAACCAATTATTAAGGCTCTCTAGGTCAATAGCAGAGCAAGTGATTTGTGAAGCTAGGTATCTTATTAATAATCAGTCCAGCCTACCTGCAGAGAACATTACCCATAATCAATAATTCAGGGGGCTTGAAAGCACAAATTATATCTGCAGACTGCATGTTGAGATTGCAAGAGATACTGTTTGAGTGTATACAGAACAGTCATAGAGATCATCTAATAAGGTAAGTTTATGTATATTGTATTGTATTGTATTGTATTGTATTGTATTGTATTGTATTGTATTGTATTGTATTGTATTGTATTGTATGATAATGTTTATGCATTGCTAAACTTGCATTGCTAAAATAGGTCTTATTCAGAAAGGCTTGCAATTTTAGCAATTTATTTTGCAATATGACAGAGATTTAATGATGCTTTGCTATTTATTCACAATGGGTCACTTACACTTAAACAACTGCAAAGTAATTGTTGTGTGCCACTTTACTGATTTTTGTAAATTTGACTATTAAATGGTCACCAGGATATTTATGGAAGAAATAAATGGTCACAGAAAGGTACACATTGCAGATAAGCAGGACCCTCCCAATAACTGAATTGAATAGAAATCCTTATTTCATCAATGTAAATCATAGTGAAATTGCTAGCCATAGTGAATAAGGCCTCATTAGCCCCAGTTTTGAAAAATGTTCAATCAAAAATCATTATTTACTGTTTAAATTGTGAATATATAAATAATATAAGTTATTGAATGATTTCAAGTGCAATACAGGATATATTCTGCTCGAGAAATTCCGTATTGGAACGAGACGAATCGTGTGATCCTCTGTATTACTACTGAGTTTGTCCCCTCCGTACCAATATTTTCTGTATTGGGACGGAGATGATCAACGGGGACAATCTCAGTAGCAATACAGATTGGTACAGCACAAGAACTGACCAATCAGAAGGCTTCATTTTGCAGATCATACGATAATACACTAATCTGAGTAATGTATCAATGTTGTTGCAGATTACTTGTTTGTGCATGAAAATAGTGGAAACAAATGAATAATTCAATAATGAGTATCTTATTTTCATCACTAAGCTGAAACTCAAACTTATTTTTTAGTGTGTACCATGGGCAGAGCTAATATGATAGAGCAGGATGAGCCAAAACCTGGTGGAGTGAGAGCTATCACTGATGAATTCATAGAGACAACTAAGGCCCCAGGGATGACGCAAATACACAGGAACACCAAACCTGCGGGGAAAGCACTCTGGGCCCTTGTCTACATTGTGCTTATCTGCCTATTCGGGTATACACTTGCAATTGCGCTGATGAAATATGTACAATATCCTAAAAGGACTGAGATGTCTAAAGTGCATGGGGAGGCATTGGAATTTCCAGCTGTTACGTTTTGCATGACCACTCCATTCGCTGCGACAAAGAAGGTAATTAATGGAAGTGAGATATCATTCCCTGGAAAAGCAGCAGGACTTGCAAAAATGGATGAGCTTCTTACAAAGGATGCGTATCAATCTATACAAGATGATATCCTTGAGTTCAAAGAGCGACTTTTGTCACAGGAATTCATGAATGAAAACCTCCAAAGCGACCCAGGAAACGATGCCCTATATCACCAACTTGATGATGAAATCATCCATTGTTCTCTTGATGGAGAAAATTGTGATATGAACAACTTTGACATATTCAAACATCCACGATATGGAAACTGTTTTATGTTTAATGGGACGAAACAAAGCAATGACAGTGGGCATGCAATTCATGAAGGACTATCTCTTGTCATATTCACCAATTCATATATCCCCGGAGATGATGCTCTTGACTTTTCGATGGAGTCTACTGATGCAACAAATGGTGTAAAAATGGTCATACATGATAAGGACATAAAAACTCTACTTGACAAGGGACTAGACCTATCTCCTGGAAATCAATTCAACATAGGGCTATCTGTGTCTCATAATCTTCGACTTCCTGCCCCTTATGGTATGTGCCAGGACTCAATGAATCAGAATCACGATGCTTGCAAGAATGAATGTTTGCAAAAACATTTTAAAGAGCAATGCACATGTCTATCCCCCTTTGCCCCAATTCCTAGCAATTCAGATGCGACAGAATATTGCGGATCCTTTGATACAGATAACATTGACTCATTCAAAAAAGGACTCAAAAGATTGCAATGCGAGAAGGATATCTTAAATGAAGGACATAATGATACCGGATGTGACTGCATGGCACCATGTTCAGAAACGACATACTCATCCACAGTCAGACAGACTCCTTGGCCACACAAGAACCATTTCAAGAAATTTTTGAAGACCACTCTCGAGGGCAATGTCGCTGTTAAATCTCTGATGGAACTGACAAGGAACTACGCAAATGTAACTACAGGTGACTACAACGATACTAGCCTGGAGAAAGATTTGATCCTCGAGAATTTCCTCAAAGTAAACATTAAGTTTAATTCATTTGAAATGACAAGAATTGTGGAAAGCGCTGCATACACAGCAAATGCACTTGTTATGGATGTTGCATTGAACCTGGTCATTATACTTGGACTGTCTTTGATCCCATTAGTTCATATGCTGGTGTACATTGTTCATGTGTTTTGGGCACTAATGTGTGGCAGAAGGTCAAATGAATGATCCATATGAAGGCAGAAGGAAAACAGAAAACTCCCTTCGAGAGAAAGAGAGAGATTGAGATGTCATGAATCACATTGTCGGATAAATTTTGTATATGTGAGTTTATTCTCATTTTTAGGATAGTTTGTACATACTCCAGATAAATAATAAACCGGAAATGTTCCTTAAATATTCTCATTATCAGTCAGACAGCAGACCCATTTAAATGGGGAAATTGTTCCTCGTGTGTGTAACACTCAATAATATAAATTCAGAATTAATGAAAAAGTCCATATTTATCTATAACATGTCATAACGGAATGTCATTACCTAATTGTCAATGGGGCGGAGCAGTCAATGGGATTTCATTGGAAATAAGAACAATGCAAAATAAATTATTTTTGATCAATTTTCTTACATTTTGTGAAATAAGCTTTCAAACAATCTTGTTTAGTTGATAATTGTCCAGTTACTAAATTTTAATATTCTGGTGAAATCATTATGCTATGGCTCATCTATTGACAAGAGATATTTTCAATTATGTCCTAAAAATTAAATAACTTGGACATACTTGTTTGAAGTAAAAAAATATTGGTACAGTATTAAGACAATCCGGGATAATTATTAGAAGCTTTTATTAAAATAAGTTCAAAAGTTATAAACGATCAGTCCGAGTGTAGGATGTTTGTGCCTTTTTCAATAACTTTGTATTGGATCATAATTAGCTTCCAACAAATTTCATGCAGATGCATGATTGACATTGTCATTGCATGTGCTGTTTCAAATTTCCCTGCTCAACCCTATTGACAAAATTCAACATGACATGATTACAGACTATTATTTTTGATTTAGAATGCTGCCACAGCCACACCCATCTGATATAGAAAGCTTGACAAAAATCAATAATCTAGCCTGACAAAGGACAGTACATAACAGCACAAGTCAAATCAGGTCTAACTGCATGCAAAGACACGCAGCTATATGCACCTTTGCACCTTATATCATTGTGATATATTTGTACATTTATCTTTAGATAATATATTTCTATTGGATTGAATTGCATATTGTACTCACCTTGAGCTGTTTGTACAGTGACTGCATTGCTTGCATGGTCCAGTGGTTGAATTACTATGTTAACATAGTTAAACTGACCCTAAAATGGAAAATGTATAACTGAATAGAACACAAAATATCACAAGAAAACAAGAGAAACAAGAGATATAACATATCTCAATGGAAATGTTTAAAATACATGTTACATTTGAAAGAATGGACAGTTAGATATGAAGTGTAAACTAATATAAATACATTCACGTCAACAACTGATTTTATCTTGCTAGCTTTACATATAGGAAATCTTGTAAAGAGGCAATTCCTATCACTCATATTCAATGAAAACTGGGCTTCACATCAGCACCATCAGCCTTCAAAACTAGGACATTGAGATGACCAAATCAAGCAGACAGTGGAACTTCAAGTAATGGTATAATTATTAAGGTATAGTGATCATTTTGAGGGACATTTGAGTAATATTCCAAATTAGAGCTTTTAGTATATCTCTAACTAAACAACCAGCACAAGTATTGTAATTTTGTTCAAAATAAATATAAGCAAACAAATTGTTGTTTTATTTAAAAACATGTTTGGCACTATGGATACCATGTGGGTTGACTTACCTTAATTGTACCAATCTGGTAGCTTTCCTGACTATTGTTGTACACAATAGTGACATAATCATTCCCAATGTGTAACTTCTTCCCTACACATTTTGTGTCAGAATCTTTCCTGGGCATCAGTGTAGCCACATGGAAAACCACTAAAAAGAATCAAAATCAATTTTTATTTTCCCATGCAAAAATATTTGCTGAAAACAGATTGTACACCCATTTGAATTCTTGAAAATATAATTTTCTGCGATGCAACAATTGAAATTTCCCAATCTCTTTAGATGTCAACTGGGAAATCATATAACGAGACTGTAAACTATGAAAAATTTGCTGACTAATATTGAAGCAGTCAACAGTCATCAACATTGTAACGGTTCACTGAAAAATCAATGAATCAAATGCTATTGGTAAGATCTAGTACGTAAGGTTTAGTTTGATATTTTCAGATCATGGAAACATGTGTCATTGGAGCTCATATGAAATTTATCTGACATAACTTTTCCATGACAATGACAATATCTTTACACTAATCAGGGGCATAGGGGTGCATGTTTTGGGTTTGCATCACTGCGAGCAAAGCCAGCTCCAAAAGGGGGCTTGACCCCAGGAAATTTTTTAAAATTTACATTATAGGGTATGGTGCATTCTAAGCATTTCAAACTATAATTTGTTAATGTTTTTCCAACAAATTTTACAAAATTGTTTTTTTTGTGGGGGTGGGGCTGTTATCAAAATAAGGATCACTTTAATCCTATGCTAAGGGCTGATGTAAAAAGTCAATTCAGTTTGGTGGATTATTGTGTGATTATGGCAACAATTATGCATTAGTTTGACTCTCAGTATCTGGTTATATATAGCAAGGAAAGTCAAGTTTATCTAAGTCCCCTGTCAAGCATTAATAAAAATGGACTCGAGTTTCAAGTAATTATGGCACTATCAATCCTTTTAAGGGATATTACATAGAAAGTGTAACTGTTAATCACATTCACTTCATTGTTATTACACAAATGCTACTTTACTAGAAGATCTAATAAGCCAGTGAGCCTAAAGCTGCCTTTGTCAAATAAGGGGAGGGGATGTTAGGTCCTATTCATAAATTACGCTTCAGAGTGCTTAGATATAAACAAATCTATTGTAGTGTTTTAAAGCCATTAATTCATTTACTTTGCTTTTATCTGAATATATAAAGACTAAACAGAAAGTATCAGGTTCCGTTACTCTAACTTCTACTTAATTTATTTTTATTCAGCAATAATACAATTTTCAATCAATAAAATAGTGGATATATAAATTACCCAGTTCTCAAAAGAATCTGCTTATAATGCATTAAAATGCAGCACTTTTCTCTTTTAACTAGATCATTCATAGAAAACAACACTACTTTATCAATGTTGATTGCAACAATACAAATGTAGATAAATTAATAATTTATAAAATAGTCACATTTGGTATGTCTCACTTTAGTATCACTTAAGTATATGTTAATAATCAAATAAGATATACTAAATGAGTACTTCTAAATAGCACTTTAACAAAATTTATTGTTTATTTCATGAGTATAAAGGCTTGTAAAGAGCCATAATGTCCAGTTGAGATCAAACAATGCTATTTCTATATAGCAATGAGATTCATAATGCTTATTGTTTGGTGGTCAAAGTTTCCTGGGTAGTGATGTCCTGTGTGAAAGTTGCCTTCTGGGTAGTTGTGATCTCCTCTGAATCCTCAAATTCATCTGACTCATCTGATTGGCTACCAACCTCTTCTGATGATTCCTGGGATATATAATCTTCCATTTTTCCACCAAATTGAAATGGTCCACGAAGGAATTCACTCATATCTAATACACCATCATCTGAAGCACACAAAATAATTGTTCTTGAAATAACAGTTAACTATATGCACAATTTTTATTCATTTTAGACCAGAAAATAAAATCAGACCCTTGACATACACATACAGTTTGATTTTGTGTTTTCTAAGTATTTTATATGTTTATTCTTTCATACATATCTTATTTCCCAAAACACACTGACAAAAAGAATTGCATACTTTACAGGGATTATTATTAAATCAATATACAGGGTGTCAAATAAGTCTGTTCTCCCCCCTTAATTTTTTTATCTTTCAATTAAAAAATTAAAAAAAAAGTTCAGGGGGAGAACAGACTTATTTGACACCCTGTATATGGTTTCTGAACTCACCATTTAAATCAGCCATTCCAAAGATCTCAACGCATTTAGCAGGGGTGGATGAGATTGCAATTGCGAATTCTGACAGAGTAATGATATCATCATTGTTCATGTCATACTTGTAGTAATCAGCTGAGAAAGGCTTTTCCCCATCGTCGTTTGCAACAGCACGGCGTTTACGGCCAATATTGCAGACCTTATTGCAGACTGGAGCACATATACCAGGAACTGTGCACTTAACGTTGCAGATTTGATTGCAAATAGGAGCAATGATCCTACGCAGGCCAAGGCGAGGAAGACGAATTCTCCAAGCATCGCTGAGCTGCATTGTAGCAACGAAAGCAAGAGTGAGGAAAATGACAGCAACCTTCATACTGAATTTCTGGAAGAAAGATACAAATAAGATACAACTGATGCAAAATATATTATTGACATTTACAAAAACAGTCCTTTATAAAAACCAGCTTGTGCTTACATATTTTCCTATTTTAGTGGAAATGCTTGTGGAGAGAGAACACAAGATTTGATAATTATTTTCAAATATTGCTCCTCGTGCCTTCTGAACAGCATCATTCAAATACAAATCTAATGACTGACTTCTCTTATGCTTAAATGTTCTAAAGTACATGTTTAACTAAAGCACATATCCAATTTAAAATCGATGTACTATTTGGTAATCATAAGTTTCTTACCTTTCTTGTGAGGGAGATGAGTCTCTAAGTGTTGAATGCTTCGTTAAAGCTTGTCCTTTGTTAGATTCAGAGGGTGATCTGGTGAAGACCATCCAATGGTTCTGGTATTTATACAATCTGGTTGGAAGTTTGAGAACCATTTCTAAATTGAAAATCTTCCTTGTTTCGAATTCACAAATCTGCCATTGGCACATTTCAGTGAAAAGCAACAAAACCTTGTAGAATGAGAGCAACTCCACTAGACTTTCATAAGGACTATAAGGTGAATGTGAGATAATGATTTACTGCTGCTTTTTGAAGGGTCTCATTAGATTTAAAATGTTATCAATATCCTCAAGGACTTCTGACAAAACAGGGTAACAAGTCTTTGTTTATCCTGGTGTAGATTACAGTAAATGTACAAGGTAAAAGGACAAAGAGCAACATGAAGAAAGACAAATCACCAGTATATTCAAATTCTATTAGACTCAAGGCTACAAAATTAAAAAAGAAAGTAGAAACAGCAATATGATAATCAGGAAATAATAATATGTTTTAACTTGACAAAACCTAACTTTACTGTGAGATTCAAAATGAAAATATATGTATTTGTTTGCGGTAGGAAGAATGGAAGGGGGTCAGTAAATTGCTAACAGATAAATCTGCTTATGCTATCACTCTTGTTCAATTACTTATAAATACATTAAATAGATAAGGAAAGTAAACAAAGGAATGCTATCGGTAGTAAATAGCCAATAAGCAACTTCCTTGTTGCAAATATAGTATAAGGTAGATATTTAATTACATTTGTACTGTCTGATTTCTGAGAACTTTGTTTTATTTATATACATAGATTACTAGCTGATTGAGGTTGATGCCTGGTGTTGACAGCAATTTCCCATGTTTTCTAGCTTCAACAAGAAAATAAAGATGTTTTTCAATAACATATGCTTCTGAGAAACAACAGATTTAGAGTATCAACAAAATCTCAAAAAATCTCACCTGATTGATTCAAAAAAAAAAAGTTTTGGAGGGTTCCAATATGATCAATATAATTATCAAAATAACATCACAATTTTATGTTCTCATAAAAGTAAAATCTGTACTTACGAGGGTTGTCCCAGAAGTAATGCACTATATGCTCTAACTTTCTTTAATATTCTTCAATTCAGCTGAAATTTTGTGTATATAACAATTGAAGTTTTATCTATTATATCCTGAAGTTCCAGCATCCAACATTAATATTAAGTCTTAATATGGTTGCTATAACAACATGGGGGTAGGGGTAGGCGGGGCAGGTACCAATTTTTCTAATTATGAAAATATCTAAAGTGTTATTTTATTAATATTTCTTTCCTTTAAATGGCCAAAATGTTTGGGAAATTGTTAAATTTATTCAGCATGATGTTAATCAAGTACGAATAATGACATTTAGCACTGTGATGTCATAATACCACATTTCAATAGTCACAAATTCAAATACAGTCACAGTCAAGAAATTGCAAAATTGCTGCAATTCTCACCTGATAACAGAAGGCCTTGCGTTTGGTGGCCTAATTTCATACTTCACTTGGACTCACAGCCACGCAAAACAATGCTACCATGAAGAAAGTATATAAGGAGTATATTCCAGATAGAACTACAATTATGGGGTGGCAGAAGAGATTTAAAAGAGACGATTTGACCCTGTATGACAACTCCAAACATGGGAGGCAAAAACTCCACAAGTCACAGTGGAAGAAATTGCCTAGAGTGTTTGACCTGACAGGCATCAAAAGTACATAACATGCAAAGGGCAATATTTTGAGAAAATGTGAAATGGGACACTGTGCAATATACATCCATTAAGTCTAGGATGTGCTCATAGTAATTTAGTATCTTTAAATGTATTTTTGAGCATACTTCTCATAGCTACACCAAATGGTATTTGTTGATTAATTATATCAGATTTTCAATTTTTTATTCTTTTTGACGTGACTGTATAACCTGCCCCACCCTACCCAAACTCACCAACTTGATTTTATTATAACATCAATATAGTTTTCAACATGAAAATTTCTAGTATAAAAAAAATGTCTCTAAGGAACATTTACTGAAAATTTCATGGAAAAATATCAATTATTGATAAAGTTAGAGCATATAGTGCATTACTTCTGGGACAACCCTCGTAAATAGCTATAATTTGGAAACGTATAGTTTGAAAATCTGCTCAGGAGAAAATGTAAACAAAATGTGGCCATCAGTATTTGAGTTATCATCCAGGCAGATGGGCACACAAATGAGTCTATATCCCCCTAAATGATGTTCAATGGGATGCTGATGCAGGATGTTTCATCACCAGGTGGCTCTCAAGAGAGATAGCAATATCAATATCCTCTGACCTTGTCCTCAATATAACAATATAACAAATATCGATTCTATAAAAAATTCCATTTTTATGGTTTTATCATTTACAGTACTAGAAATGACATTTTCCAAAAACTAAAATTGCAAAGTTGAACATTTCTGGCCATGGCATATAGGAAGCATGCAATGAAGTAATCATACCTCGGTGGCCTGATGTCTAATCAACGTTATTCTTATACCAATGTGTTTCTGACATGATTAGCATGACGAAATACAGTATGTCATCCTGAAGTAATCAATGACACAAATCAGATGTACATTTTTATAGAAATGTTCCAAATAATATTCATGCAATCTAAAACAACCCATAAATGTTAGGATAGGGACTTCTGTTGATATGGCTCTCACACAATCAAATTACTATATTACACTTTACATCAAAATCATGGGTATTCACAATATATAAATATGTAGAAATTAAAAGAAAATTGTGCAACACATATACATTAAAGACATTTGAATGCCAATCGCCTAAGTCATCTGAATGCCAGTCTCTTACACACATTGAAAAATAAATATTTATAGAATTTTCCATACGACCGCTGTTCCATTTTGTTACCGAAACGAAGCTGTTGTCGTAATTCACTTATCCAAGATTGGATAAAAGCTATTTATGAAAAATGGGGTTCTGTCACAGTGACAGGTAAATTGCTTTGGGTATTCAAGGGATTTATATGTGACATAAATATCTGTCATTCTGGGTATTCTTTGAGGTTAATGGCTATATTCAGCCAAAAATGAAACATACATTTATTACATCTGTTCTATACCTACATCTTCCTCACCAGAAACATGTTTTCACTTAATCTGCAGTGTATACAGGGTGTAGACAGTACTAGATTTATATTTTTATCAGGATAAACCTGATATCTAAAGCCTGCCATTAGATAACTCTCATATACATACCTTGCATGATATCATCCTGCCAACTGTATGCAAACTGTCCATCTTTGCCATCTCTAGTGTCAAGACCCCCGGTGTATGTGAACTCTGGATTGCAATCTTCCAGACGCAATAGTTGGCCGAGACTTGCAAGAAACTGACCATATCTCGTGGAACCACAACCACATTGGTTTGATAAAATCGCAATTTCGTCATTCACCTGTAAAATGTGTTCATAACAATGTTGGAAATATCCCGAGAGGTATACATGTGGCCAATGGGAAAATGTTCACATTTTTTACCTAGAATTTCCATTTAAGATTAAGCCTGCAGCTGTTAATTAAATGATGACTTGAAGTATAAACTAAATATTATGTAAATCACACAAGCATTTTATAGCAAGTAATTAAATTAAAGTATATTTTGCTTAAAGAACTAATTCAATATCGTCCATCAACAATATAAAATATTCATAATAAACATTACCAGAAATGATATCACTTTTAAATATTCTTTCTGTAATTATGCTAAATAAGGAATAAGTAATTGAAATTGAATCAGAGGAGGGGGTCAATTATAAATCTAGTGGAATATATTATTGAAATATTGAACTGATCCCTAAACCTAAGATATAACCAAACCATAAGGCCTACATACCTGATCAGGTCCCACATACAAGACTCCAATCTTGTGAGTGTTGTATGGGTAAATACGGTCGAGATTCTTAATAGTGCGGTTCAACTGGACCTAAACAGACATTTTAAAAATCTGTATAGGAATGAGTGTATAGGTCAATGAAGTATTGCATATATTCTGTTTTTATGTAACACTGTGACCAAATTATCAATATGTTCATGTGTATATAGTGTACATGTACATGCTCTATGTGTATGAGTCAAATGTTTAAAGAGATCGAGTCATCCAGATTTCTATTCTGGACAATCAGTAATGTCCCAATATAATTGCTCATAAAACATCATATATACCTTAGATATATCTTGAGACCAAATCATAAGCACGATATCGACAATATATTGAGGATATCAACAGGACAACCAAAAGAACAACCAACTGACAGAATTGAACGCAATAAGTCGAAAACAGAATACAATGTTTTTTGGGGATTTATCTATATTGTAACCCCCTAGAAGTAATAAATATGGCTTCTCTAAGCCAAAATAATCTGAAGGAAAAAGCCAATCAGACTGGAACAAATTTGAGTGGGCTTTTTAAATTTTATTTGAATTTCTATTGATGTAAGTGGAAATTCATGGCATCGAATTGATACTGTTAATGAATTAATTCAAGCCTCAGAATTGATAAGTTGATAAACAAACTTGTTTTAGATCAAATAACACGAAAAAATCAGGGGGTTATTCTAATTGTGTTTTTAGGAGACCCGATCTCTTTAATGAATCAATTCAAAATAGCATTGCAGTGATCTCTCCAGGATTTTTTCTCAGGTGGATGCAAAATAGTCATTTTCACAATTCAGACCAAAATTGGTCAAACTATGCCAATTTTTCATGATTTTTCTCATTTCTAAATGGGTGCAAATACATTTTCAGGTGGATCTAAGCCTATCAAAATCTCAGGTGGGTGCTACACCCACTTGCTTTAATGCTGGGGAGATCACTGCATTGGGTTTGATTTGATTTTGGTTTTTACTTTTTAGCTATCTATTTCTGAAATGTTAACGAAACGCAAAGGGGCCTATCTGAACTTATGATTGAAATCCAATATATTTGATAATATGAAAAGAATACATACATCTGTGGTAGATAATAGCACTGGTCTGTCAAGTTCACTTCCAAACTCAGAGCTATGATACAACTGAAGGAACACAAAACTAGGACTGATTCCACTTTTAACTGCATCCTTACTCCCAAGAACAGTTCTCTCTGGGCCTTTCCCGGGTGTCTGAGGCATAACTGAAATTGTGTGGCCTCTACTCCTTGATACACTATCTCTATTTCTCGATAGATTTTCAGAATTTTTGGCCAAACCTTCCAGGTGGTTAGCCCTGTCATGTGACGTATGATCAGCACTAAGGATGAGGTCATTGCGTAACCTTGGCAACCTGGTTTTATTTAACTCCTTTTGAGAGCTGCTGATAGCATTTTGTCCATTACTAGTGCTAGAGTTTGTATCCATTACATTGTCTTTATCACATTTTGCTGTAGTATCTATAGAGTGTTCGATTTCAGAAACATTCTTTGAAAGTTCAGGTGTCCTATTTTTTGGTATCACATTCTTTGCTTGAAAAGGTGAACTTGAGTCCAGGTCGGTCTTGGTCACATTCCTAGATTCTGATGAGGGTATCCCTAAAGACTGCTGTGATTTAGAATTAGGTTGACCCAAAGAATCTAGTGTACTGTCAGCTTTAGCTTTGCTTTCAATGTTTTCTCCCTTCCGAGTCTTTATTGCATCTTTCCCATTTTGTCTCTGTTCTTTATCCAACTGACCATTTTCTTGACTTTTTTCTTCATTGCGAAGAGTAAATTGAACCGAATCTGCACCAACTTCCTTTCCTACTTCAACATCCCCTTTCCTATCAACCTTAACATCTGAACTTACTCTCTGCTCAAATTCAGCTTGTCCATTTGTAGTAACCTTAGGGTCAATAGTTTTTTCAGTTTGCTTGCGAACTGGTTGAAATGGGCTTCCCAATGTTGGTTTCAACATTCTCGGTTGCGGCCTTTTGATTTCTTTATCTGCAAATTGTTTGAGCTCACTCAAAGTACTTTCCCGATCTTCAACACTCATCTGTGCTTCTACTGAAGTTGAGAAGAATGATTGGACGTTCGGGGAAGAGCTGCTACGTCGAAAAGGTTTATATTCAATGTCGTTGTTTTGGTCATCGTTTTGAGGCTCATCATTTTGGGAGATAACATTAGGAGCATCTGTATTTCCATGTGCCTGAAATAAATAAAACAGAATTGCATTGAACTTTTAATCTAAAGATCCACTTAGACTCCAAATATTCATTTTACAATTTCTACACTTTAAAACTGGTTCATGTCACTTGAATGCAAAATACAAATTGCACTAAACCCCCAAAACTATATTAATCAGTAAAAGCCTAAGAGCTTTCATCCAGTTCTACATTTGAGAAGCCCTAGAGTTCAATGATGTGTCTAAATGTTCCACAGTGCAAGATTTAGGGGTCATCAATAATTTGACATTCTCTACCAAAAATGGAAATAATATGTTTATGAACCCCATTTCCCAACAAAACCACCACTGTTGATTCACAATAATGCGACTGCAATATGCAGAAGAATGTACTGTGACAAAACAAATTGGACTTTTCTCCCAATCCCAAAATCATGAAGTGTCCAAATGTTTGACCTGATCCCTTACCTCAGTTTCAACATCCTCGCCTTCTTCTGTCTTCTCAACATCTAAATGCAAGATAAACACACAATGCTAATGACGGTTGGTATATGTGTATGAATCTTAACAATGCCCATTGAATTGTACCTGCATTTTTGTAATTTGAGACATGACTGAATTAGTTTTCAGTCTTCATATAGAACTTGGAACTGGATTGGTACTGTCATAATAGTGGGTTAAGGGGATTGTCCAATTATTGTGTTTAAAGATCTGTTGGGTTGCATAACTATTTTCATTGGTGGTGACATAAAAACCTGGTATTGTGATTAGTAATACGGAGGTGTTAAAATAACTTATCATAGACGTGATTACAGAAACTGATACCAATGTGTTATATCAACTTACAAATGTATTACAGACACTTATGTATGTATGTACAGAAACTAACTGAAAGAAGTGTAACGTGTAAAAGAAATGCATAGAAAGAAGAGCTGGGTGTTACATAAACTAATTGTTGTGTTACATAAACTTACTCAAAGAGGTACTAGGTGTTACAGATTGTGCATACACATCATCAGTAACATCTGATTGCAGCTCCAGACTTTGCTGAGATAACAAACTTAGGTCTACAATCAAACAGGTATAAGGGGTCATCTCATATGTTTTGCACAAAATTCTACCTATATACTCCATCTTGTTCAATGGGTAAGACAATTTACTCGCGATAGCTTTACAACTACAAACTGCAAAGTATCAAAAGCAAAAAACTGCACGGTACTGAATAGTGTACTTTAATGTTCTGTACTGTACTGCACTGTACTGTACTGTACTGAACTGAACTGTACTGTACTGTAATGTACTGTACTGAATAAATACATCAAATGTACCTTCAAATTTTTTACCTATTTACAAAACTGCCCTTTTCCCAGGCCCATTGACTTAACAGTTCCATTAACATGTAAAATTTGGTGCAACACATATGAGGCAACATCTAACACATCTGAAAGTCATTTCTTGAAAATATTGGGATTTTGAATTCCTGGTTTTCAGTTGCCTTGCACAATGTAACTGTGATATTGTAAATATGATTGAATTTTCTGAACTATTTTCCCAATATTTTTAACAAATGACCTCCAGGGGAGTGTTTAATAAATAAGCCATTATTAGTGCATCACATCGTTTATTTTAAAATCTCCCTCTGAAAAAATTGCAGTTAGATTTTCAATATTGGAAACAAAAGTACACTGTTCTATGATAATTTTTCTTTTTTCTTTTTATGAACTTGATTCAAAACACATTTATAAAAAACACTATTCCTAACCCATAGCCAGATGGGGGGGGGGATATTTCCGGGGATTCAAGTGAACCCTCCCCTGGACAAACATTCTTTCAAAATCATGCAGTTTGTCAGCATTTCAAGCACTTTTACTAATGATTTTGAGCCAAAGGTGTCAAATGTGAACCCAATGGAATTTTTTGAAAAGTGAACCCCCTTGGCAAAGTCGACCATGACCCTGAATCAAACAGATTAGTGTATTAATATTATGTAATTTGCTTAACGTGTAGTGAAACACATGTACAAGGGATGGGTCATAGTTTGGGTTGCAATGCTCAACCAAGGACCTTTTTTTTGTTGACTGTGACAAATGATCATAGATTGTTTTCAATGACAACTGAAACCTAGACTTGAGCCAAGGATTTTATCAACAGTCATACTAAATGTATGTGTCAACCCCCATTATGTATCATCCATTTATTGTATTTACTGTATCAATGTATCAAAAGTTCAGAATGAAACAAAGATAATTTGCATGAAGTAGATAACAAACAACATGTAAAATGCAACAGTTGAAGAAATATTGGAAGAAAGAACTGTAATTGATCCTAGGCTTTTGAAATAAGGAGTACACAATATTCTTACCTGAGAATTCAGAAATGCTAGCTTTAGGTAAAGGTGTGGATGGCACGCTGCTTGCGAAATAATCTTCATGCATGGCGTCATATTTATTTCCATCCAAGCTTTCCGTGTCAATTTTCTCCAAGCGTGTCAAGTGAGAAATCATTTTCGAAGATTTTTCAGGTGTCGGCATAAACAAAGAGGAAAGATCTGCGAGAGATACCTCAGGAGAGCCCGTGAGTGTATTTGGGTCATTTTGTAATCTCATCACCCAGGAGATGTTCCCTGTGGGTCTACGTATGTGGACCTCCGCCCATGATTGACACCAGCAGTTGCATAAGTGAGGGTTAAAGCCTGGCTGTATCTCACTTGTGGAATTATTAGCTCGATTCAATTCTGCAATGCACAGGAATAGAATATAATTGTCATAAATAGTCAAAATTGTATGGAATAAACATTGATGTAGAGGAGGATTTCTTTGATTTTGACAGGGAACGTTTTGGATGTTTTTAGTTACCTTTCAGGTGTTTTCATCTTGGCCCACATGCTTAAATGTACATAACTGAGTCTAAAATGTAATATATTATCATATTCACCTTTTAACATATTCAGCTGTGCATCAGAATTACTGAGACTGTCAGGTGTATCTTCTAGGCTATGTGTTGTATGTGTCGTCTGCATGGACACCTTTCTCTGTATGACATTTGTGTCACTCTGTGAGAAGCCAGCATCATCCGTCTGCTGTCTAAAAGCACAATGCATTATGGGTAGGAAAATATGAATGGTTCTTTTTAGGGTTAGTGTAATCTAAAATAGCATGTAGTTCTCAGAAACTGTTTTCATCAATCTGGGAGAAAGGATCTTGTACACCTGCCATTATGATCTCCCCATGAACAAAAATAAATTCATCTGATTTTTCAAAATAAATATACTGCTTTTATTATTACATTTATATGTACACTAGTATCTTGTTGACCTATATTCAGCACTGTATTGATGAATGGGCCACTTTTTAGGGCAATATTCAATCATAAAGTGTACAGGGGTAGAGATGCTAAACCAGGAAGTCTTTCTGTGTCTGTCAAAATCCATTTGCATCCTACACATCCCTACATCTTATCAAAATATGTTATTAATTAATGAATCATAACAGTATAATCTTTGGATTTACAAAGTTGTATGGGATTTCATAAGTGTAAAAGTTGCTTTTGAAGCATTTTTCTATAGCCATTTTGTAGGAAAAAAATGATGAAAAAAAAGAATAATCTTTTAATTTGAAGTATGACCTGAATCGATTGCAAACTTTATATTTGCACATCTGATCTGAAATACCATTTGTGTCATATTGTGAAATTATTTAATTTGCAATCGATTCAGGTCATAGTGTATTTTAGGTATTTTTGTGAAAATCAATAGAAACCAATGGCCTCCATTGGAATCTGATGGTATCCATATGTTAAGTCAATAGAACACATCCAATGTCAAGTCAATACACCCTTGCTGAACTTAATGACCCCAACCTCAGCCCATGTGGGGCCAAACGCTTAAATATTTTCCAAAGTATTATGTAACATTGTATTCTTTATATTACACCTAAAAATGATTCATTTTGTTCATGGGGAGATCATAATGGCAGGTGTACAAGATCCTTTCTTATTCTTTGTATTACATTAATATTTGACAAAAATAGTCTTCATAACTTTTTCAAAAAAAAGTTATCATTTACAGTATGATTTACCTCTGCAAGAACATATCATCCTGGCTGAGATTTAAGCTCTGAAGTGGTTCAACAGAACTTAACGTCCTTACTGCTGCTGATTTATGTCTCCGCCGTCGGCCAGCTAAACTCTCATTACTCGTTGATACACTTGAGCTCCTTTGAAGATTCTCATGTTGTTTCTTCATATGAACCATCATCAGACTGTTACACTTCTCACAGACTCCACTTTTCCCCACCTTTGTTCCTCCACCACTTGTTGTTATAGTGATGAGGCGGTTACCTAGCAACCAGGTTTGGGATTGGCCACCATCCAATAGAAATTCAGTGACATCAGATCTGTAAGTTGTATAGAGATTTATATAGTTGTTGACTTTTGTCTAGCGACAAGCCCCTGTGACCCCCTCATCTACTTGACTACACACCTTCTTTTGGGATGTGTAGTGGGGAGGTGGTGGTCAATAGGGCTTGTAGCTAGACTAATGTTACCTGTAAGGGTAGGTTGTAAATTGAACAAATAAGTAAAAGGTGAGTTTGATAAAGGTAAGTTTCTTGAAATTTTTCTGAGATTCAATCCTAATTCATGTACATCTTCAAGAAATGAATTCCATGATCTGGTCCAGAATTGAGACCCTCAAATGAAATACTGTCTGAAATCCATCCTGCCACAGTGAAATCTTGTGAGCTTTTTGAATTTTTTTCTTTTACTCAATATAAAGAGTTTATTTATTAAAGAATGCTCCACTCTCACCTCAATCTACAGTTTCAAATGGATTTACAAAATGCTATTTAACCCATAGGCTGTACCTTTTTGGCATTGTAGTGATGGTAGAAAAGGTGTATCTTGCCATCATATCGATACAGGTCTCTGTCAGCTCCTTGTGGAACGTCAACATGGAGTCATCACAGAGCGGGGAGGGAGAGGGGGCAGGGGACATAAGCTTCACTGGCTCAAGGTTGGGCTGTTGTTGTAACCTCTTCTGTCTCCTACGAATACAACATTTTCATTATGACTATTGCTTGTTCCTAAGGTGATGGTTGGTCTCTGTGAGAACAAAATGGTTGTTATGAAAACAATTACGAAGCTGTGAGTTCTAACAATTTTTGCAAGAGTTTACTAAAAATATCACAAAAGTGTAGGGAGCTTCCCATGCTATTATTTAGTGTTATTTACAAATTATCTAAGCTTTTCTTTCTTACTTGTAATATTATATTATATAGAAAGCAATGGAGTCAACTGGTGCAAGAACTTCTAGCAGCTGCCACAATGAAGGCATATTTTAGTAAAATATCACACAATACATGTGTTTGTTATCGCAATGTGTTGATGAAGGTATTATATCAAAATATAAATGGAACTCAATAATTTAGTGAATTTTACAGTCAGTTTATGGTCAGTCTAAGATTAATCTCAGCATATTTTTATAATATATGTTGGGTGTCACAAATGGCTTAAGATACATCATACGCCGTACATTCTTGAGTTGAAATCTCCAGCGCCGGGACATTTAAATAACTGCTAGTAATAGTAATAAATACCCTGTATGCCCAAATGAGACTGTAAACATTCACTATATTAGTGCATTTTGTCAAATATTATTAACAATGATACAATATTATACCACGAGAAATCACAAAGTATTTCCAGGTCTGGTTAATATATTGCTGTGATATGTGTAAAAATGTGTGGAGGTATTCAAGTGTTTTAGGGGATATATGTATACGGGATGACTGATTGAAGTCCTGGGTCCAGTTACCAGTTGTACGATCAAGTAACAATAATATGTCAGATGAAATAATTTGTTTTTACTGGGGCATGTTTCTAAAAAATGGAAATTGCAATATTTCAAATTTAATTATATTTTACAATTTTGTCACAGTTATACTCAATAGAGAAGACAGTCAAATTTTTGAAGTGTTATTCATAAGTTGGTTCAAAATGGTCCATTGTATCAGATTTCCTGCTGTTTCATTGAGTAACTGAACTCTCTTTCTGAAGTCTATGGTAATGGCATACATGCCTATGTATATTGATCTATCTTATACATGTTTATATCTAATACTTTCTGAGGGAGGGTGGAAAATTTGAATAAAGAACTGGATTAAAGGTATATGCTAAAAAAATCATGTACAAGTATAACAGGCCATTACTTTTTGCATATTGTGCTGTAAAAAGCATACATATACATGAAACAGAGCATCTTAATTTTCAAGAACTTAAAATATGTGAGACATAATTATACATATATGATATCGATATGAATGGTTTAGCTGACATCATTGCTAATACTAATACACAGTATTAGGAACAACAAGTAAAGCAACATGTACACAACTTGTTAATAACATAACATAAGACTGTTTCTCCAAAATATTAACAATGCAAGGCATTAACATGCAAAATGTCACCACCTGTCATTTGTTACAAACATAATGATCACCACTTTTGATGGTGACATAAAAAGCTGATCTGAAATATTTTGAGAAACAGCCTCCAGACCAAGGATATTGCATTCTTTGATGTTCATGTTGGAACAAAAGCAATATCATAGCTTGTTACATGCAGTTGTTACATGCAGTTGTTAAATGCATTGGAACATGCTTGTTACATGCTTGTTACATGCAGTTGTTAAATGCATACATGCTTGTTACATGTGTGTTACATGCAGTTGTTACATGCTTGTTACATGCATTGGAAAATGAAGTTGTTACATGCTTGTTACATGCTGCGCTTGTTACATGGAGTTGTAACATGCTTGTTACATGGAGTTGTAACATGCTTGTTACATGCAGTTGGAACATGCTTGTTACATGCAGTTGTTGCATGCATTATAACATGCTTGTTACATGCAGTTGTAACATGCTTGTTACATGTAATGTGTTAGAACCTATGAGGGAAATGAAGAATTGGTTTAGATGATATAGTGTAGAGGTGAGACAAACCTCAATATATAAGATCGCAAAACCTGCCAAAATAAGTCTAAATATCAGGTCTTGTGTAACACTTCCCTTGTGTAACAACCCCCCTTTTGCAATGGCCTTTTATGTAACACTTTCCTTTTTGTAACACTTCTTCATTCTGTAATTCCCCTTTTGTAACATTCCCCTTGTGTAACACCCTTTTGAAACACTTTGTTTATGTACTAGCCCCTTGTGTAAGGCTCCTTCCTTCTGTAACTCCTTTTTGTAACTTTCCCCTTGTGTAACACCCTTTTGAAACACTTTGTTTATGTACCAGGCCCTTGTGTAAGGCTCCTTCCTTCTGTAACTCCTTTTTGTAACATTCCCATTGAGTAACACCCTTTTGTAACTCTCCCTTTATGTACCAGCCCCTTGAGTAATGCTCTTTCCTTCTGTAACTCCCCCTTTTGTAACATCCCCTTTTGTCACACTCCCTTTTTGTACAAGCCCCTCGTGTAACTCTCCATCAATGCTTGAATGCACACTCTAACTGTGGAAATACTATGGAAAGAGTTTTGATACAAGACCAGATACAACTGTTGGTTAAGCCTCTGAACTGATAACCTTGCTGCCCTCAAAACATGTGAACTTGTCTCACCCCTATATAGAGTACAGTATACATATAGAGTATAACACAACCAAAATAGTATACAAACCCTTCATGTTTCTCTTCACTAAGTAAATAATATGCAGAAAAACAAAATGTTAGAATTTCGAAGCTACAGTTGATATAAATCATTGTTACATATACAAATGTATGACATGCTATTATGTAAGCAGTATAGTCTTCCATGTTAAGTGTTCATGTATACATAAAGTGTACTACACCAATGCTGAATATATTTAAGGCGTGGATTAAAGTTCTTTGCTACATTAAGTAATGTGTGAACAGATAAGACACTTAAAGTATAAATTACGTTTTCAATTACATTATCAATTTCGTGTTTTTTATTGAAAAATTCAATAACGAAGATTGTCACAAGTGTAAGAAACTTTTGCACATACACTGAAAATTTCATTCATAAGTACAATGTCTATACATAAATGTGGGTTGGGTGTCTTTATTGGTGAACCATGGGTGTTACCATGGCTACCCGAGCTACAATTTACCCAACACCCAACCCACTTCTAATGCACAGAAATATATAATCTGTAAATAATAAAATATATGGAAGAATTAAATATGGTCAATAGTCAAAATCTCAACTACTCAAGATGCAATGTCAAAAATTGATTAATCTATAGATTTATTATTTAACTTACTTCTTTGACCATTCACTGAAGCTGCTTCCACTTCCAATGCGACGTCTACCACTAGAATCTTGATTCAGACCCGATGACCTTATATGGTCATACTGCGCAATATGTTGCTTGGAAGTCTCATCGAACTGGCGTAAAACATTCGCCTTTAAACCCTAAAGTAGAATATTAATTTGTGTTACTGTTTAATATTGCACATTCATGTATTTGTGACATAATCATACAAGCAAGGAATCCAGAATTAAGTATGCGGGTGAACTGGTTCCACTTTAAGAATCATATATAAACAATCCTATAGTAATTCTCTATGGTTTTAATGACATTTTGACATTGGTGAATGCAAATCATACAAACTTACATTTGAGTCAAAATTTTGATTGGTAGAGAAACGCACAATATTCTAGAAACTACAAAATAAATAAAAAATAGCAGCCATTTTGAAGATTTGAAAAATCAATAGAGATTATTCAGCTGTTATGCAAAAATATTCCAAATATGGGTGAAGCAATAGACATGCTGTCAATATGTCAAAAAGAAGTGTTGACAATTTCGAAAATGCCATCATGAGCAAAGGCACAATTGAGTTATTACCCAAAAATATGGACAGATGATGTACTTTTAGATGAACTGGCTTCTCTATATCCCTCCATTTACTTTTTACCTGGGAAAATGAAAATAATTGCAATCGATACATGAATAAATACCTTCATTATGAACTGCACAAAATCCCTTCTGAAAGGAAGTCGACACTTCAGGAACCACAAGGCGATCACCTGGTGAGCTAGAGACACTGCATAGTGACTGAACCTAAAATAACATTCATTACATGAGACATACATGTAATAATTTGCACCATTTGTCCAAGTGCTGTTTGGGGAGGTCAAGGCAGAATTACAAAACACAATAAAGGATAAGACACATCTCAGAGCACATCTAGCTGTAAGGAAAACAAACACCAGCATCCCAAACTATGACCTAATGCACAATAATCTACATCCTGTTACCACACCATGTATTGATCATTATCACAATCAAAAAGTACTAGACCATGAGACAATCATCCAATGGCATATAGAAGTCATAACATTACATGTTGAAAATACTGACATCAAAATGAGTGTAGATACAATAAGAAATCCATTATCCAATAACGTTTTTGAAAAAGATCAGTGAACATGAATCATGCAAGCCTTTTTCTGAATAATTTTGTATGTTACTAATGGTGGCATTATTGATAATTTACTCTGTCTTGACTATACATGTACATGATCACCAGGCAAATTGCAGACTTTCAACTGACACACTCACTTGAATGGGTTTGTGTATGGAAGAGCTATGGCAAACACACTCATGTATTGTTCCTCAACAAAGTTGGCGTACAACTTAGGCACACGAATCAAATCTGTAAACAAATTGGATTTATTTTTATACAAGTTGTTCTATTTGATAACTATCACACAGTACGCTGTATCCTGAAAATAAATGGGTTACTTTCTCGATACGAGTATCCTTTAATTTTCATATTGACTCAGAAATATGATTTCGAACATACAACAATGTTTATTTGTTTTTTAAATATATTCAATCACTTTTTCCTGATAACATTATATAGCTTACTTGATAGAAACTCTAAAAGTTGTGTTGCCATGGCAACAGTTGCTGATATCTGAGACATCCTCACTAGGACAGAGGGTAAGAGTCGCATCATTGCATCCTGCATCTCTAGTGTACATACAGTTAATGCTGCCAAGCACAATCTAGCACATTTTGACACCAGGCCAAATTCGAGGCAACGTATCAAGGTTTTCTGAAATTCAAAATAATATTCTTCCCAGAATCCATTTTTGCTTATTAACTTGAAAAATAAAAACACCAAGGCTTTTTTGAAAAGTTTAACGTACCTTCGACTGATATTTGCACATTTTGAAGTCAGGTTGAGCAAATACAATTTTGCCATATATATTTTATTGTATCTTAACGCTCAACTTTATTTCATGTAAACACCATGCAATGTAATTCATACATGATCTCACTAATGAACCATGAATTATCATGTTTAAACTCTTCAATTTGTATATAATACCTGTTGTTGTTTATCCAGGTATCGATGATATGAAACAAGACAGGTGAGGACTGGTAGAACACAGGCGTGGAAGTCAGACTTGAGAAAGCCAGGGGGAGTGTTGATCAATGCATCTTGTAACATGGTATGTCTTCGATCACCAACCTAAAATATAAAACATATCCATTTTACTTTTTTTTGTTATTATTGTTACCATAAATAGGTGTAAATATTTTTGTAATTATTCAACAAGAAATATATAACAGTAATAATTGTTATAGTGCACTGACTTCTTGTACTGGTTAAATTGTATACAACCAGCGTAAAATATGATTGGTGAGTTATCCAACTGACCAGGTTTTAATCAACATGAATACAAGTGGAGGTCTACAATTTACCCTCTAGAAGGACCAACTAGAAAACAGCATATTGAAAATTCATTCTGAAGCAGAGGTCCCACACCACGAGGCATAAGCCTATTGGTACATGCGGGGCTACTAAACTGTAATATGGTCTCTACTAGGCAGAGTGTAGTTTAACTAGACTCTGCACGCAGGGTAACACACATACAGACAGATGAATGGACAGACAGTTTCTCTATATCCCCCTTTAATTTTTAAGTGGTATAATAATAGTGTTGAATATTACCATAGCACAAACTCTTTTGCAAAAGTGGTCAATATAGGCCTGTCCTGACAGAATCAATGTCTTGTTCTGTAGCAGAAGAGGCAACTTCTCTAGCACCAGTTTCAGCACATTCCAATCAACCTCCTATAAAAAAACACAAATTTCGTATTCAAAACATGATATGCTTTCAAAAACTGAGATAAATACACAATACTATATGAACTATCTATGGTTTTAATTTACTTACATGATCAAGACATCTCACGATGGCCTTAAATGCATCATTAAATGGTATCACAGTGATATCCTTTTGCTGGGGTAGTGGGGATGTAGTGGGGGATGAAGAGTTGCTATGACGAGGTTCAGCATTGTCCATCCTACAAAATGAATAGTCCTACCTGTTAGTTTGTTGATCAAAAAATCTTAACTTTTGTTGCTGAAATAGCAGAATATTAAAATATTTGAAAACTTGACCAACTTCAACTGTTTCTAAAAATGTCTAAAACTTTTTAAGTCACGAGATATGATATGTGAATTATATTAAAAAGGTGCATGGCGTCTCTACTATTTTGTAATTTTTTTCAAATATCTGCGTGTCAAAAGCTTGACATGTAACAGTATAAGACTATATCTCTCTTTAATTTGTTAATCTATTACATGTAGTTTTATATTAGAATGTCAGCAAATATTTTGCTTTATACCTATAGTCACATATTACATAAGGACTGTATGTAACTTTATTTTTATCATCAATCATTCCAAGTCTGTACTCTTCATCAGCCCTCATATCAAGGAAGCATTCAAATATCTGAAAAACAATCCAACTGCTAGAGTATATAGCAATAATTACAGAGCAATCAAATATGCCTCCATTTATAAGTAAAAGCATTTATTTCCTTCTTATAAGAACATATTTCGACACCCGGCTGATGCAAAACAAAAAATACTATTTCTAAGTTGTTGCCATTCAGTGTATTCTTATTGCTTTTTTTTATTTAAACCCCTGCCTGACTTCTATCTTATGTCAACATTTACTGTAAAACATAATTTCCCAAATGCAGACAGCCCTACCTTGCATCTTATTTCACAGAGTGTTGTAGTGAGCCATTGTGCATCAATCTCATAGTCAGTGAGACTTTCACTGGTAGACACTTTCTTATAGTGAATCTTTAAATGGGATGTTAGCACCTCAAATACTTTACATGGAATTCCACACGGTAGTTGGCTAAGTTTGGCCTAAAATATATGCATTTCAAAATATATGCAATTCAAAATATATGCATTTCAATGACAGCAAAAAAAATAGTTATAGGAAGTAATTATGGCTAATTTTTTAATTTTACTCTGTTACATTTAAAGCAAACTTGTTAATCATAGAGGGTGTTCCAAAAGAAACAGAACTGGTACTGGCATTTTGTTTGATATGAGCCAATTTTCTTCAAAATCTTACAGTTTTAGTTGTAATGCTTCAAACTAAATTTTGTGAAAATTGACACTTGGTTCAGAATTATCAAAATGCCAGCACCAGTCCAGTTACTTTTGGAACACCCTGTAGTTAACTACTAACTAATTTTTTTTCTAAGCTTTCTTCATCTTGTTACTAATTTCCCCTAATTTATTATCTGTTTCCTTACTTTAAATATGTTCAGCAATCCAATTGCTGCTGTTTTCTTGTCTTTGATCAGTGGCTCCTCACTTAGAGTGGTGGCCAATTGACTAGTACCAGACTCTGGCTTTGATGGGGGTTTATTAATAACCTGGAATACAAACATTTGAAATTGTATCAATCTGTGGGGAAAATAATCCTAATCATTCAGGGGTCTGTTTTTGGAACTGCAGCAACTTACGATTTGATTGCACTTCACTGTTCGTCAAAAAGTAGACAATGGTTGAAAGTAAGTTACAATTGTACCAAATATGAACCCATAATCAAGATAAAATGATATTATTGATCAGGTCATTTGTGCTGTTGATTACACTGCTTGTACATCTTAATATTTTCATACCTTTTCTATAATGCTGATCATATCAAGGCACTTCTGTGTTTCACACGTCATAGCAAGATCCACCAGGAGTTGAACTGCAACATTCCGCACCTCTGCATCCATATCTGTGTCTATCTGGCTGAGTAAAGGCAGTACAACCATCTCAACCAGATCATCCTGGAACAACCACATAATTCTCATTGGAACAACCATATATTTTTCATTGGAACAACCATACAATAAACACAATGTGTTTCTTGAACAACCATACAATCTATTCATTGAACAGCCATACGATGTGTTGATTAATCAATTATACAACGTTCATTAAACAACTATACAATGTGTTCATTGCACAACCTTATAATGTTCAACAAACTCACTAAAACAATTTGTGTTAAAAAAAACTGAAGCACGGATTCGGTTTATATTGTCATTTTGTTCAACTGCTTTTTAAATGTTAAGATACATTACTAAATGTCAATTGTTTTAATAGAAAATGAAGCACAAGTACCTCATACATATGTCTGTTTGCACTTAATACACAAGACAGTACATTCAATGTTTTCACTCGGACAGCAGTACGGGCCTCAAACCTAGAGAATGATACAAAAAGGTTAAATGAAAACCATTTTAGAGATTGTGTAAAATACATGTTTATTTCTTGTGCAAATTCTATTCTGTCCAATTCTAATAGCTTCAGAAAGATGACTTCACCTAAACTCTATTACAGTGAAGTGACACATTTTGAACATGAATGTCTACATCTAAATCACAACACTATTTTCGAAAATCATACTTGAAAAATCTTTCCACGAGATCATAGAGATGTAGCATCCAGTCATTACAGGCCGGGTGTAAACTCTTGGCCTTGTAGGACACCAGCAGTAGAATAGAACGTTCCTAGCAAGAGAAATACATACAAGTATAAATTAAAATTTTAATTAAAGCAAATCTTTTGCAACCATCTGAACCTTTTAAAATTATTTTAAAACATGGTATTACTTTTGTTGATACTGAAGACTAAAGACACTTTTTTTAACATATTCATAAAGAAAAAAAGAAAAAAGCTTCATATTAAATATCCTTGAAATAAGCAATTTTGTTGTCTTACATCAGATTTGATGGAGTATTATATAAATCTACATACTTCGATCAATTTATTGAGAGCCTGCTATGCTTATGAATCTCCATTTTCAAATATAAGAAGTTTGGGAATTTTGTGACATGACTGTTAAACACAGCTGAGTAGTACATTGTACACTAACCTCTCTTTGATTTGCACAAGACTCAATGATGTTGAAGAGTTTAGGTTTAGAGCCTGTGAATTGATTATTCTCAAAGAGCTCTTCAATCCCAGTGATCACTTCATGTAGGTTTTCTATGATTGTACTCTCACATGAGGGGTTGTCCTGAAATATTACCATGGCAACTAACTTGTGGCGACTAAATATCACCATAGCAATTAACTCTATGGGAATCACACATATTGTCAATACAGTTTTAACCAATAAAAAGTCACATTTATCAAGCATGACTTGCATGAGTGTATCAATACTAGTTTATTATCAGCACTGTTACTGTTTCAACTTTACTGAGAGTAGCTTATTATTTCAGTATGTATATGAAAATAATATGATGTTGTCATAATCCTGTTTTTATAGAGGCCTGAAATCTTTACGGCAAAGAGCTGCACTCACTCTACTCAAATATTCTAATTATTTGATTTTGATGAAATTAAGTATGAAAGAATTTTCCTTGAAGAATTGTAGCAAACAATTCAAATGATATATTTTAATACAAAAGATACATAATTATAGAGTTCTAAAATTACAATTCAACTGTAATATTCAAAACAAAAATTCTATACCTCTACATGTTGTATGAGAGATTTTACAATTTCAAAAATTTGATCCCAAGTTCCATAGGGGAGATCTTTGCCATATTTCTTCACAAGTCGCTGTGTGGAGAGAACAACTTCATAGGCTACAACATCATGTTTAGAATCCATCGACTGCAATTAAACATACATACAAATGTGTTAACAAAAGCAAAAGTTACCGTGCAGAACACTTATTTCACCTATTTGGGACCAATAACACTCATAGGCGTAGCCAGGAGGGCGTGTGATCGCACCCCTCCCCCCCTATAACTAATGAAAATATAACCATTTAACAGATAGAGGAAGAAAAGGAAGGAAAGAGCTTTTAAATGCTTTTCATTTGAAGCTTGTAGCTCAATTTTGAAGGAAGTTACATCAATTTTTGTAAAATTCAAAACAAATCTCCATCTTTTTTGGGTTGCTTATGCTACGATCACACCCCACTGACTAAAAAACAAAAAAATTTTGGTGATCACACCCCCCTGACTGAAAGCTGGCTATGCCCCTGACATTACACATTCAAATTGAGACTGGTATGCCCTTAAAGGGAGTACAACATTACATCACTTACCTTAAAACATAGAAATAAAGTATCAAAGATTTACCTTAAGAAAAGATGGCAGCACAGAAGCTGGGGTATGTTTTAATGACTTTACTTTCATTGAGCCCCAGAGTGCCATTCCAATGAAGAAGACAGCCCCTCTGAGTAATGTATAATCTCCCAGGTGGTTCCTGAATCATACAGGAAATGCAGTAAACATGGGTGTTCAATTTTTAAATTCAAGGATATTTGAATGACTTTCAATTGTTGCATTGACAATTGTAATTTTAAAATTCATCAAAAAGGAGTTTCATGTAAATTCGATCATTTTTACATATAGATTTTGCTTTAAATATTGATAGCACATAATATGTAAGTATACATGAACATGATATTTTTAAACCAAATCAAATGGCTATGGGCTAACTTACTGATCTTGCAATATACAGCACATGGAGTAGACCCCGCTATGCCCTAAGTGAGTTCCAAGGAGTTTTCTCATCAACTGAAAATGTAAACAATCTCAAAGAATTAAGACTATCATAATATGTTCTATCTTTAGTAAACAGTATTTTCTGCTCTTTTGATCATTTTTATATATTAATGATGATCAATGACAAATTTAAGACCCCTCCTAATGAAATACATGTGTTGTTTAATGTGTACTTGCAGATTTACATCTATAAAACAAACAAAACTAAAGACAATTCGAGTAAGTGTGAATGACAATCTGAGTATACTATAATATAAATCAGTATAATATGAATCAGTGTGAAAAAGTTAATAAAGGTACATCAATATTAACTAGATAACGGCAACTCCGCGGAGTAGCAAATCCCAACGAACAAAATATCAATTACCGAATTCCAATCAATTATACTCATTACTTTGGTTGAAAATGAAAAAATTAGATTTTAGAATCGCGAATTCCTGCAAAGCAGCCATTTTGAATTTTCTGAGGTACAAATCTGAAAAATAATACCATAATTGTGATCTACTCCAAAATTCCTTCAATTTGAGTATAATATAGCCATACTTTGAAGGGATCGAAAAATTATTGCGAAATCGTAGATTAGACGGCCATTTTGAATTTTACGAGGCTCGAATCAGAAAAAAGATACAATATTTGCAATCCACTCTTAATTGCCTTTCATTTGAGTATAATAAAGCTATACTTCAGAAAGATCTAAAAATTAGCGAAAATTTCTGTTTTCCTGTCCCCCCATACATGGCCCCTGGGGGTCAGGATGAAAAACACGGAATATATGTGAAATAGATAAATGTTGTGAATACACTACCAGAATTTCAAACAATAATATAAATTACTTTGGTTTAGAATGAAAAATTTATGATTTTTGCGAAAAAGTCCCGTCATTTTTAAAGCGGCGGCCATCTTGAAAAATTTATTTTTTGCGTAAAACCATTCATCAATATACATCTTTCCACTAAATATGAAGAAAATCTGTCTACTAGTATTTGAGTTATCTTCCGGACAGACGGACGGACGGACGGACGGACTGACTGACAGACTGACGGACGGACGGACGGACGGACGGACGGACGGACGGACGGACGGACGGACGGACGGACGGACGGACGGACGGACGGACGGACGGACGGACGGACGGACGGACGGACGGACGGAGGGCTTCACTATATCCCTAACGAACTTCGTTCGTTGGGATAACAACTAATAAGTATAAATCACTGTGAAAATGTTAGTCAGGATGCAACATAGTATACGTCAGTGTGAATATGTTAATGTTCATGTCAAATCCTGAAATGAATAGTACTCACCGTCCAACTTGGCTGACAAAATTTCTCCACATTCACTGTTCTACAAAGACATGTGATAAAATGGAACAACGATGCAGGCGGAAGGTAGCTATAGCAAAGCACTACGTCTAGTACCTTCAGACATTGCTGGAATAGAAAAAACATACATCATATGGATAATTATAAAAATCAAATTCTCAAGATTATAAAATATCTGAGATTGATATAAACTAGATATAAGGTTGATGATATAGCAATGAATCTAGACATAAATCTTCAAGTAAATCAGAGAAACAAAATACATTTTCTTCATGTTCAAAAGTTAACTTTGTCCTACACTCCCTATGTGGAAGTGATTCTACCAGGCCTGGTCATCATATGGCAAAAACCTTTTCTCTATTACACTTATGGACAGTTCTTGTTTTTTTCTACATGTAGGTAGTTATCTATACTTACATCAAGATCAGCCTCAGACTTGGTTCTATTCAGAAGAACACACGTATGCCTGAAATAAAACATATGTTAATGGAATATGGGACAAAAATTTGATGGATGAATATTGCATGATTCTAAGGATATATAGCTAATACTTTCAGTATATTTAACAAAATCAGGACCCAATTGAGAATTTGAAAACTAACGCCTTGCACTGAGTTTAAAACCCATCTGCGCCCAGTTCAGACACTTTAGGAGTTTTGAACATTTCTTAGTCAAAATATGTAAAGCAAGAATTATAAAAAAAATATGCTTTAGAAAAATAATCATAGATGCAGAAACCACTAAAAAATGTTGAGAAAAACTGTATAACTTACTGTACAAGTCCAGAGACAACATTTTCATCTAAGTAAGCTGCGTTGAACTTGACTACATTAATGAGTAACTGCATATAGTCAGGCACTCGAGCACTGCTCATTACTTCCTGCATGAACTGTTGTAGATACGCACCTGACAGAGCAAAACATTGAGGATACACAGCCAATATAATTTGGCGCTGTTTCGGCATCGAAAACATTCGGCGCTGTTCCAGCACCGTTTCGACACCGTTCCGGCACCGAAACCTTTCGACACCAAAATTTGCCACCGGACTAGTCAGTCCATTTGATGCCGAAACGGCACCGAAATTTGGCACAGAAACAGCGTCGAAAATCTAATTGCATTTTGGGGGTGTATATTAGGTACATGTTTATGAGTATATAGGAAATAAATAGAATCTAAGTGCACTTTCTACTCTCCCAAAAAGGAAAAGTTGTGTCTGTCAACCATCCAAAATGGAGAATCTTGATTTCATTTATATTTTATGATATATCAGCTTTTAACATACATATAATATGAAGATTGGTTGATAAGGGACCTCCCTAAAATGTGTCTGACATGGTTCATGAAACCCATGCATTATACATTTGAACTATACATATATTTGATTCCATTTCTCTCAAAATATGATGTACATATATATATATACGGGTACATAAGAATATGACAACAGTTAACGTATAATTAGTTTTCATAAAATTGCATACCTATATCTTCCTCCAAAAGCTCAATATCACGTCCATTGTCTGTGAGAGATATGAAGATGTCAAGCCTATAAAACATTTTTAAATACAGTGAAACACCTCTAGAAGTAGAAGACCTCTGTAAGTAGAACTCTTTTCTCAAATCTAACTGACTTAATGTTAAATGAACCTCTATAACTGGAACACCTCCAAAGTGGAACACTTTTAGAAGTAGCAAAGGTGTTCCACTTAGACAGGTTTTATTGTATTATCTTTTACACTTCCCTCCAACAGTGACATATAATATTATGAAAAAGTTAGTGAGATTATTTGAGGCATGTATTTTTGAACATATACACAGATGGTCAATGGTCTCACAAAGAAATATATCTTTATCATTTATCATGAAAGTTTTAATATTATTCTTTCATACATTGACTTGACTTGAGACAATGCACCAGAAAATTGAACATGATTTTATCTAAAATTAATCTTACTTAATAGCATTCAGAAGAGGAGGAATAGATTACCCCATCTCAATGTAATAATAAAAATGAACCTCTTGTACCAAATATATGTTGATGTATTGCAAGGCAATCATCTTACCTTTCATTTAGATCCTCAAATAAAGTATGCGACCGAAGCACCTTGAAGAAATGGCCCCTGAGTAACCCAAGATGCTTGTACTGAAAAATAACACCAAAAACAATATGCAATGTTTTGTGTCAAAAATAATCTTTAGCCATACCTTTTCGATCAATTCAAAATTTGGATAAAGATTTTTTTCCATATTTTAGGTACATTATTTCATACATACAAATGCATATATACATATAATACAAATCACAACTTTTTTGTTTTAAGATTATTTTAATGACTTTTAATAAAGATTATGCTTTTTTGCATTGTTGTTTTGAATAGTGTGTGTTACTCACCTGTCCTTTTATAAGTGCCTGAAGGAACTTAAGGGCAATCAGCCTGGATTCCCTTGGAACCTGTGGCTGAACTAAATCTTGGATATTCAACCATAGCACCTGTGGGGCATTCTACAAAAATAAGAAAAGCATAAACACAACATAATATCACCACACATCTACATGTATAAGTTATTAAATGGTAATAAAAGTGTAGCAATCTATAACAAGCTTATGACCACCAAATGCCGACACAAAAATATTTCCACTAACTGGTGGTGACATGAATCTAGGTTACAATATGTAATAACATTGGTTAATTTTGGATATTGAATCTTTCAAATAAGTACGATTTTACATTTAAATTTTTGGTAATCACCAAAATGTAAATTCCAATCCTTTTAAACATGGTCTCTATTTCACTTTATTTTACCATGGGATTTTTAGAGTTCCAAAGGGACAATGGTTTTACATATACAAAATGTAGGATCACTACATGGTGCAGCCAACTCACATCTTCTAGTCTCTTTGTGTTCGCGACCTCTGTCAGGGCTTGTATAGTTTTCAAACGATTGTTGGCTGGGCTCTCTGAGCTAATTTCCTGAAAATATGAATGAAAACAATTGTTTTTGGGTACTGTAATTCTACTTAATTTGGCGCTACTTATTTTGGCGGATTTGCTATTTTGAACATTTGTTGGCTACTTCATTTGGCGGACTTGCAATATTGAAAAGCAATACCAGAGCACGGCAGATTCCAACGGGAAGGATTCTGGTGCAATGGAAAGACAACAAATAAAAGTCGACGATGAAAAGTATATGATAAGTAATTTGTATGACCGCAGATACTGTTAAATGACCTTTATAATTAATTCTTTTTTAATTCAATTACAGGGAGAGCTGACAGCGACTTAATTTGGTATACTTAAACAATTTGGCAGATCCCCCAAATTAAAACAGCCACGTTATTCTGATAACCTAGAAGTACCTTACCTTTAACAGCTCTGGGGTGATGATTATTTCCTTTGTTTGTGGCTTAACCTGGACATTTTGCAAAACAGGACTTTTTCCACTTCCTATACGCAAGAGATTTTTAAACTTGGATGAAAATGACTCATCTGATTTAGCAGGGGCCTTGGCCATTCTGAAATAATAATAAAAGTCAAATATTGAAGTGGTTGTACATAAACATTTTATTCTTTTTTTATTATTGTATGTAACAAAATAATTTCAACCCCTTATGTATTTTATATAATACATGTAAGCACACAAATTCTGGTGGATAAAATAAACATAAATAAAAAGAGAATTGATTCTTATTAATGAGCGACTTAAAAATAATAGACTAATATGTGATAGACATGTTGAGCTCTTCAACACGCGAGATGAGAATATTGTTGTCATTCTGAACAATTGCGTATAAATCTATTGGCTAGCAGAGATATAGAAAGAAAGAACTGTTTATTTTTGTGAAGTAATTCTTCTTCAAATTGATAATTTTGTGTATAAGATTTAGTGATCTCCCAAGGATTTTTTCTCAACTGGGTGCAAAATTCTCATTTTCACAATTCACACTGAAATTGGTCAAAATATAGCCATTTTTCACGATTTTTCTCATTTTCAAGTGGGTGCAAATGTATTTTCATGTGGGTGCAAGCCTGTTTTTAAAATCTCAGATGGGTGCTGCGTCCACTCGCTTTAATGTTGGGGGAAATCACTGAGATTTCATTGTTATACCCACACTACAGAAAATAAGGTTGACACACTGATTTCTGGTTGAAGTAAGTCAGATACAGATGAGGGTATATCCCTACTTCATTATTTAAATCATTTGCAGGGATTTCTTCGTTCACTCTTCCCATTGGTTGTTGACATGACAGCATGGAATAATTTTGCTCAGCATATGAAACTCATATCAAATTTTTCAATCATTTCAGCAAATGCTGCATAGTTTAGACATTATCAGAAGAAGAAGAATAGACCTAACAAAGGGTCAGGCTTGAATCTGCGACAAAATACTGATTTAAGAATCATATTTGTCAATCTCTCTTCTAGTGACCCCTATCAAATGAAAAGTTTAAACTACATGATAAAAAACAGTAAGCTTAGAATTGGGTCAGCTGATTTTTTTCGCCGAACAAAATATTCCAAAATACATTCGACTATTTCGACATTAAAACAGGCTCTCATTTCTGAAATTAAAGATGCAAAGCACGAACAATAGTAACATTCGCTTATGAATGCAATATTATTATTTGTTTGATTATGTTTACTTACTTTACAGAACGTTTTAATCTTTTTTTTAGTGATTTCACATCTTTCAGATTGGGTTATCTCTAAATCTCAACACAGAATATAATAGGTCAAACGAAATTGTTACAACATAATATAAATTGAAGCAATAATCTACTGATGTCCTCGAGAATATGGTTTTATAATTATTTTTAACAATATAAGTTTCATCCTGTCAAACTTATCTTCTATTATACATTGGGTGATATTAATTATTTCGTATTTTTATTTTCCATCATATAAATTGACATTTGTTTCGTCTAGTGCAACCCTCGTTACCCATCTTCTATTTGAGCCCCGGGAGTAATAGTACTTGATTGATTTTGGATAGGGACACTCATATATTTTCCTTCTCTGCCGTATGGAAAAAGGGGATGCATGTGAAAATGTCATTCTTTAGTTTCAAAGTATTTTACGTTTTTGGTGTGTTTTGTTTTGAATACACTAAAAGTCACATTTTCTTGATTTTTCAACCAGCATGTTTAACTCCATTGCCATGTAACGTTTAACTATATTCTGACATTTAGATTTTTTAACATTGTGTAAATGGGTATTTATCCCGACATTTTCAGAAAATGTGAGGGGTGAAATAAAGATTAATAACTGTGCCAGTCAACGTTGTTTTAATATGATAGAAAATTACACACAGAAATCAAATATGCCGGCCCACTGAATAGAAGAAATGCTCCTTCCCTGATCACTCACTTCGAGAGCCATTTTAGATTTTGGAAATCAAAATTCACAATAAAATTTTCGCAGGAAGTAACTCATTCCACTTAAATTGTTGTTTAAAAAGGTCCATGTGTAGTATGGCAAGTAATTTTACTACACGGTCATATCTTTCACAATGAGTACTTTCTGGTCACAAATCCCGGGTCACAAATACACAATGATACAGTGTTTTTTATTAACAATATGTTCTTTCAAGTGAAGTACCCATGATGGACACTATCAATCGAACAATTCCTATTTACTCAAAAGAGGATCTTCTTTTTCTGATTTTTATTACATGAAAAGATTATTCAACAAGGGGTCTAAAACTTCTTCTACTTCTGGTATTGAAAGTCTAGTTTTGAAGAAAATTATTTCGATGACCAAAATAATGCTGAAAACAACAACGAGTTTTCCCTGTGGGAAAGTAACATGGGATATGTGGCACCATTCTGAGCACTTTTAAAGTGATTTTGACCCTTTTTGGCCAAAATTGTCAAAAGTGAACTCCCCGAGAATTTCTTAAAAGGTGAACCCCCTGACAAAATCCTGGTTACGGGCCTGCTGGTAGATTATCACATTTTTAATCACCATTGTGAAGGAACAGAGTAAGTCTCAGGAAAGTGACTTCTCGATGTATCAAGTCAACTCTCAGAAATATAGGAAAACCCAGAAAACGTCGATATTGCAACAATTATATGTTGCTATACCTATGTTAAAAAATTAGTACCGTGGGTACTAGGCTCACATGGTGTTGGTCAAAAGTGAAAATAAAAAAAAACGGATATGATTTTTTGCCGATTTTTTGTAACAAAATTATTTCATACAACTACTCTTTACAAAGACATGGCTTTTTACAATGCAGGACACCTGAACTTATTTGTAAAGCTAGGAAATGGGCCAAAGGTGAATTTTCCGAGACAAAAATGGTTGCCAATTTGAAAATAGGCGAGAATTTGAAGCAGGAGTCACAGGTTTTTTTTCTTTATTGATGTTGAACAAAAAGCCTAGTGTTGACAGACAGAGGTTTTAAAACTTGCCACTATTTTGGACTGACTGAGAGACAGATGGACAAATCAATGTTAACTAAAATGGCTGAAAATAAAAAAAGGACATGATTTTTGCCGATTTTTGTAACAAAATTATTTCATACAACTTCTCTTCAGAGTGAAATGGCTTTTTACAATGCAGGACACTTGGAATTATTTGTAAAGCTGGGAAATGGGCCAAAAGTGAATTTCGCGAAACAAAAATGGCAGCCATTTTGAAAAGGCGAATTTTTGAACCCGCAGTCATAGGGGAGTTTTTTTGTATTAATGTTGAACAAAAATAACTTAAAACGGGAATCCTATCGACGGAGGTTTGGTTCAAAAGTGGATTTCGCGAGACAGATGGTCAAATCAATGTTAACTAAAATGGCTGAAAATAAAAAAAATGGATATCATTTTTTGCTGAATTTTTGTAAGAAAATTATTTCATACAACTAATCTTTACATTGACATGGATTTTTACAATGCAGGACACCGGAAATTATTTGTAAAGCTAGGAAATGGGTCAAAAGTTTGTGAGACAAAAATGGCGGCCATTTTGATAATAGGCGAGCCTTTGAACCAGGAGTCATAGGGGAGTTTTCTGTATTGATGTTGAACAGGAATAACTTAAAACGGTGATCCTATAGACAGAGGTTTTAAAACGTGCCACTATTGTTGACGGAAAAGTGGATTTCGCGAGTCAGTTGGACAAATCAATGTTAACTAAAATGGCTGAAAATAAAAAAATGGATATAATTTTTTGCTGATTTTTTGTAACAAAATTATTTGATATAACTACTCTTCACATTGACATGGACTTTAACAATGCAGGACACCTGACATTATTTGTAAAGCTAGGAAATGGGTCAAAATGAATTTCGCGAGACAAAAATGGCGGCCATCTTGAAAATACGCGAGCTTTTGAACCAGGAGTCATAGTGGAGTTTTTTGTATTGATGTTGAACAGAAATAACGTAAAACGGAAATCCTATCGACAGAGATTTTAAAACGTGCCACTATTGTTGACGGACGGACGGACAGACGGACATCTTGTAATATATAGATACACTGTCCCACATGTTTTGTTATAGAGCAACTGAAGCATACAATCTTTCCACAAAGATAAATTCAGACCAACATTTGGATATCTACATCATATAGGTAGATTATAATTGATTTTATTTACTTGTCATATCCAGTATTTAATACATTATAGGTTTAAACCCATATTAATATTGAAGTCATATTTGGTAAGTTAAAATCCAGTATATATTAATTATAGGAAATACCCATATTAATATTTAACAGACGGACAGACAGACAGACGGACAAGTGAGTGATTGCAAAAGCTCACCGTGTGAGCTAAAAACAACAACAAAGCATTTGTGATAGTCATATTTTATTAACATGATAGTTCAAGTTCAGTTTCTATTCCAGCGTTGCGATCCAAAGATCAGTCCACCATCCACTATTTTAATCAATCAAGGAAATACAGGATATCTTTATCAATACCACACCTTACTTCCTTAACAGATTTCTCAGCTTCATTTTTGAAACAGGATCATTCCCATCAGAACTTTTCAATTTAGAGCAACAATATATACCATCGATATGGCATCGTCCTTAAAGCCCAGCATAGTCTAATGGGGCACCGGGCATGTCACACAGAGTCCCATTAGTCGCATAAAGTACCACGGGACACTATGTGAGTTCTCACACAATATGGAGGTCACTGGCGGATCTGGGAGGGGGTCAAAAAGCCTTAAGGCCCCAAAAAGTGGGCCTTTTTGGTCATTACTGTGCTTTTTAAGGCCTTAATTGTTATTTCAGGCCAAATTTTGAAGAAAATGGGCCTCAAAATTTGGGCCCACTTTTGGGTTTTAGGGGCCCAAATTTTTTTCTCTGACCTGAAATTTGGGACCCCCTTGTTGGTTCCCAGATCCGCTATTGGAGGTCCTGCGTAATGTGCCCACTTGACGTATGCGACGGGCTTTTATGGATTCCTTACACACTTAATATACTGATAGTCTAAGTCTAAGCAGTTGATCGACGTGTACAAAATATTTAAACCATCCATTATTATACGCAAATGCAAAATATAAATGTAGTTGCTGGAAACAGTGCAGAATGCGCTCATTACACACTTCAGGGTAGAACGTATTTCATTTTACGGTCATTAAAGACTGAATACCAAATCCAAACAGGAATAAACCTTAGTAGCCGGCAGCAAATGACAGTGTGTAACATTTTGGAAGCAACATTTCTGCCCCTTTACACCCATCATGTTTAGGGTGATATATACAGCTGGAATGAGATTTGATAGCTGATCAGAAGGTTTGAAGTTTAGGATACAAGAATGTCAACCTTCAACGGAATCCCCTTTCCCCGTCCTTTTCTCAAATGACAGTAAAAAGATTTTCATGAAATAAAAAATAGTTAAAAAATCCGCAAAGTGCTGTGTGTTAATCATAAAGTAAAATTGTGAACAAGTTCCAAAAAATCATTTTCAAATGGTCTCTATCATTTGCCACACAATGTCTCAAAAATAACCTTAAATGTTAGAACAGTGTTTTCTGGACTCCTTTACGTTTTGTTTACTGATACAAAATGTTTGACTGTGACATTCAACCAAGAAATCTCAAATAGGAAACTGACGAATTCAAAATATCTAAATGAGAGTATGTGAGTAAAGTCGTGAGTTCAAGTCTTTCATTATGTATAACCAGAGACCCTGGCTAGTGTTATAAATAGAATATAATAGAAAAATATCCCTAAATGTAAAATACTAAAATGCATCGATGGAACTTTCAAAGTCCCATGTCATATCATGTTCCTCTTTTATTTAAATAAACGTCCATGGAAATGTCCACATCACATCTTTCTTTCATAACAATTGATTGTTCTAGTTCAGAACTCCAGGTTCATATTTAACAAGAACTTCCAGAAGATGGATGGAATGGAATAATGAGGCCGTTGTTAGGCATCCTATCCTAGGTATCCTATAGTTACCAATCCTGTAACCATGACTGCAAGAATCAGCATGAGATTACCATGGTTACCAGAGCCTAAACAACAAGAAATATACATTAATTTTGATTCAATCAAAATGATATGGTGCATTGGAGTATAACGCCTATATTAGCAATTTTTACTGGCTTATATTATTCATATTCAAATAACACAATGTCTGTTTTCGTAACCATTGATTTATTTTACACATCTCGTAGCATAACTGATCATAACTGATACCAAAGTACAGTTTCAGGTATGCTGAACTATACAAAGAAAATGGTTCCTAACTTACATGTATATATTATATAATATATGTAATATATATAATGAACATACTAGAATTCCCTCCTTTGTTTCCTTCATCATCATCGGAGTCATAATAATAATAGTAGTCGTTCACCTCAGCCATAACCTCTTTCAAAGCATCACTTTGGTCCTTCTCAAGACCAGCCAGTTGGCCCATGGTAACACTAGATGCCTGGTTGACAGAGAACCACGCAAATTGTTCAGCAGTGAATCCCTGTAATATGATGGTGAATTTGAAACAAAAACAATGGCATAAGACACTATTAAGACTGCTTATGAACCACAAGATATTATCATTTCCCCATTTCAACTTTTATTTCATTACTATGTATTTTATTAAGTAAGTGATATTTAAGTGTGGTTCATTTGGTTTTAAGGACCGATATTCCTTTTTATGTCACAATTGGTCATGTGGATCAATAGGTTTTGGTATATCTGACCATATAGTCCAATTGGATAATGATAAATACAAGATCATAAGCTGCTCTGATACTTGTGTATATGCTAGAGGCTGTTTAGTTGACCCACTTACACAAAAGTTGATGTTTGGGATTTTCGTAATTGTTGCGGGAGTAATCTGTTGAATCTGCGCTCTCGTCATCTGTTTGATGTTGTCCTTTGGCAGCCCACCTGAATCGAATCATCAAAACTGATAATAGAATACGTCCCTTTTCATAATTAAATTTATCTAGAAGCATATAGGTTTTGTGCCGATATAAAGGTGGCAGCAGTGGTAGAATCCTATTAACCTTTCTCTCTTTGACTGCCCTCTTTATTTAAAAGTCATTTTATTGTCTTTAATCATTGGATAAGTAAAGAGGTATTTAAAAATGCAGAATCAGAGAATGGCTAGTTTCTAAATTCACGCTTTTTTATTTTACCAACGGACATACCAATCACATTTCCAATAAGTTTCGTCTTGTCCAGAGTCCATGAAGAGGTATCTGCTCCATACCCAGCTAGAGCCTTTTGTGCGTAGTGCGTCCATTGTTGACCAATACACGTTCTAGCAGCACCAACCTCCTTAACTGCAGTCCTAAAGTTTACAAATGAAGTTCATAGCTTCATTCATTTGCAAGTCATTTGTTAAAAAGTGTTTTTGAACTACACAAACCAACAAGGCAATTGTGATAATTCATCAGAATAGTTCAACTAAATTATTGGGATGGAGAGAATCACAATAGATGCAATGGTTTAAAAAATGTAATTTCATACATATAGGCATTTTGTGGAATCTGTGTAATTTGATCAGTTGAAGCTCCACACACGAGTTCTCCAATCAACCTCAATTCATTCCCAGTAATAGTTGTAAGATCATTACTCTTGGAATCCTTTAACCATTCATTAAACGCCGCTGTAAGCTGTAAACAGAAGTCCATCATAAAGTAGAATAGAAAAGCATTGAGAACGTTGTCAAACGCATAAGCTTAATGTAATATCAATATTTGTTCAGTAAATCTAAAATTACGATTTACAAGTTTCAACGTAAGATATGTTATATTCTGTCATTGAGGTCCATGATACAGTTGACATGCTTTAAAAATAATTTTGCTTATACCAAAATATATTACTGAGGATAAGGTTTTCAAATGATATACAAGCCGCCTTCACAAAAACGACAAATTCAGTGGAAAAAATGTTCATATTTCCGTCTGTTGGGCTTTAAAAACCAGTATCTAATACATTTTTCTAAAACACAACCAACCTTCGCTGCGTCATCCCAGTTGCCATGGTTACCAATAGCACTAGCAACATCAATAGTTGTTAGTTGAAGTTTTTTAATGTTATCTACAGAGAGACCAGAAACGATACCACGTAGGTCGTTAATCTTATTCCTATCCCAAGAGTCAACATTGCCCCAATGCTACAAAAAAAGAAGTTACCATCCAAGTGATATTTTTTAGCTTGAACGAGGCTACAGGCTCATTATGCGCGCCGATTCAGAGATCGATAATGACGCATTAACATGCCGACATGACACTATTTAGCACGGAGGCTAGCAAACCGTGCCTGAAAAGATCCCACCAAGTCCATCGACGATGAGGAGGTTGTCAACAATTTGATCTCTATGATTAAACACACAAAAGATTCATAAAATATACAAATACCTTTACAGCCAAGTTGGCAAGCGAAGACCATTGGGATTGGTCAAATGTTTTAAGCTTGCCTAACATTGTTGCACAATCAGTGAACTCGTCCTTGGCAAGTCCAGACAGTTGGCTGGATGTTAATACGTCTGCAGTGGTCGAGCCGAGTGTATGGAGCAATTCACACGTTATTTCAACCAATGCTGGAAATGCCATTAATAAGTCCGTTAAAAATAAATTGATCCAAGTGGGAAATTGCTTCTACTGATAAACAAAACAAGTAATGTAAAGGAAGAGAATGAGTTGTACAATTTCTACCAACGAACACAGTTTTACATCACACCTCTTTTCCGTCTGTTTCCACCAGACGCGGTCAACTTTGCAAATAGGTTCTTTCTGGCTTCTTTCTTGACAACTTCTGTCTCTGTTATAATATTCTTCAAGTCCAGTCCATTAGCTTTCCTACAGTTGGCCAGCGCGTCCTGTTCCTCCCATATAGTGGCAAGAGCGGACAGTTCAGCGGCCATTATATCCTACATTCAGAGATCAATATTTATTATATTGTGTTCTCAAAACATATTTTTTGTACTTTATTCATATACATTTTACATTTTGATATAGTTCAGACTTTTGTCCAAATTTGTGTTCTTCATATATTGCCTTTTCCTTTCCATAATGGTGGCTTTCATCAAGATCATATGATACTCGGCAATTAGGAGATGGTTCTGTGCTGTTGTAAATTCATTGTTTTAATCAAATAATTTAAAAGACATCCAATAAAACTCATCTATTTTAAAATCGGAATAATGAGGAGAAATTGAAAAATGCAATACACCAATCATCTAATAAATAAAATGCGTTTTATACACACAAACTTTTCATTTTTAAGATGTTTGATTTACGTTCTTAGAACACAAAATTAAAAGCGACAAAACGAAAGTGCTTCAAACGCCAAAGCTTCATCTATAAGTCTAAACGTAGCTTTCAAAAACACCCCAAAAATCATCCTCCGATCACAGGGCTCCAATATCGCTGTGGTCGATGGATGCCCGAAAATTAGGCAAGCAAATACATCCCTAAATGTGGTGGTTGGGTATTGGATCATTCCAAACACCACCCTCATATAGAAGCCACATACTTAATCATGGCACATCTAAAAAACTCAGTGTCAAGATCCCGTACATGAGTTAGATCTGAGACCATCATAAAATAAAAAAAAATCATTTTTTGTTAGTCTCAGGTTAGATGAGGTAAAAAATCAAACTATTGGAAAGGTAACATCTAAAATGAAGATTGTATAACATGTCTCACTGCTGGGGCCGAGTCCAAACCACAATATGTTATGATATGCTTCATTAGCCCTGCATGTTCTTGGGATAGAGTGGAGAATCCAGTGTCATAACTGAAGGTAACAAAAGTTATCAGATATTTCTAAATACTTTTTCTGAATTTGAATAATATGTTGACGATATTGGTAAAATTAAACTACGTTAATTTCAAGCTTTCAGAAAGGGGCAAAATTGCACTTTCACCATTTTAATCAAAATTGAAGGATGGAAGGATAAGGGTTAAACTATTTTGGTTCAAAATACTGTATGTATGCCAACCCAAAGTTTTCCTTGACAAAACCACAAATATCCGACTGGATGTTCTGTATTTGTGAATGTTTGTCAATTTGAAATATACATCTTTTCAAGTCATCGGTGTCACGTTTAATCAGCATTGCTAAGTCATCAGATGTCATCACCGACAAAGCCTGTGTATCCATTTCACAAACGGATATACCAAGCTATAAAAGAAATATATTAATTAGATAACAATTGATCAGAATACAATTAAAAGATAAGACGGCAAGAATTGAACCTTGTAGAACTCTTACAGAATAAGAGTCTATTTATTTATGTAATAGTAGCTCAATCAAGCAACCATAAGTAGCTTTTACTACATCTGTTAATGTTATGATGCAATACAAGGAATGCTAGAATAGTAAATCATTATTCAATCCAGAGGTAATGTTATCGAATGCTTTTGATGTGTCAATTTATCCAATTAGTTCAAAACTACAGTAAAATAGTCAACTATTTTACTGTAGTTTTGTCCCAACCTGAATACTCATTGCGAGTAGTTGTCGAGCTTTATCTCTTGGTGTGAAGCAGTGGTTTGTTGGGAACGCAGATTTAAGAACATGCTTTTGAACCTCTGGGGAAAATTGTTTTAATTCATCAGATCTGCAAAATCAAAAGAATAAAGTCTATGTTGCACAATATATAACAACTGAGTGATCAAGTGAAAAACTTAAAAATAAATTGAATGATTGTTGGAATGAAAGCCCCAAAACAAAACTTACCCAAATAAAGTCTTCAACCAAATTACACTTTCGATTTCTTCAATTTTAGATATGCCTGTATCTAGTCTTGGTTGGATTGCTTCTTTCACGCCAGACCTCTAAAATAGCCAAAATTAATCATCTCCATTTAAAACTCATGCTTAAAGTTATCCTTAGGACGTATTGAACAATAATTGGAAAGATTAAATGAAATGAGAAAATGCAAGATTTCATTGAAAAGGCTTACACTTTGAACTGTTAACAACTTACTTGGATATCATCTAGTTCGTTTCCATATTGTTTAACAAATCCCATAACATCCCATATGTTTTTGTCATTAGGAATATTCCCAAAATCTTCCCTGGTAACTCCGACTACACCCCTACCATACTTCTCCATTGTTGCAAAAGCAAATTTTTGCCAAACTCTCATACAACTTCTCACAAATGTTGGTATCTGGAAGAACAAAATGAGACATTTCAGCGTTGTCTTTCTGTATTCAATGTTTATCTTTCTTGACAATTGTGCTTAGCCCTGTCAACTTCATTGATGCTACACGGGTTTTTGGGGGTGTTTTCAGATTTGACCAAGCAGTCTACGGCGCTGACACCCAAGCTAGGCACAGTCATCCAAGCCTGAATGTCCTGGACAGTGTGTAAACCTATGGTCATATATATGCCGACTGTCAACACGCATTGGTCTTAACGTTTAGACCACTCACCGTCTTTTTGTCCATTGATGTGTATGGTTTCTCCATGTTACATTTGATATCAGCAGGCGCTTTGTCGATCTCATCGGGACTTAGATTTGTTTGGAACAACATATCCAAGACTTCTTCATTACAGTTTTCAATACCACCTGTAGACTCTATTAGCTGTAAAATATTGATTGTATGTCAAACTAAAGTAAATGCAATTTATACAAATTCTTAATTCGCAAATTGTTTACTCATCTACCGATATCAGTGTTTTATCTATTGTTACGACTATTTTGTGATAGTTAATTCTCGAATAGTAAAATGGGCGAGTCATACATTCCCATAGTATCAATTAACATATTTTTTTACAGGACAGTAATAATGTAGCTACTGTGCAATAATAGCAATAACAACACTCATGGTCATTTGCCCTTGGCTCTGTCTGCGTTATTCCGTATACATGGGCATTGATTTAAGTCCCAGTTTACATAGACCTACCACTTGCGTGAGGGCGAGTTCCTCAGGTGAAGCTCTTTTCGGTTCTTCAACATACGCTATACTTGTAGACCCAGTTAATTCCGAGTTATCAGCCGCTGCTATTTTCTTTGGTTTAAGAGTTACAAGCAGAGCAGTAGCAACACTAACATCCACATTTGCAAGACTTTCGAATGTAGAAACACGTAGTACACCTTTTACAAGCGTTTCATCAGTCATATCATCCGCTTTTAGATTCTCAACCCCTCCAATGAGCTAAAGAACGCAATATACTAAATAACTAAAACAGATATGTGCAAAGTTCCTGTATTGCTCTTGACAAGATACTCTTTTGCCGAATAACAATATTTCAGTATAAATGTTGAACTAAATCGATAACATACCTCCAACTTAACTTGGGCTATGCGATTCTCCTGAAAGAAATGGCAAAATGATCAACGACAAAAACACTCGCTTTTCATATAAAGTAATTATGAAATATTTATCATAAGCATTTACTATTTAAAATTTTGATGACACGGAAAAGAAGAGAAAAGGGAAGATAATATGTTCAAAGACTCGGGAAATCACAAATGTAATGTACAGAGGTGTTGACTAATTTTTAATTTTTTTGATATTAGAACGTTAAGCTAGTACATCTGATAACAGTTCACTTCATTTCGTTTAGGATGTTTTTCCATCCCTTAAAATTATTTACCAAAAGTGATGGGAAACAAGGGTCAGTAATTTCCTTCAATGTTTCCTCATCCCAAGTAAGAAGGTTGTCCACTTTCTCAGCCGTTGTCGTAGAAATATGACACATAAATCGTCTTAATTCCTTTACACAACCCCGCATTTCTTCTGCATTTTCGCAACTGCTGCTTTTTAAATAAGCAGCTATTTTGAACTGCAATTTCTCAGCCTGCAAAAAGAAAATAGTATAATTTTTGTCATAAGATTTGTTGGTATTTACAGCAGTAGTATATTTATATATTGAGAACTTCTATGAGTGATTGGATATCTATATTATATGTACAGACATATCGATACTACAATAGATCTTTGAGGTGCTCTCGTCACTCAAATTATGATTGATCATGGTTATTTCCCCCTATTACATATTAGAGATACTTCAATCAAGCACAATCCTATCAGTTACTTAATCTTTGTAGCATTACTGTGATTTAAAGAGTACAGTACAACTTGTAAAGTGGAACTCTTCCACAAGTGGAACACTTTTGAGTCATGTCTTACCCGTTAATGTAAAATAGACTTGAAAGTTGAGCACTTCCCAGGCAATTATTTTTGACGTAGGAAAGGTGTTCCACTCACACATATTTTACTGTATTATCATGTTTTATTTTTTGTGATTAAATAGCGACAGTGTTGTCATGGTACCAATAAATTTTTGATTGTTTATGGTCAGACTTACCCAATAATCATGATCTTCGGTAACAAACGCCAAAACCCCACGTAAGAAGACATCGTTCAGTTCAACATCATCCAAATAAGCAAATGCACTGTGGAAAAATATGTTTCAAAGTAAATTACTGGAACTAAATTGACTGGATATATAGTGAATAATTATCAATATTTTGTTTTGCCTTCTAATCAAAATAAATGAATGCATATCTTTATTACATATTGTCAATTAAGCTCCTCCGAATGTAAGCAAAACTCCAACAGACATACAAAATGTAATGTATCATTGGAAAAAATAAGTATTTTATCATTTGCGGTGTCAGTAAAGCTATTATTGTCTGGAAAGATAAATTCAAAATATGCACCAATGCATCTTAAGCAAGAAACATGCAAGAATGCAACAAAAAGAATGCTTTTGACGATATTGTATCATGGTATCATGGCTCGAATGGAAGTTTCTATCTCGCCATGTTCATATGTATCCGTTTGCTTACGCTTTAACGAAATGAAAATTATCATCAGTAGGTTCTTCACTCGCTTGTAGTTGTTCTATCTTTGCCTTTAATTTGCCTTTCATTGCAACTTTGTGGTTCTCGTTCAAATCACTTTCGGCCAGTATCGCTAATAGGTTCGTCGTGATCTAGAATATAATCAACGCCCGAGTCATTTTTGCTCCGATTCGTTTTTTTGTTCAAAACTGAATACAATTTCGAACAAAATACTCAATCGGGGAGGAAATGTGACTCGGGCATAATGCTATTATCATGTAAGTCAGAGACATATAAATGGTTTATATGTCTCCGTGTAAGTTCTTTACTTATTGAAGAAAAATTTGGATCTGGTTATGTTCAAAGGAAAGAAAATCAGTTTCGCGTATTTTAGTTCCTACGTGGTTCATACTTACACACTCAGCTCGCATGAAGTTCAAGTCAACACAACTGTTAATAAGTGGACTGATCGATGCGATTTCATCGCATGATATGTCCCTGAGATTCTCTACTGAAAACGCGTCGGGTTTCGGACACTCAACTTTTGCAGGCTCTTTTGTTCCAATCTCCCCAGTTCCCTCACTTGGAGTCTTCCGAGTGCTAGTCTCCTGCGTTTTAGTTTCACCAGATGTTGTCTTGTCAGTTTTAGTCTCGTCCGTCTGAGTTTTATCAGTTTCAGTCTTGTCAGTCTGAGTCTTATCAGTTTCAGTTTTGTCAGTTTGAATCACTTCAGTCTCAGTCTCGTCAGTTTCAGTCACACTAGATGTTGTCTCGTCAGTTTGAGTCACACTAGATGTAGTCTCGTCAATTTGAGTATCGTCAGTGTGAGTCTCACCTGATGCAGTTTCATTAGTTATAGTCTCGTCGGTTGGAGTGTCTCCAGATGTAGTCTCGTTAGTTTGAGTTTCACCAGATCCAGTTTCGTCAGTTTCAGTCTCGTCAGTTTGAGTTTCACCAGATGCAGTCGAGCCAGTTTCAATCTCATCAGTTGCAGTCTCGCCAGTTGCAGTCTCGTCGGTCTCAGTCCCGCCAGTTTTAGTCTCGTCAGTCTCGTCAGTTTTAGTCTCGTCAGTTCCGGTCTTGTCAGTATCAGTCTCGTCTGTTGCAGTCTCCTCAGTTGTAGTTTCGTCAGTTTCAGTCTTTTCAGTTGCAGTCTCGTTAGTTGTAGTCTCTTCAGTTTCAATCTGGTCAGTATCTGTTTCATCAGGTGGGGTTATGGTCAATGTAACTCCGCAGTCATTGAGTAATGGGTGCTCGTCACAGCGTTCATGCTGAAAACAATAAAATACGTCATCTTATCTTCATCTATCTGCTGGAAATGACTTACTCGATTCTCTAGCCAATTACTTGAATATAGAGATGGCGTTGGGAGAAGATAAAAATGACTGGCACAATGTTAGGGATCTTGATAATGTGGACAATTTCCATGAAAGGAAGATCAAAGAGGTGATAAAGATTCACCAACTAGCTCCATTGATGAACAGTGATAGAAGGGTTAAATTTACCATCACATTTGGGACGATCCCAAGCAGAAACGTCCAGTATCCATTTCACGACCCGCTTCAACTGACGAAGTCATATGGATATAAGTTAAAATATTTCATCTTTTTACCTCAAGAACTTTCAATTGATCATGTTCCAAAAACAGAAAAAATGCAAATGAATATTACTCCTCCATCATTATTGAAATAATTAGTCAAATAAATTTCGAATCTATGAATGAAATGAATGATTCGTAATCCAACAAAAGCATAAAGTCACAGATGAATATATAAGATGAAAAATCAAATGTTCTTTATCAGGGAATAGAATAAAATGGCCATACCTGCTCTACCAACCGCACATATTCATGAAGCACATCTGCATCCGTGCTATCTGATATCATACTCTCCTGGGTTTTGACTGCCTCAGATTCTGAAAGCCAAAACATGATGAACATCAAGACCAGTCCACATTATGTTAAGTATGTTAAACTTTATTTTGAAATCAGCACTTCCAGTTTGACTTCGCTCGAGAAACGACATGTGAACTCTGGGATTGAAAACTACATTTTAATTTTGATAATGCTATGATGAGTTACTGTGTCTGATTGCACACCAACGTACTATAATTCAAGTAAAATATTCCTACAGAAAATGAGATCTACCTGTCCACAATCCCAAATCAGCCACATCTTCAGCTGGTAGGTCAAACACCGTCTCGACACCCTTATGTTCCAGGATAATGTCGAGAAGGTTTTTCACATCATCATCACTCCAGCAATATTCTATTATACTCAATTCTCGCATCGCTGGAATTATAATAGGCTTTAATAGGCATCACCATTTGATTGGCCTAATATTAAAGCAATATTGAAATTCGGAGCTACCAATATATGTGAAAAAGGCTCTCGAAGACCAAAATGTATTTTCTTAATCTTAAATTTCTTCTTCCCATATTATTGAGGGTGCATTCTAAAGTATTCGCATCGCGTAGTCGACTCTTCCCATGGATGGATCAAGTCTCAAACATATCAATAAGCTAAGAAGTGAATTAACTTTAAAATGTTGAGGAGATTTATCAATTTAATTTCCGATTTCAAATACGGTACTTACTATATTTCAACTGGGTCAATCGTACTGGTATCGAGAACACAGACCAGCGTGCCCATCGCAGTCAAATCAACACTATCTAGAGAGCCGCCAGTTGCCTCTGTGTAAAGATTGTGAACAACCACGGCCTGAAAAGTGAGAGGTTTCAATCAATACATTCATCAATGGCCATTATGATCATTCTGATCTTCCAGTGAATTCCTAAATAGGTCATGAATTCGAAATAAATTTGTTGTCAGCGAAGTTTCTATAATAATGGATTATATTATTTGAACAGTCAATTTTAACTTAATATTTTAGTTTGAGGTGACGAGATACTAAAGTGAAGTATTGTCAACCAATCAAAACATGTGATGGAGACACGGGAAGACGAATAGATGGCATAAAAACAAAAATATAGTCCAATTATTGTAATTACATTAGCATCACCAGTGGTTGGATTTTGGTAAGTACATGGATGAAAAAGTGTATGTATGGACCAACTCTAAGACATGATTTGATGTGATTAAGGTGCATTTTCTTTAAACATTTTTTGACATTTTCTATAGATGGCGTCTTCAAAAGGTGCGATCTTTTGATTTTCGTGGGGAGTTTTGATTCAAACTTTTTTGACTGACAGAGAACATACTGGGGTATGATTGAATGATAGCAAAACATGTTCACAAATCTTAGTTTTCTCTGGAAGACAGATCGTTTGTATGGGGAAAACGCATGTTATAACAATTATTTGGGTTAACCCGATGGCGTGTCTTAAACCACATACATAAAATAAACCATATCGTACCATATCTTGTCTGCTTTCTGGCCAGGGGCATTGTCCATACGGGAAATACATATCAGTTCCCTGGGCCTCGGACATGTATTGTTCTTTCACTCCCATTGGGTCCAAACCTTGAAGGAGGCTACCAAAAATAGCCAGGTCCACATCGACGCCTTCTCCCACAAACCTCTTTAAGATAAAGGGTGATCAATGCAAAACAAAATCATACACAATTTAAAAATTATTGCCATGTCAATTTTGGGACAAAGCTATCTTTTTTTTATTAAAAAGGTCAAATTTGATAAGGCCAAATGCAACCAAAATGACAATTCAAACGTAGCATTAGTGATTCAAAGCAATACTATAGTGAGAGGCATCCAACAAGTGTTGTTAGTTTTGTCTGAAAATAAAATCTATATATTTTGATTGCTTTTTAACCCCCCGCCCTCCATGGATTTGACCCCATAAAGTGTTCTCTTACATCCAAAGCTAGCGTTACAGACTCATTGAATGCACCGAGCTGCTCATCGGAATATCCACACGGGGCTCCAAGACTTTCAAACATACTTGTGAGAGATTCTGAGGTCAGTTGTGGAATCAGATCTGTTATGCTTTCGATTTCAGCAACGGTGTACGCTGTCTTAATTTCGTCACTGTCCAATTCCACATCATCAAACGTTATGATATTTTCTAAATAAAAAAGAAACGTTTTTCAATGATGGTAGTTTCTATGTGCAAGGACAACTGTTTTCAACTATATATTAAGTTTTAGTTTATCGATTAATCCCAATTGAGCTGGAGTATGTTCAGGTCTTACACAAACTGATTTGGGGAGTCTAAATTACACTTATTTTTGCAGCAACTTGCAACTTAATTTCACCAGCACCCTAAAAACAAAAACGGCCAGGCAGGTGGATCTGATATATTAGATCTGCTTTGCTTGTTAATCGAATATCATTCTCTAAATGTTTATTTAATTTTACCTGTTTCCCTTTTACGCCTTTTTCCCTTTTCAGCATCTGTAGCGTTGCTTGAAGTTGAATTGGTAGTGGCTATACTGTCACCTATTGGCATCATCGAATCACAAGTCATTTCTCTCCTCTGTCTTTGACGAGTCCGGATCAACTCTTGGCGTACAGGACGAAGGGATTCTTTACAGATGGTATATTTATTGCACTCGTTCAAATCGTGACAAATCTTATGGAAGTATCGGTTGATTTTCTTCATCAGCGACTTGTACGCTTTTGCAATATTCCGCTACAATAGAGGAGTTTCCGTATAGCTTTTTAAAAACATGTTTGAATTCAGTGAAAAGTTTAATAATTTTCCATGACGTTTTAAAAAACTTGGGGCAAATCTCCATTGATGCTCTGGTTTGTTAAACCAATCTAGGCCTGATTAAGATTTATGACTTACCTTTCCCGTCGCGTCATTAAGGAACAGCTCAATGATATTGGGTGACTCGCAGACGATAGAACCGGCCTTTGCAATATCCAAATCAACAATTTCAGATCTACAAAGCAAAAACACATAAAAAAGTTCAGTTAATTTTTGGATAAACTAAATTACCTTGAGTAACGTTTATTTTGTGACTTTGCTTTTTAACGGTATGGAATGCATGCTATGGATATATAAGGAACATATATTACTATACACATATGTTAATCTTTTTAATATGATCATTAGTAGGCATACATGTTATTATGAAGGGTGTAGTTTGTGATTTTCTCTGCAATTCTCTGTCTATTCTCCGGAGTAACTAATCTTTCTTCCAATTCTTCGAGATGGTCTAACGGATCATCATCCAACAGGTCACCGAGGCTATCTTCAGGCGTACATTTCAATCTCAATCCTTGCATCTTTCGCATGAATTCATCTTTATCGTATTTATCGGTGTCGTCATTGTAGATTTCTTCGACTTCACGTTTTCCTCTGCCGACGAAGTCAGATTGATCGCCAGTGGTCGTTGTTTCGGTATTATTATAAATGAATACAACATCGGGTTTGGTGTTATATGGATGAGGATCGTTTGGGTAAGTGTTATAGTCACCGGTATCCATATTACAGGTCACATTATTTACTTCCTCTTCTGAGATTGCATGTAACCACTTGTTGACCAAATCACAGTCCATTCTCTCAGCAATCCCTGATGCAACGAATTTCTTCCAAATCCTCTTCTTTTCACATTGCCACCAGCCATTTCCAATCATCGGTCTTACAATATCTGGCCTAAAATTAAGAATTATCAAAAGTGTAATTGCATTTTTATTATTTCACCACCAAAAAGTGGTGATATATTGTGGCGGTCTCCGTTTTTTGACGGCAGTTGGTGGTTGGCGGTTGGTGGTTGGCGGTTGCCGTCTGTAACAAATTCTTACAACTTCCAATAACTTAACAAATACTGTTTAGACTGACTTCAATTTTTTGACCAATCTTCTTTTTCAAAATCATCTACAAGCAATCAGTTATCAGAAGTTCAAATCTGACTTTAGATTTGAGATTTGTCCTTCAATGACCCTCTCAAGGTCAAAAAAGGTAGTTTTTCAACTTGCTTCAAATTGACCATTTTTCAAAAAAATTATCTACAAGTTCTCAAAAGTTCAAATCTGACTATAGTTTTGACATTCAATGCCATTTTCAAGGTTAAATAATGTGACCTTCAGTGACCTTTTCAAGGTCAAAAATGGTCAAAAAGGTCTTTTTTCAACTTGCTTCAAATTTACCATTTTTTCCAAAATCATCTTACTATAAGTACGCTATTGGTGCACACTCCCGTTTCACAGGAAACAATGACATGTGACGTTATGAAAAATATTCTCGCAATTTGACGAACATTCGACGACGTCATTATTCCTTCGAAATTCACTGAAGCATGAACATAAAATTATGAAAATGACACATTACATTTTTATTACCTACATTCTATCTAAGGAATGAATTGATGAAAAGGTATTTCAAAACAAACCAAACAACTTCAATCAAAACATCGATTTAAAAGCAAGCAATATGGTTGATCGCAAACAATACTTACGAAAATCTGTAAGTGATGCATGTCATGTTATCCACAATGTCATCGTCAAACGCAAAAGTGTTGTATGTAGGATCCATAATAGCCCGAATTGCTATTTCAGTGAGATTATGTAGCTATTTAAAAAATATAAAAAATTAATGCATTTATTTGTAAACAGTTGCATTTGGGGAAAATCTAATTTTAGATACCCATTTCATTGTTTTTTGCATACCAAAAAGACGCTGTACAACATTCATGGGAAATTCTATGGTAAAACTCTCCTTGGATTGCTTCGTAGAAGCAAACGTTTGCTTCCTTAAACAACCCAACGGGGGTCTAGAAATACAGTAGATTTTAATTTTAAAATTATTTAAAAAGAAATTATATGAAAGAATCTGGTTAAAAAGTGCAAAAATGTTTTTTAAATCTTTTCATAACAGAAAATACCTAGTCATTCAATAAATTCGCAGAAAATGCTCTTATTTCAAAGCTTTTTAATATTTGTTCATGAAACCTTTACATAACATCCCAAATTATCTAGTTATTGATTCGGTGGACTATTATTGTTCAACAATACGTTGTACAGTAAATAGAACCCTACCAATCGTCTATCCGTGCAATCGCTCTGACAAAATTTAGATATTGTATGGACAGTCCACCTAGGATCTTGATATTTGTACGGTCTATCATTACACAATCCGCATTTTTTCAAATCCTTTGGTGTCATGACACACAGTAGATGTGCTGGGATATTGTCGAAGTCACACCACATCGTTCGGTTTTCTACAGCATCGGCATCAATTATCACTTTCTTTACTGCAAGTTTCTAAAAAGAGATAAAAAAATCAATGAGACAAAGAAGGAAGAAACTACAAACATTAGTCTTTGAAAATGGCTTTGTATAAAAAACCTCCTACCTCATACCCACCTACCCCCCTACGTGGAACATGATACAGTCATTGAAGGGTTCAATTTTAAAGATTATTAAATCTTAAAATAGCTCAAATTATTAACATTTCTACAATTCCGGCTTTATTTTATGACTAGACAGATGACAGATCAATAACTAAAGGCATATCGATGCATTTTAATGTGTAATGACCAGAAAGAAAGAAAGTGTGCTAAATTCGACGCCCCGAGTGGGAATTGAACCCAGCTGGGATGTAGTAGCAACTTGCTATCAAGGGTCCTTACAAATGCATCTATAATTCATCATAAACTAAGATTTAATAAACTAAGATCTTTAAAATTGAACCCTTCAAAGACTGTATCATGTCCCACGTACGTGGGTAGGTGGGTATGAGGTAGGAGGAAAAAAATAAAATATACGTCTACGTTAATTGTAAGGAGAACTCTACCACTGATCTTAGTGATTTCGCAAACGCTCTTCTCCTTTTCTCAAATGGGAGATCTGCAAGGAAATTGGTATCCAGATTTGTGACATCTCTTCTTGAGAGTTCTGCAGCCATTTCATCAACCGCACAAGCCACATCTTTGCTCGTGGCCCCTTTCAGTAGGTCCTGAAAAACATTCAATACAAGAGACGATTGGCAACGATTTCGATAATTTTAAATGTGGAGCTCAAAATTTTTATACACTACTTAGTTTTTTTTAAAAATTCTATTGTAAACAGAATAGGTAAGTACTGTATCATCGAGGCATTTTGGGAAAAGTAAATTATGTTTTAAATACCTGCTTAAGAAGTCCCATTGCTTTTAATGAACTTTTTGAACGCCGTCCCCTCAGGTTGCGACTTGGTGCCATTTGAGGCACACCACATATAGTGTTCTTTGCCTCCATTCTTGCTTGGAAGGGTGCACTTCCTTCTCTTGTCCTGATTCTGGTATCTGCTACGATGCGTACGCACGATCGAGGGAGCTCCCTCATCACATCTGGTTGAAGTGTCGTCAGATCTCTGGACTGAAGTGAAGAAACATCATAAAAGAACGAGATGAGATTTAAAATCAGTAATTGTAATTGTTATTGTTTTATATCGTATCGTATCTTATCGTATTGTAAATGTATAGTATTGCATTTTGTTGTATCGTATTGTATCGTATCGTATCATATTATATATTCAAAATAGTGTAAGATTGGAAAGGATTGGTATCGATATGGTGAACTGAATTCAACAATGTTTTTCTTTTAAACCAATTATTGAAAACATTAGATGACCATTAAATTGACGATGTGTAAAAATTTCAGAATTTTTTGATGACTGGTTTAAGAGAAACGTGTGTTCAAAATGTTCACCATATCGATACCCATCCTTTGTAAAGAAAACCATATAGAGTCCCACTAAACTAAAACCATATACTACATAGTGTTGTGAATAATTGGCGCCTACCTCCATAAGTAGATCTTTCAGTATCTTGCACTGAAAAGAAAAAGTTAAATAACTTTGTTGTGAATACTGTTCCATATACTACCTAAAGTTAAAGACATAATCAAATCTATAGGGTTGACAAAATTGCAAGCAACATGTACAGTTGACCTTCTAACATATTCCTAATATATATTCTTAAATCCAATATCTCCCAAAGATCCGTAACATGTTATAGATTGGTGAAGTTATTAAGGATCCAAAGTGCAAAAATGGGCAGGGGAGGGAATGTTTAAATTCTTCCAAATTATAAAAATGGTAACCATGATCATAGAAAAATACATTATTGCAAAAATCTTTATGCACTTTGGGGATTTCACAAAATAGACATATGACATGGAATGATGACATGAGCCAAAATTATTCTTAACAAGAAACAGTTTTTGTTTAGCTTGCTCGCTCAATCCGATTTAAGTCTTGTTCCTTAAATAGTGAGACTTTGCGATAAAATGATATGGTGGTAACTTGATTTTGCCATTGTGAGGTTTTACCAATTTTTCAAAATTACACATCTAAATTATTCAAAATTTTTATCATATATGACTTACTACAGGAGCACAGAGCCTACTCAAATTGAATTGCGTAATGAATGTCGATGAATCGTTAATATCTAGCCTGTTAAAAAGCTCGAGAACTTTCTTTTGAGGCATTTCACAAAGCATACTTCCAAGTTTAATAATATTATGCTGAAGGTGTTTCACATCCTGAATTTGTTCCAAATCACAGGCCAATCGATACCCAACTTCTGATACCTTCAAATAAAACAAATGTTGCACATTGAGCATTTTTCCGTTTCTATTTCACATAGTGACTATGTATTTATATAGCATTAGGTAAAGAAGGTCACCTTACTAGCAATATTATTGCAGAATTTCGAAATCGTTTAAAATGATAATTCTACTTCGTTATATATATACACATGGGAGATACAAAACTCACCTTTTGGGTTCGAGGTGTTTGCTCTGGTTCGAATGGAGCGTTTGGGTCAAAACAAGTTTTGTTCGCAAATAATTCTGTCATAATTCCAACACGGTCAACCAATGAAAAACAAGGACTCTTATCTTCCAAAAAGCAGGCAAACCTGAAAAAACATAATAAGATTTGAAAAGACGGATTACTATTCTCGTTTGTGAACAATCGGACACTAGATCAACAAGTACCTAAACAGAAAATGTCATGTCTCTAAATCCTAAGTCGTAGAAGCAACATAAGTATACCACTGTCTGTTCCATCGGAATTTTTTAGCCACACAACGAAATTCGAAGAGAATCTATGACCAGAGTTTACATTTTATGGGCCACTCTGTAATTTATATAAACACACGATGGAATTTCAGATTTACCTTTTCAAAACTCTCCTTGTATGGTTTTGCAATACATCAGGAGCCATCGTGTTTATATCAGCCATGTAACTTGTACTTTCACCAATTTGCTCAGGTTCACTGTTCTGGAGAGTTTCCATTCGTATCTTTATCTCCTTACATATCCGATTGACATTCTTCATCTCTTCATTTTGCATTTCATCAGTCCATCGTTTTACCATTTTGCGGATAGCGTCTGGCACCACACCAAATCTTGCACGTAACTTCTTTATCTCCATTTTCTGAAACGGAACAAAAGGGTTCTCTAAACCAATTTATGAGGAGGTACGGATTGTGTTCTATGCAAGATGACCAAATGTTATTCAGTATTATTTTCTTTATCTATTGCTTCATCCGGGCTAAGAGGGCTTTATCGATTTTTCAATATTAATATTTTATAATTTCGGACTGATAGGTTGATATAAATAGGTAGTTAGACTATGTCAGATTAGTAGTTCTAAGTGGTTATATCAATTTTAATTCTCATTTGACAAATCGAAAAGCAGTCGTATGTTTACCAGTTCGGCAAAAGGATCTTCATCCGTTGGAGGAATCATAGAGCCCCATACCATCTCATCATCGCCATAGTACTCACCACCCATTGTGGTTTGGTAAGGATCCGTTACAGTCTCACCTTCCATACGATCTCCATTCGCAAAAACAGAATCCTGATCTCCTTTCAAATTTAATTCAAGGCATCATTAGGATTTTTAACTACTCTTTGAATCTGTGGGTTTGACTATCAGAATATTATGATTCTGTCGCAAAATTGCTGCCTGTTTATTTTATCTAATTTTGATCTGCCCTTTTTGATTGATCTTGGTGAGTCAGATGTCATTATTTGCATTTTAAAAATCTACACGTGTACATCTCTTTACCTCTTTTATGTGGGGGGGGGGGGTATAGGGAGTGTTGGAAATCCATAAACAATATTTTTCAGCTCTCTTATACCATATACAATATTTTTTCAGGTGAAATACAATATACGATAATTTTGAAACTGCTGTTGATTAGAGTTTGGATATCTATAAGGAAATAATATTAGGAGAACCAATGTACTACAGTAAATGTATTATCATAAGGCAAATAGACTGCACATACAGACCACAAATGATTCCATTTATTGCATTATGAATAAGACACCATTCGGGTACATCCGATTGTGTTCAGAAATTCTGTGATCACACATAATTTTATGGTATTTATGGAATAAGATTCATGACTTCTCTTTAGTGATTTCACAACCTACTTTGATCAAAACACTTATGCCATAAAGATATTCAAGATTAACACAAACGTGGAATGGGTGGAACTCAGTGTTAGTGTACCTGTTTCTTAATATGACTTACTTTTCCATGAATTATATAAATGTCAATAGAATCCTTCACAGGGGAAAAATCCTTTAAAGATAATTGATGCAAAATTGAAAATGTGGAATAAAAGATTCATCATGTGTTCTTTGAAAATAAAAGGAAGTAATGCGCTCGCCATTATGATCTCCCCATTAAAAATGAATTCATCATGAAGTGTAGAGGTGTAGATTCCAAACCAGGACGTATATTTTGTGTCTATCAAAATCCATTTGCATCCTACGCATCCCTACATCTTATCCAAATATGATACTAAATAATGAAATATAACATTATAATCTTTGGTTTTACAAAGTTTTATGATATTTGATAGGTGTAAAAGTTGTTTTTGGAGACTTTTTCTACAGCTATTTTGTAGGGGAAAAATAATGAAAAAAATGTACAATCTTTTAAATTAAAGTATGACCTGAATCGATTGCAAACTTCATATTTGCACATTTGATGAGATGAACAATTTGTGTCATTGTGAAATTATTATGTTTGCAATCGATTCAGGTCATAGTTGTATTTTTGGTATTTCTGTGATAATCAATGGAATCCAACGGCCTCTATTGAGATCTGATGATAACCTCATGTTAAGTCAATGGTGCACAGCCCTATGTAAGTCAATACAACCATACTGAACGGAATGACCCTATCTCAGCGTATGTGTACCCAAGCACTGACAATGACATTCTATTCTTCATGTTACACCTAAGAATGATTCATTTTGACCATGGGGATATTTGCCAATAATCGCACCTCTTCCTTTGGTGGGGAAAACATATACACATAACACTATCAGGAGATAGTGATCATTCACAATGCTCAATAATTTTGTGAAACAGTCACCTGGGAAATAATAAGTTACGTATTAAAAACAATTTCCGAAACAAAGGACTTCACAAACTTTCATGTATAGATAATTCATTTTTGATTGGACTCAGTCTTTGAAGTAAAGGCAAAATGAGACTTGATTGTTAGTCAATGCACAATAATTTTGTAAAACAGTCACCTGGGAAATAATAAGTATTGAAAACAATTTCGGAAACAAAGTACTTCACAAACTTTCATGTGTAATTCAATTTTGATTGGACTCGAGTCTTTGAAGTTCGCAAGGCAAACGCAAAATGAGATTTGATTGTTAAAGACAGTCTAAGTCAAACAAAAGTGTGCCAAAATTGACGAAATTTCCATAGTCGATAAACTCTTTTCAAAGCCACATTCCTAGATGTTCTTTTACATGTAGATTCCAAATATGACATTTTACTGCATTTTTGATGATGTAAATCAAGAAATACACCCCCCTTTTTATCTTATGTCATAAGGAGACTTTGTATAATTGAATCAATCGATTTACTATATAAAATGAAATTATTACATCCATTTTATTGGCCTACAATTTGTTAACGATAACCTTTCATTAGACTTGCCATATATCAGATGACGAGCTCCAAGTCCAACATCCCCAAAAGAGATAAAAAATTGTTGTTGAAAAGTAAAAATGATAGGGAAATTATATCATAAACACTCACGACTAAGTTGAGCATCGTTGACAGCAAACAAGCTCACTGTGATCAGACCTTAAAAGATACAAAACATATATCGTTTTCTGTTGATCTAAAATGTGTAATTTGGACTTGGTTGTCAATATAAAGTCTTTACACATCAGTTACAAATGGTTCATCTTTATGATCTTCAATATTTTTTGGCAATATTATTGTTATTATTTAGCATAATAATGCTTAAATAATTATTAGTATTACATAATATTATGTAATACTTATAAAGCATAAATAAATTCAGTTTTCAGTTGTTATGTATTTTTGCAAAACAGGGAGTATTGTAAACCTATAAAAGGTAATAAGGCACTATATATATCCCGAATCTGTGAGATGCCACCTACAATGATCAATTATAACTAAAATCGTATGTCAACTAATTGCATTTTAGTAGGCATAATCAAATATAAGAATATGATGTCTTACCAAAGAGTACGTTGTTGAATGATGCCATATTAGCGCGTTCTGCCAGCGCATACGACACCTAATATGCCTTATTTCAGAACGCCGTCTCCAAACTATTACTAAAGTCCAATCCGACTTTTCTTAGTTTATGACTTTTGTCATTTGTGTTTAGTACTATCATTTACTGCTTTTTAGCATCAGATCTACTGAACGCTGTCACTGATCGTTGCAATTATGAATAATTAAAACTTTCGTTTTTTTATGTTCCATTCAACTGATGAATATTTGTGCATCGCTATGTTACAATATCGATATCAACTAAAAATACTGGAATAGTCAGAATTGCAATTGCCCTATGGAATTCTCACATAACTGAGTCCCGGCACTGAGTACGATTGAGGTTTGATTGCTTGATTGTTTGATTGTTTGATGGTGAAATGAGAATCATAACACAACAACAATGAAACATATCAATACAACTACTCCATGAATAATGAACGCGCATAATCATCGCCATGTCGGTGCTACAAAATATGAAATACAAACAAATTATTATTATCTCAATAACGTACACTGACATTGTCTGACACATATTCCCCTGACACTAATAGATCGATAAGTAACTTCACTCGGATTAAATGTAAGTTGTCACTCGTTATCCTTTGTGACTGAAATTCCCTACAATAAAAAGGTCAGTGAGGCAAATTAGAAGGTGACAAACTTCTACAGATTTTGATTTTGATTCATTATTCTCAACACCATATTATGTTAATCTAAATGCAGAATCAGATCCCAAACTATATACTGTATATATGGATTTTTACAATAATGCATTCATTTTCTATTTATTGTTACCATTTTATTACTTGAGAGAAATTAAACAATTTTCCCCATTTTGGCACTTTGCATCCTTAATAACTTCACCGGTTAATAACATATCATGGATCTTTTGGGAGATATTATATTTGAGATCGGAAGGAATAAATTAGTAGGTCAAATTGTACATGTTGCTTGTAATTTTGTCACACCAATGGATCTGATTCTCCTTTTAATCAAAACTACACAAATGATAATATAATATGTATAGATTTCTGCTTCTGTTTTTTTGCCAAACTTGTATTTTATATTAGTATGGTCTTAGACGATTCAAAAGATGGCGTGTTGTTCATCTGCTATCTAACAAGGTATACATTTGAGTCACTTTAGGATTTCATCCTATTCAACACCTGATAAATCTGGAGTTTTTTTGCATTTGCATTCTTTCTTTGTCCTTTCTCTATTCTGTCTTTCTATCCAATTTGTTTTCATATGTCTATGAATGGGCTATCTATGTCTTATCTGGATAATGTGATTATGAATTATGATCACAAGGTCAAAATCACGGTCATCTTTTTTCTTAATTTTATAATTCTTCACTTCAATATTTTTGCTTTAAATCGTGAAGAGTACAAGTATAGTTACATTTAAATTGTTTGTGTTAGTCTTTTGCTGTAATTTATACTTTGGTAATTCCTTCAAAGTCAAAACGATGGATATTAATAACCCCTGGTTGTCGCCTATGATCCTTCAATTAAAATTCAATAACTTTTTTTCAAAATCCTTATTATGGGTCAGAACAGAGGATTTTATTCATTAGGTAAGCAAAGGATTGATATCGATATGGAGAACTGAATTCAACAATGTTTTTCTCTTAAACCAATCATTGAAAACATTCTGTAAAGAACACGGTATTTTATGTAATGTTGACTGATTGACAACAATTTAATGCGAAAATTATTTAGAAATATTTTAACCAATCAGAGGACATTTGGGTTCGTTTCCGCAATGGGTTTACACTTAAATATCTCTTACTCTGTTTTGTAACACCTTTTAATATTTTACCTTGGTATCTGTGCGTATATCGGGTGTCCCAAGAAACTGAATCGCTTTTGACAAGTGTTTTCTCAGCAACTGATCACTCAAATTTATTAGCAAGTTGTACAAATATTAGAGATCAGTTACATATTATGTAGACATTTTCAATAAAGGAATTGTATCGATATGACGAACTGAATTCAACATTGTTTTTCTCGTAAACCAATTATTGAAAACATTTTGTAAAGAACACAGTCCTTTATGTAATGGTCACTGATTGACATTTTTATAACTGTCTTTAAATTGACGTGTAAAGTTTTCAGATTTTTTTGACAACTGGTTTAAGAGAAACATGTTTTCAATTCAGTTCGCCATATCGATACCAATCCTTTGTGTAATCAACTGCTGAGAAAACACTTGGCAAAAAGCGATTCACTTTTCTTGGGGACACTCGATATATGGCCAAAAGATTTGACCATGCTTTTATGATTAATGTTTTCTTCACAATTTTTAAATATGGTCTAGGAAAATTATTTATAATTATTTTATATAATTGTTTTAATTTTTGTTTTTTAGAGCAATTGTTATTTTTAGATGTACGTTTACATGTAGATTTCAAATATTATATCACTTTGGCTGAATTTTGATGACGTATTTAATGACGTAAATCAAGATTATTTCTACTCGCATGTTGTCTATTCTCGGAAGATCTTTTATAAACCGATAATTTCAAAAGATACCTCCAGTGTCCTTTTGTTGATAATTCTAAGTTGCATATCAGTCTTGTTAAATTGTGATATAAAATACAATCCTATTATGATAAGTGATTTGTCTTCCTCGTGAACAACAACATAGAACTGTCATAGCTGGGTCATTGGAATTGTTTGCTTTTTTGTCCATCTTTGTACGAGAGTAACACATTCATACTGATATCTGTAGCCTGTACTGCTGTGATGTTGGACTGTGATAATGAATCCTGAATGATGCACACGGAGGCAGATGAGTGTTAAATATTGTTAGTTTGTGAGTTAGGTTTGGGAATGTTGGGGTTTTGTATATTTTTTGGCCCGTCTTTTCTTTTTCTTCCCTTGCTGTGTTTTGATATTACTCTTTGTATTGGTTTTTATAGCCTTGCCCGGCTATGGTTTTTAGAATTGTTAAGTTTGACTGGCATCTATACAATTAGTGTCAGATAAATGAGTGTCTGTTCGGATGTATATAACCAGTTGAAACCTCGAAAGGTCGGCTTTTAATAGGCCCATATGGTTCCTCGTTTAGTCCAGGCGATACCAAGGCGGGGTTAATGAAATACTTCAATGTCTCAAAAATGTCTTGAAATGAGGATGGAACGCTTTATTGAAACCCAAAGCAAAGCACATATAAGAACTTGAAGTATATCGTTTTATATCAATGTTTATTTACATCAATGTGACGAAAGTTAATTCCATGGGCTTTCAATTAGAAAGCATGTTAATTCCAAACATCAACGTTTTTGACAAGTTTCGAGTGAACGAAAATAATATGCTTTATTTCGAATCCAATCCTTTCCCCTAATACCATAAACAATAGTACTTGGTTGGAAAAGCGTTTAAAATCCGATGATACATCTAAATAAATCACTAAATGCCATTATCCCATTCCCGAGCAACGTAAACGGGATTATATAGATGAGCTAATATTGATTATAGAAACATCTTCAATGTAGACGTAGATATCACTTCATTAAAGCGACAACAAAAAATTCAAATTGTAAACAAATTGCCCAAACAGTTGAAGTTCATTGACAGAATCATTTATTTCATTTTGAATGAATGAAGAGATAAAAAAGATGAAAATAATGTCGATTCAAAATAAGAAATAGACCTAATTTAAAGAATGGAGGGAAGAATTCAATGTACAGAGTGACACAGAAGTAACGTCAAAGGTGGTGCCATTTCAGTACTATTTGATCAATCTCAGCATTTTATTGCACAATGTTTACATATTACTCTTCATAACTGTCACCATAAGTAACGCATCACTGTATGAGTAAAAGTCACTTTGGCCCAAATCGAGGAATTTATTGGGCATGTTCATGTTTAGGCAGTCCCAGTTCATCCGCTGTACTGGTTAGGATGATCTATCTTGTGTGGAAGGACGTCATTCCAGGGAAGACTGTTCTTGGTGTGGTAGTGTATTTGCTATTACGATGCTTAGTTGAACACACACAATAAAACAATTGTCTAAAATAGTGTGTATACAGGCAGTCGGCCACTGGGTGAAAATACCTATATTTGTTTTCTGCGCAGGTTTTCTGCGCATCTACTTTCAGTTGAACTGACTTTCGGTTGTATGACTGACGCTTTAATAGTCTATATAACTAGCTTCCATTTCAGTTGCATCATTGAATCGGGCAGTTAATGGTAAACATAAAATTCAACCATTATCTTTTAACTAACTTTATTGACCAGATGTGCGGTCTTGCCAACCACCATACACAATCACATTACATTTACATATATCTATGGTACAAATTACTTTATACCTTGTCTTACATTGTAGACACTGTTAATACAATTTAAAAAATGGTCTTACATAACATTTACACAAACCCTTATTTTTAGTTAATCGGTGGACGTCATCATCACACAGTAATTTTCTTTAAGATTGTCATTTTTGTGTAACTATCTATTACCCAAAATGAGAAGCACCAAAACCAATCAGGGAAGTGCGTATCATGACGAAACCTTCTTAAGCTATGTAAAAGATCTAAGATTTGCATTAAAGTCTATTTATGGTACAACCACTCCAGAGTTCTTTCGTTTTAGAATATTTTATGAAGTTTTTAGATCGACCACGTTTCACGGTATAAGGTTTGGTCACTAAAATAATTCTCATCACATCCTTATCCTTCCTGGTATGTCGTAACGATACAAACGATGATGTTATTTTGTTTTTCATCCTTCTTAGATGAAAACGAAGTCGTGCCGTGCTTAATTTAATCTAACAATTTTCATAAAAATACATGTTCACGCTAGATAGCCCTCCATGGTTTATGGTCATATAATCTTAAACAAAGAAAGCCATGCTCATCAATTATTCGATGGCCATCATCTGATCATTAGAGATGTTATGGCTTTATAAAAATCCATGTACCATGTACAAAATATGTACAGTAAACAAATGAAAAAGTAAATTATATATAACGTCCAATATATCATGGACCTCAAAAAAGAACCGGGTGCATCAAAAAATTGTACCAAAATGAAACAAAAATAACTTCCATTGCTTCCATTGAAAAAAGCTGGACATTTTACATTGTTAACCTTCTGATGTTTATGATAATTAGTTTGTCAGTAAGATCAGCATTTGCCAAGAATATTCCATCTTCACTCACAGAGATATTATATGTATGTCACAGTACAATATTTGGGACACCATCTAAGTCCATGAATAAAGAAACAAGTTCAAAAGAACGTCTAGACATATGTGTAGTTCATCACAGTTCAAATCACAAAATGTCATCATTGGCAAGATCCGCTGGTTATCCTGATATCATCAATTGCAACATCTCCTTTGTCGCCGTTTTTCTTCATTGCTGCTACAAAGGCAACCTGCGAGAACAAAATAATTTAAAAAACACATGGAAGATCTACGCCATTCCAGATCTTTTAATTACATTCTGGTATTATTTTATTTCATTATATTTGTTTCATTATTGAGTGAATGTTTTTCTCTCATATGACTGACCAAAATACAGCTTTCTTTACCCGTGCAAGATATAGAGGACGTAATTGCCATCTTTCATCCTAAAACGTCGTTTGTGCTATGACCAAGTCACAGCAAGCCGCGTGAGAAGTTACGAATAATTTCCACTACCATGGTATATGTTTTAGTAATAAAATAGCATATTAAGATTATATGTTAACAAATGGTTCATCATTACCTGAAATTTGTTTTCTGCGTCAATAGATATTTGTTCATTTTTCCAATCATCTCCTTGGTTCCCAGAAGTACGCAATAATTTTGTTCTAAAATGCAATTGAAAATGTGTAAATTAGTAATAGGCATTACTGTATTCCCCCATCTTTAGATTTTGAAATACAATTGATCAACTGTTAAGACCTACAGTTATCCCATAGTATATAATTTCTGGTCATTTACTTCTTTCTCACACCCTTTTTAAAAGTCCTATTTAAAATTGCAATAATTTAAAATGACCTTCTTTAAACCAGTAATCAAAACATTCTGACAATTTTACACATCGTCAATTTAATGGTCATCTTTTGGATGAAATGAAAGTTAGAAAATCACTACTAGTAACTGATACACTAAATTTTGACGTTGGCATTTTGGAACGTAATGAAGTTATGGTCCGAGTACACACTTCGTCATAAGTATAGTTATTTTATAGAATACACATTACATGAACCAAAATTATATTAAAGTAGAGAATTCAGGTTATTGATATATTTAGATTTTCAATCTGGAGTCTATTGGTAAATCTGATTATAGCATCAGTGAGCGTATGTAACTAGCCTTCTCGGAAATTAGGTCAAATTTTTATCTTGGTCAAATTTCAAAATCTAGGTAAGTTTTTTCCATTTTCAAAAAGTATTTTCAAATATTTTTCTTCCCTTTGCCTCAATGTAAACAAATTTTGAGAAATTTGACTCCCAAAAGGGTGAATTTCAAGTGTTCCAAATATATCGAAAATAGTATGAATTTTAGAGGCAATTTGCACAGGGTTCCCAATTCGAAATCGAAATTGACCTTGAAAGTAAAAAATCAAATTTTCAAAATCTAAAATAAGTTAAAGCAATATAAAAGGACCTTAAACTCAGTGAACTCAAAATTTTGAGTGTCAAAAGTCAGGGTTAAAATCTAGGTCATTTTTGTAATTTTCGCAATTACCACATTATTGCTCAAATTTTGCTTTTCAAATTGTGTGAAGAATAGAACATATACAATTCCTTCTCATTTTCTCATCAATATCAGATTTAATATCATTTTTAAATAAAAAGTCTAAATCTGGAGTCTTGTCCTTTTGGGCACTCACGGTCATAGACGGTGAACACCGCCTCTAATGCGTTGGATTGTCGTATGGACTTGCATTAGAGGCGGTGTTTATACCATGTAAATTCATGCCAATCTAAGTTTTTCTTGATTATTTTTGACGGTTCACTTTAGTTTAATCTTCTGCTTAAATCTCTGCGTCATTTACAGAGAAATATAAACAAAATGGATACATTGATGATTTATACAAAAAATTACCATATCTTTGTGGTTGTAGAAGGTTGAATTGTGCTAATTTTGTAGCAAAATCGCCGTTTGTCGCTAATGTTCACAAAATCTTTATGGCGGCTTCAGTTCTCACGAGATTTGACGAGAGTAGCCATTGAATATTGCTGCCATCTATGTTACTATACAGAGTTTATATCATTCATTCGACCATCATGTATTCGATGGAAGAAATCAATGATCTCTATTCGCATGACATAAAACCAAAGTTTGGATTTGATTTGAAGCCAGAACAGTTACAAGTGATAACAAACATATTGAATCAAGAATCCACTATAGCAGTTTTACCAACTGGTTATTGGAAAACATTACGTTAGGTGATCATCAAATTACGTCACGTGATCATCTCACTGATTTATGCAACGCATGCGCACTTGAAATTAGGTCAGCGAAAATGTCAAGAAGACCGGTCGGAAATGTAATTTCGTCTTATCTGCAACGATTACACATAATTACTGTAATAAAGCGAAGCATTTATGGGTTCATTTTGAAGATTTTTGGTCCCGCTATCCAGTGGTGAAAGAATTTTCAAGATCGAGGTAAGATCTTTGGAGAAAAGTCAAAAACATCAGATCCGGACTTTTCAGCATTTCTTAAATTTGATAAATTTACATTGCACGTTATGCACCCCTGGGTCCAACACGATCCTCAGAGACCCAGAGGGTGCATGAATGCACCTATCACGGTCAAAGAGTTTATATATTAGTTATACATAGTGATGTGAAGTTTCATCATTATATATAGTGATACGAATCTTCTGAGAGGTATGGTCTGACGAACTCATGACACTATAGAGAGACTCTGATGGTCACAAATGACGGGGATGATAATGATGAACTGTATTATTGTAATAAGTTACCCAATGATATTATAACAACATTTCACATATATACCTGTCTTTTTTCCCTTGTTCAACCAGGAACACTTTGAAATCTCCCACTTGTGATCCGTACATGTGGAACCAGAAGTCTAAACAATATGTCCCCGGGGGAATTTTTGGTGAGAGAGTACCGCCTACTTGCGCTGCATGGCCAGTGGCCTCGGCGTAATAATAATACCCTAACAAAGATGAGTATCAATACATATATATGATGAAAAACATGGATATAACTATTTTCACGTGGGAGAGCAACTTTTGCAATCCCTATATAAACTTGTACAGAATGATTATTGCGTCTCAACATAATTTTCATCAATTAAAACATATTATGTAGTTATCTCTAGGTGAAGCGAGGCATGTCTCCCTTGGCACAATATGTCCCAAAAACTACCATTTAAACCACGTATGACTGTCAAATACACCTCTGACTGATTGTTCAGGTGTATGGAAGACATGTTCAGAACACCCTTGCGTTGAGTAATTAAATGTTGAGCTTGTATATTCATATTTACACAAGCTGTTGACAATAAATTGTTTTTCAATATCTTAAGTATTGAAGATCATACATGACTAAGTTACAATGGATGGAAAGATGTTCCAATTTTTTGGCCCACCCTGTAATATTGGGGCAGTTTGTGTTAATGTCAGAGGTAAATGTATGTATGTACCTCTTTTATTACCCTTTGTGTGATCACGTGATGGCCCAGTGTCTTCAGTGTTTGTGTTACCACTTGAACGTGTCCAGCCAAAATCTAAGCTCGTGTCCTTTGAAAATTTACAAGACGAACTCTCAAAGTCACAGAATAAAAAAGCCCCTTCATCTTCTGAAAAATATATAAAAGTATTACAATAATGATGTCATGACATTGAAGGTTTAATCATCAAACATATGACATGGTATATTGAGGTATATTCTTTATTTCATCTTTATATCTTTTTTTATTTATGGTCATCCAACTTAATAAAAAGGTTTAGTACTTTTAGATAACGATTGGATGTCAGTCTGTATTAAAATATATTATTCAACGGTGCTACTAAGGATGATTAATGAAGAGCAGTGCGACTTGGCTGTGGGTCGTGATGACATAAACGCATCACTTGAGAGCAGTTTGACAAATTAAATAAATATATTATATCTACAATCAAAAATATGAATTATCCATTTTGTTGGAAGAGTTTAGCTGTTTTGCCAATCCTTGGATTTATGTAAAAGTTATCCATGCGCGAATTGGGTGAAGGGCAATACCATATTTTTTTCTGAGTTTCTTTGGGTTCAAATCTATATTTGGCTATTACATTAACTACAATTACATAACTGTATCATATCTTATCAAAAATACCTTACCTTTGTTGTTTTTTGATTGAGCAGTGTTTTGTTTTTTTATCTTCTTCGTTTGATTTCCTTCCTTTTCTTTGGGTTCTGCGATTTCAAAATAAGCACACACATGAAATGAAGTGGGGATGAAAATAACACAATCTTAACACTTCTCACAGAATTTCAAAAATAATTCGTGTGTGTTGTTTCATCGAAATAACTGACAATAAATCGTTCCGATAAATTCTGCCACCTATTGATAGATGAGAAAAACTATGACATATTGGCTAAATTGATGATGCCAACACACGAATTTCTTTCTGAACTTTTCTGCGGTAGTGTATGCCAGAGCATAACACCCTTGTTCAGATATGTAATAAAGGATGATAAGGAAATTGCATTTACCAATAAATACAATCGATGCACTGTGGACAGTATACAGGTCAGTCTAAAACATTATATTTAAGGTGAAATGTATATTTCTGTATCATCGCTCTGAACATATTACTGAACAAGACAGGATTCATGAAACATGGGAGTGACGTGCAAGTGCATTATGTATATCATCTTAGTACAAGTAACAAACAGAAAAAACACAAAGAGGAACGTCGATCTCAGTTTTGCATGCTTTATAGGAAAGAAAAACGTCTAAAACAGCACCACTGAGTTTCTTCAGGTTCAAGTCTATCTTGGGTTACTTTGTATCACAATAACTTTATTAAGATAAATAACTGTATCCCCCTGCGTATATATCAATTATATTTACACACAGTCCTCACTTAAAGAGATCTAGAAAATCGAAATTCAGAAATAAACAGACTTTATCACGCTGCAATCGGGACTTTTCTAACCTATATAGAAGGTGTACTCTATATAGAGGATGTTCCTTAATAAATAATATGCGTCTTGGTACATCTTGTATCATATCTTATCGAAAATACTTTACCTTTGTTGGATTTTGATTGAACAGTGTTTATGCTTTTTGTCTTCTTCGTTTGGCTTCCTCCATTTTCTTTGGTTTCTGCGATTTCATAATAAGCACAAACATGAAATGAAATGGGGATGAAAATAACACAATCTTTACACTTCTCACAGAATTTCAAAAAATAATTTGTGTGTGTTGTTACATCGTAATAACTGACAACAGATCGTTCCTAAAAATTCTGCCACCTATTGATACATGAGAAAAACTATGATATATTGGCTAATTTGATTGTGTCATTGGTTGTTGTCAGAAATCTGACCATACAAAAACAAGATTAACTCATTGCTAAGGAAATTGCATTTACCAATAAATACAATCGATACACTGAGAACAGTATACAGGCCAGTCTAAAACATTGTACTAAGGTGAAATCTCTATTTCTGTATAATCGCTCTGAACATTACTGAACAAGACAGGATTCATGAAACATGGGAGTGACGTGCACGTGCATTATGTATATCATCTTAGTAAAGGTAACAACAGAAAAACACCACTCTTAAAAATTATTACTTGGATTTCCTCATATTGAGAAATTGTACTACTCATTTTAAGTAAAAAATTACTTAAATAATCTTGAACTACTGAATAATTTTTAAGTAATTTTTAAGTAATTCATTTATGGTGAATTTACTAATGCAAGGAGAGAATTGAAATTGAAATACTTACTGTAGTAATTGTAATACTCATTTACATAATTAAGCAATTAAAAAACTCAAAATGACAATATAAGTTAAACCTAAGTAAAATGAAGTAAAACTAAGTATTTAACTTTAAGTAATTTTTATACTTGGGAAATACTCAAGTAATTCATTTTTAAGAGTGACAAAGAGGAACATTTCAGTTTTGCATGCTTATAGGAAGGAAAAACGTCTAAAACTGAGCACCACTAAGTTTCTTCAGGTTCAAGTCTATCTTGCGTTACTTTGTATCACAATAACTTTATTAAGATAAATAACTGTATCCCTCTGTGTATATATCAATTATATTTACACACAGTCCTCTCTTAAAGAGATCTAGAAAATCGAAATTCAGAAATAAACAGACTTTAACACGCTGCAATCGGGAGTTTTCTAACCTATATGGAGGGTGTACTCTATATAGAGGGTGTACTTTAATAAATAATATGCATCTTGGTACATCTTGTATCATATCTTACCGAAAATACTTTACCTTTGTTGGATTTTGATTGAGCAGTGTTTATGCCTTTTGTCTTCTTCATTTGGCTTCCTCCATTTTCTTTGGTTTCTGCGATTTCAAAATAAGCACAAACATAAAATGAAATGGGGAGGAAAATAACAGAATATTTACACTTCTCACAGAATTTCAGAAAATAATTTGTGTGTGTTGTTTCATTGTAATAACTGACAACAGATCGTTACGATAAATCCTGTCACCTATTGATAGATGAGAAAAACTATGATATATTACATTGGCTAATTTGATTATTTTTTTGTTGTCAGAAATCTGAAAGATCTATTGTTAGGTGATAATCAACACACAAATTTATTTCTGAACTTTCTGCGGTAGTGTATGCCAGAGCATAACACCCTTGTTCAGATATGAAATAAAGGATGCAACGGAAAATGCAGTTACCAATAAATACAATCGATACACTGTGAACAGTAGACAGGTCAGTCTAAAACATTGTATTTAAGGTGAAATCTCTATTTCTGTATCATCACTCTGGAACATATTACTGAACAAGACAGGATTCATGAAACATGGCGTGCACGTACATTATGTAGGTGAATCAACATGGCAATATAGTTGATGAAATGACGTTTAATTTCAAATCATACATGCAAACTTCTAGTGGTAAATGAACATGATAGTTAATAATGGAGTATTTTACTTTCGCATGCAATGTAAAATGACACCATGTACTGTGTGATATAGATAAAGCGACTAAAAATATACATATTATCATCTCAGTAAAATGAACAAAAAGAAAAAAACACACCGGAAAATCTCAAAATGTACATGCCTTGGAGGAAGGACAAACGTCTAAAACAGCACCAGTGAATTAAGTAATACACTTATTATCTACAGGGTGACCCAAAAAAATGCAACCCTCCATTTCGTCAATATTTTTCTTAAATGGAGGTAAATTGCTCTGAGATTTGGCACACAAGGACTTCATTCTATGTGGGATCCTTTGGCAAAGTTTTAATAATCATAGTCTTATATTGAAAGAGTTATAGTTGTTTCAAAATATGCTCCAGATATCGTCAATTTCGCTGAAAACAAACTTGCAATGTTCAAGGAAAACTGTTCATAACACGTATGCATTCTTCCCCATGGGTATGGCTCAAATTTTTGCAGCCATTGCTTATTGGAGTTGTGCAATTGCAGTAGGGTTATTTCCATACACATCAACCTTTAAATAACCCCGTATATAGAAGTCGGAGGCATTGAGAACAAGACTGTGGGATGACCATGGGTCCTCCGTCCTAGGAGAGATAATCTTCTCATAGAAATGACTAGTGAGCCAGGCTATGCTATCATTAGAAGTGTGAGGAGTAGCTCCATCCTTCTAGAACCACTGTTCTTGTCTATTGAAGCCTCTGTGTCACTCTAAAACTGCCTGGGAACGCCAATATTGCGCTGTATGTTAACAGTAACAGTGTTGCCATTATCAACCTCAAACCAAAAGGGGCTGATGAGTTCATGTTTGGAAATTGGCAGACCAAGCTGTGCATTTAACAGAATGTAGGGGCCTGTGAAGCACTTTATTTGGAATTTGTGATCCGAGAACACATTATTTCTTGAGTTTACATGTTCAGAAAGAAGGGAATGTGACTCATCCGAAAACCTCACATTGGAAATGGATGAAATTTGGAGCATATTTTGGAACGACCATAACTCTATCAATATAAGACTATGATTATTGAAACTTTGCGAGAGGATCTCACATTGAATGAAGTTCTTGTGTGCCAAATTTCAGAGCAATTTACCTCCATTTAAGAAAAATATTCGAGAAATGGAGGGTTGCATTTTTTTTGGGTCACCCTGTAATTCTAACCTTTGTTGTGCTTCCCATTTCTCCGCCTTTCCTTTCTCAAAGCAGCAGCAGTGGAGGTGGGCCGTATAGGCCTATGTGTGTATTTGATTCCTAGAGAGAGTGTTCAGGGTACAAGCATATACATAAAGAAGCATACATACAAATGTGGGAGGGCTAATCTAAAGGTAAGACTGTATCCACCCCACCGTCACCTTCACTCTCTTTACCTGGCAATATACAGAGAGAGAAGAGAGAGAGAAGGATAAACGGGGGGGGGGGGTACAGGGTCTTTTAAGCAAGACTAGCAGAGGAATTGCATTCCCATATTGCAAAATAAAATGGGATAAGCGGTCATGATACAACGCACATTGTAGCTTCAAATAAATGATATCCCGACTTTTTCTTAACAAAGTTATAAGATTGGACGCAGATGCAGTCACATTTGTTCGGCGACCGGACGGTCTATCATTTCTACGGCCACTTAAACCCCAGTTGCATTTGGTCTACTGCGACCGCGCATCAACTGTAATTTATTTAAACAGTTTATTTAATTTTTTTTATTTAAATCATTTCTTAACTAGTTTAATTGGGCGCATTCGAGTTATAAAACCAAGACACCAGTTTGATATTAGTAAACAAAATCCATGTATGAAAATTAAAATGTCACAATAATAAGGATTCCAATACCCATTGAGTTTAGTTCTGAAAAAGGATATTGTTAAGACTATTCTAATTATAGTTGAGTATATTTGGATTTGTCTTTTATTACTTATTGTTCTATGATAATGTAACCAAAGTATTCAATTTCAATAGGTAAATTGAATCTATTTACAAACTGGATTAAATCATTCGTTTATGACATATCAATGAGAAAATACTTATGAACAACATATGGCGATGGGTTTATGGGCACACTATGACAAAACAAAATGTTCAATTAAAAGTCTATGAAGGACAACAATGTACATTATTTGTCGTAAATATACTCTCGTGATCAGTGTCAGCAGACAGTTTGGCATTATACGAGGTGTAAGGCAATAAAGCAACAAAGGTCACCAATAATATAATAACACTGCACGGAAATGAATAATGAAGTTGCCACTGAAATGATAAAATCGCAGCTTTTCATATTATACAAATGAAGCTACAAAAATGATTCTAGGAACACCATGAAAATTCAATAAACACTTGTGGAACCAATTAAATTAGTCACAAAATGTTGACTGAGCCGTAAAAGTTATTAATTTTGAAGGTGAAATTCAATTTTGATAAGAAAATTATTTTGGAAAATATCTTCATTTGATAACAATTGTACCATCCAAAAACTTACTTACTACAGCAGTGTAGTATTATTTTTGAATGTATCGTCACTGGCGTGTGACAGTGCACGTGGTTCTTGTGATGTCACATATTTGAACCAAGTGTCATTGATTTCAAAAAGACCGATGCGTAGCAGTTCTGGCTGTCATGTGATGAAGCCACATTTGATTATACATCTGTACCAATCGATAAATACAAAATGTTATCCTTCTATCAAGGAAGGAATCTTTGTGTAAGGTATCAAAGTTTGGGCAGTCTTTGGATCTAAACTCATGAACTATGTATATCAAATACTGTTACATACAGGGCCAATAATGCCTTGGTTTAGGCCCTGTTTATACTGTATATTGTTTGAAATAAAGGAACTATTAAAACCAAAGCATAGCTATGTAGATAAACTGTAACATGTATTAAAAATATAATCAGTTTCTAATATGGCATCTAAGATGGCTACTAGAAATATACAGTGCGTATCAAAAAAACACAACAGTTTGTTATCTCGAAAAAGTGCAAAACCAGTGATAACAGCATTGACTTCATTCAATGCACCATAAAGCCATGTGTTTCCTCTTTACAATGATATATCATTCATTGATATTTGGTCATGGTTGGGCGAGTAATCATTCCATTTGCCAAGTAGGCCAAAATTAGCTTTTGACCAAGTTATAAACATCCCAAAAGTCAGTGTACGGAGCCCGATGCAAAATTTGAAGAAAACATAAAACCAATGCTGACTGCATCCTTTTCAGTCAATGTACCAAAAAGCCAAATTACTCCTCTTTGCAATGGAATATCATTCATTCACAGAGAGTCATGGCTGGCCGAATAATCATTAATTTTGCAAAGTGGGGCAACATTTAGCTCGGACCCAAGTTTTAAACATTGCAAAAGTCAGTAGAAGGGGTATAGGGGCTATTGGAAGAAGGTGTGACATGTGTGGCATAGACAGTAAAGTGTTCATACTCATACTCTTGCAAGAATACATCCTATACTCCTCCAAATTGCCACCACTTCCTTGCACATAAAGATCCGCTCATCTGTCCACGTCATGCATGGTTCATCTGTGGATTAAAGCAGAGAAAAGCAGCCCATGGGCAATTCTTTCTCAAGGTTTTGCAATATCTGGTGGAGGAATTGTGAGCACAGATGCTCCTGAGATAGCTCCAAAAGAAAAAGTCACAACAATTCAAGTCAGGGGAACTTCCATTGGCACTTAGCCCTTGCACTGATTTTTGCAATATCTAAAACTTGGCCCAGAGTCGATTTTGACCCACTGTGCAAATGGGAGGATTTCTCACCCAACCATTACCACATGTGAATGAATGACATATCATTGCAAAGAGGAGAGACGTGGCTTTATGGTACATCAAATGAAATTCACGTAGTCATCACTAGTTTTGGAATTTTACGAGATAACTACTTGTTGCGTTTTTTTTGATACGCCCTGTGGTAAGTATAAAGCTTAGAATATCAACAAAACGAAGCACCATTCCAATGTTAGTACTCGAGTAAAATATAACCACATTGAAATTAATATCTTCATAAGTGCAACTCATTTTATATGTTGATTTACTCAGAAATATCTGGATGCAAGAGATGATAATTAAAAGAAACATGTTTTAGATATTCTCTGGGGAAAGTTAATAAAAGAAAATTGCATTTAAATTCTTATGTATATTTTTTCTTTCTGAAATTTCATGGTGTTACAAAGTTCCAAACTTAAGAATATCTAGATCTAAATAATCCACAGAGCATAAATGGGTTATCATAAACATGCAATACTACCTCCATATGTCTTCACTTCGGTATGGTTTATGAAGTACAAACTAGCATATTACACTAACCTGATTTTGTTTTTGGTGTTTTGGGTTTTCTTTTGCTATTGTCTTCATACGTTTCACCGTCTACAAAGCAATATTTCACGTTATAAAACATATGATAGCACGTTAACAAGTCTAGTAAAATAAGGCATCGCATACATGTCATCACTTGCCATTTGTTACAGATTTCCGAACTAAGTCCACAAAAGTTGTATTCGGGAATGTAACGTTCGGCTGTTTGGCAGGTTGTGTTAAAACGTGTTATTATTTTCCTGGAATGAAGTGTGAGTTAATTGTAAAATTGGTCGAGGATTTTTAAAAGGTTCGGGTAGGTTATCGCAAACATTAATGCCTGGGTCACATTTGGGTCACAATCTGACTCAGAGATATTAAGCTAGCAATCAAACCATCAACATACTTTTTCAAAACGTCGACCTCATTTTCACCAAAAATGCCGTCATTCTTACAATGTTAGGTCTTTTTTATTGTAATGTATCAATTAGTTCCTGAAGGTAGAACCTCCTCAAAGATTAATGTTCCCCATGTTATTTCCCCATTGAAAAAAAACGCGTGCTGTCTTTTGGTTTCGGCTCATTTTGGTTATTCAAATTGTTAAAGTCCCTGGAGGAATTCACTCTTCCTTTAGGAAGTAGAACATGTCTCAAACCAAATTACAATTATGCATTCAACATTAATAAAATTTTGCATTTTTAGTAAAAATAAGGTCAACATTCAGAAATAAAATATGTAAAGTATCCATAGTCACCTGCTGCTTTGAATGGTAACAGTTTAATTTGAAAATGTATTATATGTATACTTTTCTCTATATTGTTTTAGAAAACACATGAGACACTTCTTTTGTTCTTGGTATCATATGTTTGGAATCACTGGTGATGCACTCGATTAGGCTGGTTACCGAAACGGCTCGTTTCGGTAACAAAATGTCGGAACATCGAAGGTACGATTTTCTATTTCCCTTATTTCACATGTTGTAGGTAGAATTCCCACGACATTTTTTAACACAAACGTGTATCAGTATCATATGTTTAAGAAAATGCACATATTTGCGAACAAATAGTTCAGAGGACAACAGAATCGTCGATTTAATTCCTCACTTAAGTTAAAACGGCTTTTCGAAAAACAGTTAAGATCTGCACTTTAACCCAAACCGTTTATGTAACTTAAGTGACGAATTAAATTGACGATTCTGTTGTCTTCTATTGAGCTATTTTTCTCAAACATGTACATTTTCTAAAACATATGATACTGATGCACGTTTGTAAAAAACGCCGTGGGGATTCTGTCTAAAACGCGTGATATAAGGAAAAAAGAAAAATCGTTTCTTCGACGTTAAGAGGAGGGAAAACCCCATGATTCAATTGATGACATACGATTTCCTCCTTCGCGCACCTCCTTTCCCGGAAGTACTTACCCTCCATCTTGGTTTTCAAAGTTTTCAAATTGACCTAGTTTTAAACCAATCAACGATCGATTCACTAAACCAATCAGCGACGATGTCATCTCAATACAGATTTACATTATAAGCGTATGTCATCTTTGAACCTTGGGGTTTCTCCCCCTCTTTTCGACGTTCCAACATTTTGTTACCGTTTCGGTAACCAGCGTAATCGAGCGGATCACCAATGTGGAATGAAACGAAACATCTATCCGAACCTCATTGGATCAAAACGACATATTCAGGTAACGTGTTTAATCTCTCAATATTGAAATCGTACAAAGGAAAGTTTGGTTGATTTAAAAAAGTATCTCGTTAATGAAATAAAAGGTTTACTTTAATTTCTACCTATTTTTTGTTTTAATATTTTGAATACATTTTGTTAAATCAACCAACGTTTCCTTTGTATAACTATAATACTGAGAGGTCTAGGAAAATGTCGTGTATGCTATTTTTTCTTTCCGACAAGGTTCGGAAAGATATCTTATTTCATTCTCAAGCATTGGTAGAAAGGAACAAAAAACAATTGAACTAAAATTAAAAAATGGTTACAAAACAGTTATAACAAATATATTTATATAATTTTTGCATCAAATTGTTGTCAACCAGTGACCATTTCATAAAAAATCCCGTGTTTTTTTTATTTACAGAATGTTTTCAATTATTGGTTTAAGAGAAAAACAATGTTGAATTCAGTTCGCCATTCGCGAATACAAGCTTGGGTTTCTAGTCCTATAAATCGAGTACAAGTTATCAATTATTACTAATTTATCTACTCAACGAAACCTAGACACATCGTAATTAGCGTTTTAAGTTCGCTTTGATGACCTGTTTTTGTTGGAAACGTGTAACCATGGCTAATTTGCACCGCAGAGGGTTATTGTTCTTTTCGTGATACCTAGGGAGAAAAATAATTAAATATAATGCAATATACGAGGGGGGATTCATAAGTAGTGGGACTTTTCCGAGGCAGCAAGTCCCTGTGTACATATCTCAACCAAATTTGGCACATGAACGGACTAGGATATAAGGCATTGTTTGGTGAAATTTCAATTCAATTCATTTTGTTCCTTAGCAACAACGGTTGCTATGGTAACCAAAAGTAGGGGTTAACGGAGCAGTTAAAAAATGAAGGGCTTGATCAACATAAATATGCTCATAAATATCTCAAAATGACAGTTATTTTCAAATATTTGGTTTCATATTGTCTCAAGCCCTGAAGTCATGACAACTGTAACATATATTACATCATCATGCTATTGTGATGTCACACAAAGCAGTGACACCAGGACACTGCCATTTTCAGTCCTTCTTGGATGGAGCAAAATTTGATTAAAATAGCAATGAAAAAGCAAGAATCACGTATAAACATCCGTGCTGAGATTAAATTTAATGCTTTGAAGAAGTTTTCAGTATTAGAGACCTAATGAGGTTTGTTGGAAGTCTATGGGAAAGAAAAAGTTTAAAACATCTACAGTATATAGGTGGTATTCTGTGTTTGTATTCTGAATATGCTGTGAGAACCGAGATGACCAATCTTGGAAAATATGGTTTTGAGGGTGCATACCTAGAATGGTCGAGGATGTGCCAAAAATGCATTGATTGTCATGGCGAATACTTTGAGAAAGAGTGAGATTGCACCAGAAGGATAAGGAATCAATAGTCCTGCACAGAATTGATGTGGTCCACAAAATGACTCGCTAGAAGTCACGGATTAAATCACGTCCTGAATATCAGTTGAGACTTGTATATTTAACTAGCAATTTGTGACAAACAATGTGCTCCGTGGACCCTGTTGTGACGTCATGATTGGAACTCTCACTTTACTGAAGTTGGGTGTAACTTTTTGAAATTTTCACAAAATGATTATCACATGTTTGTGGTTCTGTGTTCCAAGTTTGAATAAAACCTGGTTGATAGAAGTGGAGTTATAGCATTTGTCCCACTACTTATGAATCCCCCCTCGTACTTGCGCCACGGGCAGTTCAAAAACGAAGCCTTTTACTCACTTGGTCCCGTGCAACCATACATCTCTCGTATTTCCTTTAAATCGTTCTCGCTGAAATGTGTTCGCTGACCCATGAGTATACCCTTGGGAAGTTTATTGTCTTTTGGTATAATCGTTTTCAAACCACTTTCTTTATTAAATGCATAAGCACTGTAATGCATAATACTATCGAAGTCATAATCTGTTATGTCTTTGTCAGTGATGTAAATTGGTTGTCTTATGAGAAAATTCTCGTTCTGCCCTGAAAATTAAAAGCAAATTTGGAAATTGAGAAAATGAAATATTATTTTATTCAAATTGCATTTGTTAATACACTGACAGCAGCTGTTTACTTTATGTACAATATACATGTTGCCCATCTTGTGAACACGAAAAGTGAATTCATTTTGACTTGATACTTGACAACATGAATTATAAATGGAGAAATTGTATCAGCTCACACCTTTGTAAGGTATTTTATTCCAAACAATTATTGGTACCTTTTATTTGTCTAAAAAAATTTGTCTAAAAATTGTCTATTTCATCCATATCTTCCACCTTATTTATTGGACACCCTGTACAAAGATTATTTCCACCTTTTGTGAAAAGGATATACCTAAGTATATTTTTGAAGAAAATGATCTATCACGTCTTGTAGCCTTGTCCTAGTCGGTCTCTTTTACTTATTATCCCACCGAAAGAAGTTCGAGGGGGATATAGAAAAGCCGGAAAAAATACAATCTTTGATAACTCAAATGCTAGTAGATGGATTTGGTTCAAATTTTATATGCTGTTGCCTGGGTACAAAGGACCCTTGCTCAAGAAGACATTTTCAAGATGGCCTCCGTATTTCAAAATGGCGGCAATTTTTCGTAAAAAACGTTATGTTTGATAACTCAAATACCATCGAATGGATTTGGTTCAAATTTTACATGCTGATGCCTAGGGACATAGGAGCTCTGCTCAAAAAGGGATTTTCAAGATGGCAGCTAAATTTCAAAATGGCCATCATTTTTCATAAAAGAACGTAACCTTTGATAACTGAAATACCAGTTGATGGATTTAGTTCAAACTCTTTATGCTGATGCCTAGAGACAAAGAAGTTCTACTCAAGAAGATATTTTCAAGATGGCCACTTAATTTCAAAATGGCCACCATTATTTGTAAAAAACGTAATCATTGATAACTCAAATACCAGTGGATGGATTTGGTTCCAATTCTATATGCTGATGTTAAGGGAAAAAGGAGATCTGCTTCAGAAGAAATTGAAAGGCATCAGCTGAATTTCAAAATGGCTGGCATTTTTCATAAAAAAGGTAATCTTTGATAACTCAATTACCATTGGACGGATTTACTTCAAATTTTATATGCTGATGCCTAGAGATAAAGGGGTTCTGCTTGAGAAGAAATTTTCAAGGTGGCTGCTATTTATCGAAATCTCCGCCATTTTTCATTAAACAAGTAATCCTTGATAACCCAAGTACCAGTTGACGGATTTGGATAAAATTAAATATGCTGATGCCTTGGGACATAGGAGCTGTGCTAAAGAAGAAATTTAAAGATGACAGCTGAATTTCAAAATGGCAACCATGTTTCATGAAAACATAATCTTTGATAATTCAAATACCAGTGGATGGATTTGGCTCAAATTCTATATAGCCGCTATTTATCAAAACATGTTTTGTTCGGTGGGATTTGCTACTCCGTGGAGTTGCTGTTTTTCTAGTTTTGATTTCTATATAGGAATTATGGAAATCTCGAAATCGATGAATAACTTAGCATAATAGTAACGGGGGTGGAAGGGATGCCACAAGGCTGTACATAAAAACATACATTATAAAAAATAATAGAGACTTTGGCAAGGCTAATAGGCATGGTGTGGTGAAAATAGCTAATACCTAGTATCTAATACATCTAATACCTAACTTGATACCTTATTAAGAATATGTTTTTTATTTTCTTCAGAATCAGAAGTCCCATGTGAATATCTACTCACCATCTTTAACATTATCCCATTGTACACTAATATATTCATCTCGATCAGTACGAGATTGTTCATGATAAAATCCAAGTACATGAAGAATTTCATGTGCGATAACTCCTTTCTTAGCACAACCAGGACCCAAAGACACTATTTGTCCCCGACCCCGTTTCGCAACATCTGCAAAGCATCTGGAAAATATAATTCACCATCAGTGAGTATCTTGGAAAATGAAAAATACTGTTCATCATTACTTATCGTCATTTTACATTTCTGCTTTTTAGTGCAATATCCCAGATGCGAGTAGAAATAATCTTGATTTACGTCATTAAAATTCACAATTCAGTCAAACTGATGTCATATTTGGAATCGACATGTAAAATTACGTTTAGAAATGTGGTTTTGAAAAGAGTTTATCAACTTTGAAAATTTAATTTTCTTTGAAAAAGTGACTTCTAGGTCGGGGTGATTTCCCATAGCCCCAATGTTGTAAAATCACAAAAATGAAAATATATTTTCTTGTGTTGGGCAGATCATATTTTCTTTTACTATACATATTTTAATTTGTGTAACTATCAGATACATAAAGGTAATATGAATAGTGAACCACTAAAACTGATGCATATTCAAGTTTAAGGGAATTTTGTAACACCCTGCCATGTTAATTCCCCCGAATCAGCCACCGGTGGTGATACTGGTAACTACCTACTCGCATCTGAGTAATTGTATTCGGTAGTTTTTGCATTCTTCAAACATATGTGAAAAATTGTCGTATTTTATTTTAAAATATGTTTATTATATATATGTGACTCCGTTTTATGGACCTTCTATGCCTACACGTATGTAATTCAATTGAGATTTCCCTAGTTTTATGCCTTGGCAAAAATATACAAAATTAATGAAAATTGAGCCACAATGTTAATCATTAAAAATTAAATTAAACCAAAGTGATACTAAATTGGTGAAACTGAACTAGTTCAATTCAAGACTCCAGATTTAGACCTTTTATTTAAAAAACTATTTTAACATCTAATATTGATGAGAAAATGAGAAATGAAATGTATATGTTCTATTCTTCACAAGTTTAAAGAGAGAATCAGATCTAGCGAGCAGACTAACAAAAAATTGTGTCAATTTTAGAATATTTCTGGCTTATGTCATTCCTTTTCATGTCTATTTTCTAAAAATCCCCAAAAGTGCACACTTCATTTGTGGAAAACTAAATTTGTTTCAATAATATGTATTATTTTTCTATACGAATGGTTACCATTCTTATTATTTGGGAGAATTTAAACATTTTTCACCCATTTTTTGCACTTTGAATCCGTTATAACTTCACCAATTTATAACATAGCGTGAATCTTTTGGAAGATATTGTATTTGAGATTGTAAGCAATAGTTTAGTAGGTCAATTGTACATGTTGCTTGTAATTTTGTCACTCCCATATATAGATCTGATTCTGCCTTTAGATGCAAAATTTAACTTATTCTACAGGGTGTCCCGAAAGTATGGGGCCCCCCTAGGCAGACATATACCAGTGTTTTCTTAGTATGTGTCATATATAATTTTAAAGCTTATCCAAAGTTACATTGATTTGCCAAGAATCATGCTTCAACTCTCAAATGTGAAAAAATGACAGGCATTTTAAAATTTAGTGTTTGGCCAAAATTAAGTTCAATTTTACACCAAATCACTGGCCAATGTGTTCTCCCGGGCCATCTTAACAGCAGCAATTATTTTCGTGTCAGATGGATATTGAAAACGGTGAGGGTAGATACTCCAAGAAAACTCTTCTAAAGTGTCTTAATAGGTTTGAAGAGGATTACAAAATTCCACTGCCTTATTTGAAGGGCATTTAAGGTCATATCTGAAAAGAATTGCCGCTGTTAACATGGCCAAGAGAGGACACATTGACTAGTAATGTGGTGTAAAATTAAACTTTATTTTGACCAAACACTAAATTTTAAAATGACTGTAACTTTTTCCCATTTGAGAGTTGAACCATGATACTTGGCAAATCAATGTGACTTTTGATAAGCTTTAAAAAGACATATGACACATACTGAGACAACACTGGTATATGTCTGCCTAGGGGGGGGGGGGGGGCTATACTTTCGGGACACCCTGTATAGTCAAAATAACGATTTTCAAAATGACATAAGTGACATCTAAATTATCATTTTAGTTTCATCTATTAAAACATACTTACCCAGACCGTGATTCAAATCGAATAAAGTCGACATCAGATGGTGTCTTTGGCCTAATTTGTAAACATGCCTTCCCAAATATGGCGCTTTGGTCATTTAGCCATTCAATTGCCTCAAGTGTCAAATTCCGTGTGAGTTCATCTGTCATATAGATATCAATTGATGAAGGTCGATGTATATTCATGCATTTTCGTATATCAGATGTGAGATATATTTTCTTTATCATGGTTACTAACATTTAGTACACTTTGAAAACCCAGTTTTTAACATGAACTTTATTGTTAAAAGAAACACCATTTCATTTCAATTAATGTACATGATGATTCCGCATCTCAAGTTACTCATCTATGACATCTTAACTATAATTATAAGGACTCTCACCAACAGCTAAATATTTATCTTCTTGGAACTCATATGGAACTATTCCATCTGTCCATAAGTAAGTCCCCCAATATTTCCTATTAATGACATTCCTAAACATTGGCTGCAATATAAAAGTTATTTTAAAGTAAACATCGGTAATGCAGCAAACAATCTACATGCAGCCATTTTCATATACAAAGTCGTTCAATAAGTTCATGCAAAATGATTTCATTTTTCTTTTATTCTTTTATGGAACTTGAATTTTGCTAGATTTGCAATGAAAAAGATTTAAACATAAAAGAGCTTCCCTGTCAGCAACATATTGTTATTACGAATGCAAAGGGTAATTACTGACCTCATTTCAACGTTTGGAAGTATTTGTACAACTTAATCATGGTCTCAAGGCTCTATATGTGAGATAAAGTATGCATCCAATAGTAAAGGGAATACTTCTAGTATTTTATGGAGTAATATTTCAAAAATATATTGTTTTTGTAAAAGACTTGGTTGTAAATAATTGTAAATAAGAGAATGAGAGCACTTTTGCCTGAACTTATTTTCCGACATGTTTTATAGAATACTATAGAATATCATTATTAATATGTTATCAAAAATACATAGTGTAACTTAAAGGTAAATATTTTGCATTTCTTTCTAGGTACCCATGGGATGACATATTTTTTTTAATTTTTATGTTATTTCTATACATTACTGATTGTTACTGATTGCATACGTTATCGTCCGGCGGACCCATAAGGTCTTCCCAACCCCTCATATCGCCATCTAGAACAAAACATGTTCTATATTTAAAACACATCATATACATTACATAGGTATTTCCAATGGGGGGTTTCAGACAATACACAGCAAAAATTTCATGATATACATACTTAATATAATCATAAAGTTTTTGAAGTGAAGGTTAACAACTGATTTAGTTAAGTGATTTCGTTTGACAGTTTTAGTGGATCTGTATTAATTTATCTAATTGCATATTTTCAATAGTATTTTAGGAGGTGATCAAAATAACATTGAAATAGCAGGGCCATATCTGTATTCTATATTTCAAACCGCTTTCAGTTCCAGTTTCTAGTCGAGTCTCTATCTTTATAATCGATATATACATGCGACAACAGGAATTTTAACATACAAGTTATGTATTTCTTAGGTATAAGAAGGAAATAAAATAAAAACTTACCTCCCCTTTCGTCGGGATTGCCCAATCCGTCATCTGTAATATCAATGTATATTAATATTGAAGCAATAATTGACAAGGGGTAAACGACTGTTTGCGGTTTGCACTGTTCAGTAATTGAGAATTCAGCTTGGCCACATTTCTCTAACATGAAACAAATCTTTACTATACAGGATTTAGTAAAATTTATTATGTAGGCCTAGTAAGGGTTTCCATAATGTTTTTGTTAGTTTCGTTTTTTGAGACGCATTGTATAAGCTTACAACATTCAAGTCGAGTGACGCATGTTTCCATTATTTTTGGACGTTGCACATCATCGCCAAAAACATATATTTAAATTGTAGAAAATTATCAATTTCCAACCTATCCTATATGTTTCACTATTTTTCCTTATTTCACTCATATCTCATCCAACAGAACTAGATTATAAAGATTAGCTACGTATGAGTACATTCGAATATGTTGAGGATAAAATGAATGTCACACGTGGCCATCAATACGAAACTGCCTCGTTTTGAAGCACATGCTGCATTACGTAACAATACCTTATTTGTTCGTACTTACGCAACGCACATTTTCAAGAAATCCCCCAAAATGCTTGTATTTGAGGAATTACAGAGAATTTGAAAGTTACATTTATTTTTCCCTAATTTCCATTCCGGAGTGCCTTGACCTATCTGATTCTGGTCTGACGCCCAGTTCATTATGATACCATCTATTACACTATTATCTATTACACATTGTAAAACTCAATGAATTTGATGCTTTGAATTTTTGTCTGATCTAAAAAGTCCCATAATCTTGCATATATTTGATTATGAATTAGAGCTTAAGCTGAGTTGTCATCAGATTTGCTTGGGTGGTTTCAAATATTAATTCTATGTTATGCCACAAGAACATGACAAATATTGACGCCGATAATCCAGATGTTATTTACTTCATTTTACTTCCTGTATCAATAAAACATCTTTGGAAAATATTGTCATGAGCTGTATTCAATCACTATGATGGGAGATGGAATGATCAATAATATCTAATATACATATCACCCAAGTAATTTTGTAAGTCAAAATACGGCTCAATTTATAAGGTAATATTAGGAAGATAAGGATGGAAAGCCTTGTAATCAATCGTGTAAAATTACCCTTGATGATAGGTTATTCTGTAACGTACTAATACTATGTGGTATCAATGGTATACCTAATTACTGAATTACCTATTACATACATACCGCAGTGACCGCACGCTAACATCACTAAAATTACCTATTGTATAGATATCGCACGGTATCACATTACTAAAACTACCCTATCACAGAGGGCAATTTTACATGATTGGTTATAAGGTTTTTAGTCGGGTAATTTCAACTTTAGAATTACCTATTTTATAAATAATTTTACATGGCATCGGTGAACGAGAGGTATTAGTACTTCGAGGAAAGTTATGACCAAATATTCAAAATACTGCTACCATATCCACCATCTTGTGCAGTTTGCATTCAATATTTGAGTGCATAGCTGTTAGAAAACCTGATAGTTGTTTCAGATTGTTCTAAGAACCATAGATTGTTAGATTTTAGAAAGGATAGCCAAATGTATATAATATTGTTCTCAAGTGTCGGTCAAGTATAATAACTGTTACAGTATTTAGAATATTTTGCAATAGTAAGGTTTTTCAAAAGACACATAGGAGGGGGCTAAATCCAATTAGAAACGTTTGCTCACAAAATAAATTCTTTGAATTCTAGCGGGAAGTTATTCGTTGAAATGAAATCCTCTCGAAGAATAACCCATATCTTATGCACTATGGCTAACACAATTTTGAATCAGATCATGATGATAACATCATCAATTATATTAAAAACCTATGTTAACATAAGGTGTTTATAAAAAGTTTAGAGCGCGTGAATAGATAATCTTGTACTGAAGCTCAGTAGCTTAAAATTTGTGAACCTCAGATTATGTACCGACCTTACATTGAGATTATCTTGCTTACTTACTTCCAAAATGCATTAGTCTTAAAGGTCAATATGCATATTCCAAATCCAATCAATCTTAAGACAATATGAAAATATGATAATACGAAGTTTTTGTATTATCTGGCCTGTCTCACTGCATTGATATAATGTGTCAGTTTGTTATTTCGTTGTCTCGAGGTTGCCCACGGATGATTACATTGGTGTCAGATGTGGGATGTTATATCGATTTCTGTACCCGGTGTGTTTAAGTGGAAAGTCAGTGTCAGGAGGATTTGGGGTATTCCTTTTAAAGGGGTCCGGTGGAAAAACCTTGATAGCATAGATGGATTCGTTACGTCTTTATAACAAAATGGTCGAATTGTTGCTGAAGTAAGGAGTTCTCACTCGATTAAATTGGAGCCATTGGATGTAAATACTTGTGACTTATTCGCTATTCATTAACCGGATGCTTGTCTCAAAGATTAAGACATGCATGTCTAAGTACAGACTTTCACACAGTGAAACCGCGAATGGCTCATTAGATCGGTTATTGTTCCTTAGATCGTACACAGTTACTTGGATAACTGTAGTAATTCTAGAGCTAATACATGCAACCAAGCTCCGCCCTTACGGGGAAGAGCGCTTTTATTAGAACAAAACCAATCGGGCCGCAAGGTCTGTCTAATGGTTAATATGTATTGCGCATTAACTTTTATAGATAATTATGGTAACGATCTTTAGTGGAAATGTTCAAGGACTACGTCGGAAATTGACCCGTCATACTTTTTTTCAGTTTTTTAAAAAAAAACAAGTGTGACTTAGCTTTTGTGCAAGAAAGTTATATAACAGAACAACTTATTGAAGAGTGGAGTATTGATTGGGGATCTAAAATATATGCCAACTGTGGCACTCCACATAGTAGAGGTGAATTAATTATAGTAAACAAGTCTTTTGATATTGTAGATTTTGAAATATGTCATAAAGATGATCGATTATTTGGTATAAAATTTAAACATGACAGTGAGCAGTATCTATGTTTTAATGTATATGCTCCAAGTAATAATGCTGATAAGATACATTTTTACTCTGAAATAACAATAATAACAAAAATACTATGTAACTGATGATATTAATTTGATTTTAGCTGGTGATATGAATTGTGTATTAAATCCAGCATTGGATAATATCGGTGGTAAAAAACACATTCAGGCTGAGATAACAGGTTTCAATGGATTTTTGTGATGTATGGCGATTGTTCCATGCAAACGAGAAGGAATATACTTGGAAGCATAAGAATAAACCAATTTTGCGTCGCATAGATTATGTTTTTACAAATGATCTTTGTTTTAATAAGGGGACTAACATTGAAATTTTAAGTATTCCCAACTCAGACCATAGGGGTTATTTGATGTGCTTGGATTCTTCTAGGAAGAACAAGGGTCCTTCTTACTGGAAACTAAATAACAGTTTCTTACAGCACTCTGAGTATATAGATAATGTAAATGAGATAATTAATGATGCACAGGCACAGACAAATGTTGACCCTCAGATAAAATGGGATTGCTTAAAATCAAAAATCAAATCCTATTCTATTGGTTATGGTAAACAACTTGCTAAAGAAAATTTTCCGTTCGAGTAAAGTTGACAAATGCCTGTAAAAAGTTATGTTATGATCCTAGTAATGTTCAGTTAAACCAAAATGTAAATCAAGCTAGGGCACAGTTTGATCTCCTCTCTGCTTCTAAGACACATGGCTCTTTTTTACGTTCTAAGGCTGTTTGGGCAGAAAAAGGGGAAAGAAGTAATAAATAGTTTTTACAACTAGAAACTGCAAGAATGAAAAGTAAGGTTATGACATCTTTAAAATTATCCAATGGTACATTGACTAATGATCAAAATGTTATCATAAAAGAACAAGTGAGATTTTATCAAGAATTGTATTCAGATCGGAAGATTTATAGAAGGGCTATTTTAGATGATTTTTTAAAGGATGTTCCAGTTCCTAAGTTAGATAAATCTGACTCTGATTTTTGTGATGGCTTGATTACAAATGAAGATTGTATATTTGCCTTAAAAACAATGAAAAACAATTCTAGCCCAGGTCTGGATGGTTTAACTGCAGCATTTTATAAAGTGTTTTGGTCTAAAATATGTTTTTTGTTACTCAGTCACTGAATGATGGTTTCAATAAGGGTTTTTTATCTTGTACCCAACGTGAAGGTCTTATAACTTTACTCCCCAAGAAAAACTTGCCTCGAAACGTTCTAAAAAACTGGAGACCCCTCACTTTAACAAATGTTGATTACAAGATAGCAGCCAAGGTTTTAGCCAATAGGTTAAAAGTTGTTGTAGCAAAAATTGTACACGAAGATCAATGTGGATATATTCCCCAAATATCGAGTAGCCTAATATTGAGAACTATTGATGATGTAATAAATTATCTTGATGATGAGCAAGAGCATGGTATTCTTTTGGCAATAGATTGCATTAAAGCGTACGATAGTATTTCTAAAGAATTCATGTATGATTCTCTATCAATTTTTGGATTTGGGCAATCCTTTATACAATGGACCAAAACTTTGAACAATAATTGTATTAGTTACATTAATTATAATGGTTGGTTAAGTGGTGAAATCTTATTAGAGCGAGGTATAAAGCAGGGGTGCCCCCTATCTCCGCTCCTGTATATTATAGCGGCAGAGCTTTTTTCTTGTAAAGTAAGGCATGATAAAAACATTGTTGGGGTACGCTTGCCAAATGATGAGGTCAAAATTCTGCAATATGCAGATGACACCACCATTTTTGTAAGTGATGTCAACTCCTTCAAGAGTGTCTTGAATCTTGTTGATGAATTTTCGCATATATCAGGTTTAAAGATGAACAAAGATAAGACTGAGGCATTATGGCTAGGTAAATGGAAGTTCAACAATTATACAATAGGAAATGTAAAATGTAAATTATTTCCAAGTAACAATGTTAAAATTTTAGGTATTTTGTATAGCACTACTCAAAATGTTACTGAAATAAGAGAGAACTTGGAACCACGATTTGCTAGATGTGAACACATAATGAAAATGTTGTCCATGACAAACTTAACAATGTATGGTAGAGTCACATTGGTAAAAGCCCTGCTAGCATCACAGTTTTTATATTTAATGCAGAGTTTTATTCTCTCTGACACTATGCTAAAAAGAATGAACACTTTTTTTTAAATTCATCTGGGCTAAAGGCAAATACAAGGAAGAAGAGTTGAAACATATACCTGAAAAAGTAAAGCGCAACATACTGGTTCAAAATTATGACAAAGGTGGCTTAAAAATGTTAAATATGTTTGACATGCAGATTGCTTTCATTTTCAAGTGGATAAAATTGTTGTTTGTACCGGGAAATGGCCACTGGCGATGTCTGTCTACATATTATTGTAACATCTATGCATGTAATTTAACTATTTTTAAATGTAACGGTGACATTAACAATTCTGAACTGCCAGAATTTTATGACAAAATGCTAGGATGCTGGCAGAAGTACAAAGCTCCAGCTAACATTGATAATTCAATTCTTTGGAACAATAATCTAATCAAAATAAGTGGAAAAACAGTTTGTTTTAAAAATTGGATTAAAAAGGGCATTAACTTTTTAAAAGACATCTGTATTAATAATGAAATAATGCCATATGAACAATTGTCTCATATCATTGGAAAAAATGCAACAACCCCAATTCAATATATAGGCTTAAAAGCCAATATTGGCAAAACGATTATTGTTGAAAATTTGAATGTTAATGAAGTTAAAATGAATTTTATGGGTAAAGACATGACACAATGTACCAGTTCAGATTTTAGAAATGAATTTGTCAAACGTAGACATGTGGATGTTTTAATGAACAATGTAAAAATTGATAAAAGCTCTTAGTTGCGAGCTCATAATGAAAATGTGCTCCGTATTTTACATTGGAAATCACTTCACAATATCTATCCTTGTAATTCGGTCCTGTTCAAGTTCAAAATTAAAAATTCTCCTTTATGTGACCATTGTGGTGTAAATGACACTATTGTACATCATTTTATTAAATGTAATAAAGTTAATGATATTTGGAATAATTTCAATTTGTCAGATGAACAAATTTTAGGTCTTCAAACATGTTCTAATTATAAAGAAGTTCTATTAGCAAGAAAAACAATCCAAATTTTTAACTGTCAAAACTATTTAGGTACATGTAATATTAAAAGCGAGTTTAACAAACAAAAGATATTAAATTTGTAAGATAGGTATGTTTATTTTTGTATGATGATTGATGTTAATATGTAATTGTACGTTGATTTAAAAGGACAATAAATGTTATTTAAAAAAACAACAAAAAAACCGGATGCTAAAATTAACATAAGGGTAAACTATTTGGATAAAATCGACCTCCTTCTTGGTGAAAATGACGAAAATGAAAATTTCATCCGACAGAAGTTCATCAATTTTGTAAGGAAGAATTCACACATAGCAAGGCAAGGTGTGTCCGATTCCAGCCAATCCGAGAAATTGAGTTTTGCAATACTTGGTCCTTGCAAAAAGTTTAATTGAAAATATATTCTTTTAGTGATTTTGTATCTTTGAGATGATTTTATACAAAATAGTTTGCAATGTGTGAAAAATTCAAGGCTTAAATTCTTTTCACACATTGCAAACTATTTTCTATAAAATCATCTCAAAGATACAAAATCACTAAAGATCATAACACTAGTTAGTCAATATAAATTAATTATTCGAATTAAACGACGAAATAATGAAAGTCTTAAATGTCCAACCTTTGGTGTAAATGGAAAAATAAGCTATGAATGAATTCGAAATTTTCATGATGAATATCCGAGGCGTGATAAGGTAATCTAGCTACAATCCCCTGTGACCCCCCTCTCCTACTTGACTACAGACCCTCTCACAAAGATGTGAAGTGGGGGAGGGGGTCACAAGGGCTTGTAGCTAGACTATTAATAAGGTTATTAGGGACTGACATTGCAGGAACAATATACGCATGTCTAATCAAAGGATATAACCGTAAATTGATGGATTGATTCAGCCGAGTTTGATTGATGTTTATAGACTTCAATGATACTTTTTTGTTGATTAATATAGAGATAGAGGACAATTAATGATAACAGTAGGATCGTTGAAGCAAATACGACAGGGCATGTCATTTTTCACTCCGGGCTCAGCTTTAAATACATAACTATGAATTATTAGGAGCATGTACACAGAACGAAACAAACAGAACGACATGTCTTATTTATCTCAAATGACATACAATTATTTCAAAATTCACTTTATAAGGTCGAAAATGAAAACTTCTAAATGTTAAAGTCTCTTTGTGAGTGGTGAAACGAGTTTTACAGTAAAACATGTACATATTGACCATTTTTTGTCGATAAAAACGTTCAGTGCTGGTAGGTGCTCACTACAGGGAGAGAGTGTGTCCACTAGAGATAGATGTTCACTACGCCAGGTTTTACTGTATATATATTTGTTGTAATGTAAGCTAAACCACTAATACAATAATATGCAACTTGTATTTACTTTATTTCATGTAGACTTGTCAATATCTTCTGACACTGCTAAATAAAGTTACATTTGGGCCTAAAATAATTGAATTAGATTTTACCTGGACCGTCTTCTTCTTCAATAGAATTTGTATTATCTTCTTCTTCCGTGGAACTCGAGTCATCGGTCCTGCTATTCTGAATAAAATGTAGTACTTTAATTATTGGAATGTCCGAATATGCACGGGGGGGGGGGGCATAAAGATAAACTATGTAACTGTGTCACAAGCAGTAAGAGTATATTTTAAAGAACAATTTTGTAATTGGTTCAAATAATGCCTATGTATCTAAAACTCTCTGAATATTCGAAATAAAAATCAGGAAAAGTCTGCGTTTGGACCATATACAAACGTTAATACAAAACTTAGGTTTTTCTAAAAATACCAAGGCTTGAAAAGAAATCCCACTACTGCTTTAGCATTGTGACAATGTGACTAGCTGGTTAATCTTTACATAACACAGGTTTTGTAAGAAGGCCTATTGATGCTGTAAGTTTTTACAAAAATCAGATTTTTTGTTGTTGTATTCTTTGATCACAAATAGGTATTGAGTTCTTTTATGAACGTTTTCCTCGTGAATCTTTTTCAGATCAAACTAATTGTTTTTGCCTTATAATTGAGATCTTCTGTAACATACTCAGCTCATTGATTTTTATAAATGACGTTGTTGATCATTGTAGCATGCATTTAAAGCACGAAATACTTGTATTTACTATTGGTGATACGAAATATCTTATCAATAGTTTTGATAACAAATATGTATAAATCAATTAAATATTCTACTTACATCTAATGACATCGGTTTGGTAAATCCCTGAGAAATTAAAGTCCCCAAAATGATGGTGGTTAGAAGTGTATGTGACTGCATGTTCGTTCCCTGAGGACTCCCTGTCTCCTGACAACTGTTCCTCCTCGCTCTTAAATTAATTCTTATAGCTTATTATCACCTAGGTGTTCATCATAAACACAATGCTCAACCCACTTCAACAATGGTATGTATCAATTAAGTTTTTCTAATTTTCCCATCCAATTAATGTTACAATGATTGACGGACTGACGGATATAACAGCTTTGAAAGCTGGCTATATTAATCCTTATGAAAATGATAATCAGTCAACCACGTCCAAATTGCTTTATATTCGATTTAAATGTTTAAAAGTGAATTACCTAATGCCCAGCATATATAACAACAAGCTGAACTCAAATAGTGTTGGTATTGAAAAGCACGATGCGTAAAAATATGGGATTTGTTTGATAAAAAGATGCTATTTTCTCACAGATAAATGAAAGCTTTGGCGACATAAGCTATCATTCTTTGTATTAAAATAGAAATATTTCATGCGTCAACAATTCATACTTAATAAATAAATGATCAACTGTTTTTTTACCATTCAATACTTATGCCATAATTGCTAACTCAGATAGTTTTTACCAATTAATCTAATTCCATCATAACAATTTAAAGTTTTTTGCAAGACCATGATAATTATTTGATAAGATTATTATGAACATGAATTAAACCTGATTCAATATTGATCAAGAAAACAATAGTAATTATTAAGTATTGTAATTATTTCATCTGCAATTTTATTTATTACATAAACCCAGTAAGTTTCAGATCATCCTTTTTATTCATTTAGAACAATACATAATTTCTTTTAGTGTCCAAATAACCTTCTGATATGTTCAATTCAACCCCGCGTATATTCTATCAACTGTACACAGTGGAGTTTGTATCTTAATTCTTTTGAGTTATCTAATTGTAGCTTGTTTAAATATCAAATGGGTGTAATTTTTTTTAGAGTTGACCGAAGTTCATGTAGGCATCCGACGTACATTAACTTACGATTTGGTATGCATCTCGATATTTGGAACGATAAGATGGAAACGAAATTGAAAATTACTAACATTGTCTATTTACCACGAACATTAGAAAATGCCATGTTTCTAAATGCGAAATAGGATTGGAATATGCATGGATCAGAGAGAATAAGTCAAACTATAAATATTTTTTTGCGACCGAGGATGGGACTAAGGACTTATCCTGAGGTGGTCCGTGAATATACATCATTTTTTTTAATTGTTGCCTCATGTGTGATCTACCAATAATGGAAAATGGTTGCAAAATAGAAGTCAAATTAATTTTGGTAAATCTAATGGACAAGTTCTTGAATCAAGTGTATGCGGGTATTTTACCTTGGCCAAGCTGGTGAATAAACCAAGCAGACAAAGAATGATGTGTGTTGATCAGCCCTTTAAAGGCAGAATCAGATCTATAGGGGTGACAAAATTGCAAGCAAAATGTACAATTGACCTACCAATCTATTCCTTACAATATCAAATACAATATCTCCCAAAAGATTCACAATATGTTATAAATTGGTGAAGTTATGATGGATTCAAAGTGCAAAAATGGGTGAAAATGGTAGAAAAATAGAAAAATAATACATTATTGTAAAAATCTTTAGTTTTCCTGAAATAAAGTGTGCACTTTTGTGATTTTTAGAAAATAGACATGACAAGGAATGGCATGAGCCGGAAAGATTCTAATTCTAGATTCTTTCAAAACAATTGAAATCAAACCAGAAACATTTTGCAAGGTTATCTTCAATCTAGACATCCATTTTTTTATATACATAAGCACCTATTTGACTGATCATTATGATGCTATTTAGAAATATGTCACAATGGGTCAATGTTTTCTCTTATTGCAGTTTGCATATATCAATCATGCCTCTGTTGTAATATGTGTTCTTATTGGCCAGCAAGTGATCAATAATATATAGAGCATTGTGAATTTGGAATTCGAACATGAATGTATTCACGCCTTCTATAAACTGTAAACAAAGTCAACATTTCACCCGGGGTATATTCGCGAACAAAACCCCTGGTAATACGTGTAATGTGTGACGTCATAACGGCGGGCCGTAGTAATGGCGGACCATAATGAATATTCGAAACATTTTGGTGAGTTTTCATGTTCGAATCGTAATATAGACCTCAGAGCAGGTATAATATCGTCCAATACACCCCTTAGGGCTAGGCACAAAAAACTTTCGAACCCCTCACTCCCTTCGGTCGTTTGGGGTACAGAAAACGTTTGTGCCTAGCCCTGCGGGGTGTATTCGACAATATTACCCCTGCTCTTCGGTCTATATTTCTTAATTAATGCATACATGATGTGATATAAACATCTGACAAGTGCAAAATATATTGTGAAATGGTTTTAGGGGCAACACTTTTTCTACGCAAGCCTTGAATTTTTTTCTGACTTGGAATGTGCCCCCTGATAGCTTCCAGATCCGGCACTGAGCGTTAACAAATCATAAGTTGATTACTTCCTGAGAAAGACATCCGGGTACTGAAAAGCTAGTTAGGCACGAGCAAATATTTCCAGCAGCTCCAATAATCGAGTGAGAATTCTTCACTTCAGCAACCAGGACGTTATGTCATGTCTGGTGAATTTCATAACGTCTTGGTTGCGTTGTGTTAAGCCTATTAACGTCCTGGTTGATGAAGTGGAAAACTCTCCCTCGATTATGGGAGCCCTTGGATGTATATACTCGTGACTCCTTCTTGGTGAAAATAATGAAAATAAGTTTTTGGATGTTCATCCATTTTGTTATAAGGACGTAACGTCTTTATAACCAAACTGGGACCAGTGATGACGGAATTTCAAGAATATTTCTCAATCACTCACAGACTGTTGTTCTATGTTTGTATCTGAACAACATTGAAATAAGGGTGAATCTTTTCTTTAAAACCAATGGATTTATTAAAACAATCAGATATTTATGATAATCAAATTGCCAGACCGATGACGAAATCTAAAGAATATCCCATCATTTACATAAGAGTTATTCTTTATTGGTCTCGGTACAATTTTTGGGACACCTTGTAAGAAGGTCACGTCGACATGGCAGTGACACAATTACATTGCCCTTCCCGACTACATATTTGGGACACCGTGTAAGAAGGTCACGTCGATATGGCAGTGACACAATTACATTGCCCTTCCCGACTACATATTTGGGACACCTTGTAAGAAGGTCACGTCGATATGGCAGTGACACAATTACATTGCCCTTCCCGACTACATATTTGGGACACCTTGTAAGAAGGTCACGTCGATATGGCAGTGACACAATTACAATGCCCTTCCCGACTACATATTTGGGACACCTTGTAAGAAGGTCACGTCGATATGGCAGTGACACAATTACATTGCCCTTCCCGACTACATATTTGGGACACATTGTAAGAAGGTCACGTCGATATGGCAGTGACACAATTACATTGCCCTTCCCGACTACATATTTGGGACACCTTGTAAGAAGGTCACGTCGATATGGCAGTGACACATTTACATTGCCCTTCCCGACTACATATTTGGGACACCTTGTAAGAAGGTCACGTCGATATGGCAGTGACACAATTACATTGCCCTTCCCGACTACATATTTGGGACACCTTGTAAGAAGGTCACGTCGATATGGCAGTGACACAATTACAATGCCCTTCCCGACTACATATTTGTTTTTGGATGTAACAAGTTTTTGACTAACAGGGCTAAACATTGAAACATCAATTAGTCTACTATACTGCTGTAAGACAACGCTGTGGGTTGTGTGGCAGCTCAACCGTATCGAAACAAATAAACCAGACAACTAATCGAGGAAGAGGAGGAAAGGCTAGATTTTCTAGATTAAAGGATTAATGATAATTAGTTTATATCGCACAATGTTTTGTAAAGAAGGCAATGATATTTGTTTTGACATTCATATCAGAAATGTATTGATGACAAAACAATTATCTTAAATAAAAGACGCTTGTGTGAATGGCAGCTGGAAATATAGTAAAATAGTAAGAAGTACGTAAAAATAAGGTTCAAAGAAAAAGATGTGAAAAAGATAAAAGCGATAAACAACGCACTCTATGAGCCAAGAACTATATGTTTTCAGATGTAGATTTACATCATAAGTCCCCGTCATCATATTGCCTTAAAACCCTGATGACAATTAACAATGTATAATTCAAGATGGCAGCCCAAAACTTGATGTCATCACGGGCATTTCAAGGGATTATCTGATAGAATGCCCATGATATCATCTAAAAGCTGAAAACGTGAATGGTCTTTTTATTTGAATTATAATACCTACATAACAGAACCCCCAAAATACATTGTAGCATTAAAATTAAAGAGGGTGTTCAAAACGTTACTATTCTGTATATTAAGCTCTAAACAGCTGTGATTTGAACTGAATGGAGGAATTTCTGTTTAGTTTTGACGAAATCTCACCAATTCTCGTTTTTCGTCGTGATATTTTAAGAAATCTTCATTGATGCAATCTTTATAAAATTCTTTAATACCATGGTTAAACAACCAAAGTTCAATAATTAATTATAATGTGAACATAACTAACGAGGTGATTCCATACTATATCATTTAAGACAGATTCAGCTAACACTTTTTGATAAATCATAGAATCAAGTGAGTATTGCTAGTTCTTACCATTGAAGCCTATGACAGTCTGGCCCAACCAAAACAAATAAAAACAAGTGCTGATTATTCAGCTCTATTCAGCTTATGGCAGTCTGGCCCAACTAAAACAAATAAAAACAAGTGCTGATTATTCAGCTCTATTCAGCTTTATCCAGTTGTCACTGGTCAGTATCAAGCGAAAGTAATGGCCGTTACCTTCGCTTTTAAAATGGCGGACGGAAAGTGACGATTTCGATAATTTTAGTTTTCATTGAATTAAACTCTATTATAGTTGAAAGCATGCTTTGATATTTGAACTAGATGTGACTTAAGGTACGTTCACACCAACGGCGAATGCCACGCTTTAAATCGGCGAGCAAAGCGCCGTCATTTTTGTCATTTTTCTTCATACCAACGGCGCTTTGATGGCGCTTTAAAGCGGCTTGTAAAGCGGCACCAAAGCGTAACAAAGTTTGATTAAAGCGTCGGGGTCGTAATAGGTCGTAGAAAAGCTCAGAGTAAAGCGGGATATTCGGCAAGAGCGCCAAAAAATTTAAACTCTTAAAAAATTTTGGGCGCTCTGTTACGAATCGATTAAGCGCCGAGAGCGTATCAAAGCTTAACAAGGCATTAACATGACAAAATGTCACCACCTAGTTAGGTCATTGAAGGTCAAATGTCAAATCT